GTTTGAAAAAGATTTTTAATATAATTGAATTATTGATTATTAGAATTATTTCAGATATTTTTCAATATTGAAATAAGTTTATTATCAAAATAATTATTTTGAGATTGAAATGAAATAATGAAAGAAATCAAAAATCACGATTTTTTTTAGGAAACACGTTATTAAACTGGGTGTATTGATATGAACATTAACATTAACACAATTCTCAGACGGGACAAAAGAGACGAGACAAGTAATAGTAATATAATATATAGATCATACCATCGAAAAAAGAAAGAAAGCAAGAAGCAGACGACGAAAACGCATGAAGAGCTAACTAACTAGTCGATGGAAATCTGATATGATATAATATGAGATCGAAGTCTATCGCTTTTCTTTTCCAAAATCCTTCCCGGGGTATAATATAATACAAACATAATACAACAATCGCCCCAATCCATCTATCCTTCTCCTTTGGTATAGCATAAATGACAATCTCAAAGCCTCAGAACCTTGCTAAATGCATCATCTGTCTGTCCACCACAATAAAAGGGAACTCTAGAAATAGTATAATCTATACAAAAAACCACAATCTTTTCTCTAAAACATCACACATAACCTCCCATCTCCAATCCTACCGTATAGGCGACTCCATCCACAACTCCTCCTGATTAGCCACCATCATATCCTTAACCCAAGAATCCGTCTGCCTCTTATCACTCAACTCAAAAACCGGCGAACATCCAACCACCGCCGAAACCCTCTCCGCGCCATCGATCTCGGAGAAAAAGATCGGAGGCTGCGCTTCCTGGAATTGCTGTTGATGATGATAGATTTGGAGTTGATTCTCATATTGCTGGGAGGGCTCTGGATCATCATATTGGATTTGCCCTTGGGGATTTGGGCGCCGTCGTTTCCACAGTTTGTATAGCGGTATACATGCGCTGATGAGCAGGACGATTCCGACGCCGACTCCTATGCCGATTCCGACGGCGATGTTGAAGATGGGGGAATTTGGCGATGGGGATGGGGATGGTGATGGTGATGTTGTGTCGCTGCTGAGTTTGGATGGTGGTGAAGATGTGGATTGTGGGTTTGAAGTGGTTGCTAATACTGGTGCTAGAGTGAATCCCGTGATTCCCGTGGTACTTGTTGATGTTACGAGATTGGTTGCGGATGCAATTGACAACGAGGTAGTAGTTTTGGCCTGAACGTTGAAGCCATTAACGGGGATAGCATATATAGTATAATCATCTTTCAAATGGTCTGTATATGATCCCCATGATCCAGATGTGGAAGTCATGTAAGTATAAGATTCGCCACTACTCATCATCGAGGTACATTGTGATGGAAATACTCCCTTCGTCAACTGTGTCATGGGCATATAAAGACCAAAATTACTATGGCAAAATGTTAGACAACGTGCGGACTTTATGTATTGGGCTAATAACTAACGACGGACAGCAGAGAGTTTGCTGGGTAGCCGAGTTTACGACGAGTGTCTCGACGGCAGAATAAGCAGAAGGACAGACGAAAGTCGGACCAAGGAGAACGGCTTGATCAGCCCCCTGATCCCACCAAGCTGTTGCTTCTGGTGGAAGACATGGAGCAGTGTTCGCTCCCGGTACCACCGAGGTTTGGTAATAGGGATCAAAGAGAATAGCATCATGGTCTGGCTGTGCATATACCTCAGTCGAACATGATGGAGATCCTGTCCAAGGAGTGATTACAGGAAGCCATGATGTTGTAGTTCCAGACGCAGTCTGTATGCTAGCATCTGTGAAAGTAAGTGTCAAAGCTGAAGATTTATAAATCACTGTATCCATATTGAAGGAATAGCCTTCAACATTAGAAAGAGTGTAAAATGTGATGGGGAAGAAAAAGTGACAGCAAAAATTTGAGAAGGGAGAATAAGCAAACAGAAATCAATATGATAGATGGTGTTAAAGTATACAATCAAGCTGATGACCTTCATATGTCCGAGGAACTACTTTGTTGAGATCAAAGTATAGATTGTTCCCGAGGTTACCAACCGAAGACTGCCAATATGGCGCGTAGTGAGATTTTCATTCCTGATAGTCCATCCCAAAAGTGGAGAATGAAGAAAAGGAAATTTCTTTTCATAAAAACCAACATAAGATCTCGACCGAGGCAAAAGAAGAAGATATCAGAAAGCGGTGGCGACGACTTATGGAAGGGCTGCTAGTAGAACTTCCCCGGAGAGAGTTTATAAATAGATGAGGCTGGCTATTTTATAGTCTCCTCCCTCAATCAAGTATAGGCTCTTAGCTTGTAGCTTCACTCACTTGAGAGTGGAGAAGTTGAGAGTAGTCGCTGGATAGGCGGGACTCGGGTTCACATGGAGGATTTCCACTCGATGAATTGAGGAATGCGCGAAGAGGGGTGGATTTTGTATATGGGATTTTGAGCGGCGTACAATAAGGCTTTCATATATGTTTCCTTCGATATCCACTGCCATCCATACCACTGTGTAGTGAGCAAAAGCTTGGGCCGCTGTCACTGAGAATGGAATGGATTTGGAAGTGGGCCCAATCCAGCTCCTTCTACCCGCGCGCTTCGAATGACGAGGGAGAAAATCTTTAATTGAACAGTGGATTGTGGCAAAAGGTTCAGAATGGGAAGTCGAAAGTGGTGTTTTTCCAAATATGCTTGAACTGTATACTCTTTGCAATAATTGCTGTCTACTGAAATGCGGTTATTGAATGATCACATGACCCCACCCCCTATTTCACCTCATTCAGATATCGATGACAGACCAATAGAATTATTGCTTGCAAGGGCCGATTTCATAAGTTTGTCTTTCGAAGATTTCCGCGGGCGACACTGATATGCTTGCGACGTAAATTTGCGCAATCATCCAGATCAGGCCCTACCAAGCCTGCAATCATGATGTTATACCAAAGAAAGCGCACAACGAGGCTCGAGACCGAGAGTACGAGTCTATGTCTGCTTACTCCGCGATGTCCAAGATGGTGTGTATATGTAAATAGTTACACCTTAGTTGTCCAATAGATCTATCTTTAAGGCCTAAGTCCTGATTGGGACATCACCGATGCTGGCCAAGGAACGAACTACCTCTTCCTTCGAGCCTCGTCGTTATTGCACTACTTAATTAATAATTACGTTGATTTAGAAATGGTCAAGGATTGCATGAGCACTGCCGGAATCTGTGATACAATATGTTAAATGTCGAGGTGGCTCAAATGAGAGAAAAAGAGACTGACAGATGATAGATCGATGTAAATTTGATTTCTTGAGACACGATAGAGGAGTTACAATTAACGAGTGACTAGCTGCCGTCCCAATAACTTTCGAGCAGAAATTCAGTTGATTGCTATGAAGTTCCGTGTGTCATAATGCGCCCATCCTTAAAGTTGATAATTGCGGCCCATACAAAAAAGTAAGAGAAATATCAATGGTTCCAGTAACAGCATGTTGCAGAACTCAGTAAGCACTAAATGAAAGTTGGATTCTTGCAAGACTGTAGTATCGTAACTGACTAACAGAAAAGAGTGTCCACTCAACATATCAACCCAGACCGCAGCATTCTGAAGCCCAAGCGCCTATCCTTACTTATTGCTCCTTCATCCATAAGTAACTCCATCGATCAGAGAACCAGCTTTACCCTTCCTGTCAGTACCTAGGACATACTCTAGATGCCCACAGCGACGTCCGCGTGCTTCGCCATCTTCAACGACATTGATCGTAACTGTGACTCGAGTATTCAAAGTACCACTGTAGCTAGCACCTTTAAGGAGTGCTGCACTGTTCAAATCGATGCCAGCAAGTAAAGAGGTGAGGCCAAAGGTATTGGATACCGGAATATGTCTGAGACAGTATCGAATGATCATGAATATGAATATCATGACGGGTTGAATGCATATTATTACATAGAGCCAAACTTCCCGTTTCAACGTTAGAACGCTCCATTGTAGAGTCTCCTCCGTAACGTAATCAAGCTCAGGATAGCGGTTATAGAAAGTAGTCTCACTAGCGTGAGATGATAACTTTGACCACATCATTGAGGCAACAATGGCCGATTGAACCGAAAGATCCGTAGTCATAATTACTGGTATTGTATCATCGCTAGTTGTGACCATGGCATCTGCCAGCACTTGTTGTAGTTTTTGTAGCGATGCCCAGTCAATATTCTCGACAATCACCCGTTGTGAGCCAGGGAAGTCGGACCGCACGCATCCACTTGCTTCCTCCAATCCCACAGTAGATTTGTCAATTCTCCATCTGCCATCGCAGTGGCCTCGATACAAATTAAATCCAACTGCTTCTGAACTAAAGTTCGTTGGCGGGTCAGCCAATTTGTCCCAGGCAGCGAAGAATAGAACTTGTTGGTCTTTGTAGGCTGCCATGGTGAAATTTATGTTGCCGGAGACTTTGACCGTAGAAGTCCATGTCGCATGAGAGGAAGAGCTGTCGTTAAGAAACTCGGCTGACCTTGTACATGAAGTATCTGCAGTCGTGCAGTTGATGCTACTGAACGTGGCGTTCACTGAGGCTTGAAGATATAGAGTCTGGCCTGGAAACATTTTCTGCCGCAGGGCCTGGATATAGTCACTAGTTGGAGGATCCAGCATCGCTGTAGTATTGTGATTGAGAACTTGCATGTTCAAACCATAGCTTCCAAGTTTCAACGGATACCTGGTGTTCAAGGTCACAATTGGCTCGGTAACATAGATCATGATAGCTGTTGCCCTTTTATCGGGCAGAGGATTATCGAGTCGAAAATTACATTGGTGAGCATCGGCAAAAAGACCCTGGAGGTTGAGTTGCCCATAGAGTGAGTTTGTATGTGTCTCGCCGCCGTCGACTCCTTTGTAGGCAACGCTAAGAGTCAAAGGGAAGACGGACAGAAGGAATATGACTAGCCGCACATACCGGTGGAAATTGACGATGGAGAGTCTGTTGTAGAGTATTGCTTCGTAATTTTGTATAGTCGATCGGCCGAGACGTGCTTCCAGAACCAAACCACAAGTCCGGGCTTCACTTCCGAAGCAGTGATTCATAAGGGATATAGCTAGACCGACGACGATAAGCTGCGCGTTGCCTCGACTGCCAAGCCATAATGCTGCTTCTGGCAAGGCAACTGCAACCACAGCAGCTGCACAGCAGACAAGGGAAAATACCAAAAGTTTCAGTGCTTTCCAAAATTGCCGAGAGGCCCGTACAATAAGTTCAGGTTGACCGACTTCTCCCTGTCGTGCTGAGGGCTGGGAATGGTTCGGCTGGTCTTTCGGCATGTCTTTTCAAACAAGTTCTCGTAGAGAAGATACAATATGCTTGTTTGCGCTTACAATGAACCTTGCTGATTCTCAAATGTTGACGAGAAATTGATAATATCCGAGACGCGAATGATAAAAGAGAAGTAAGGATAATGAATATATATTGCCGGACTCTTGACACCATGTGTAAGCAAAGTAAGAAGGGAAGAGGCTCCAGCGTTGTTATGTCTCAAGTCGAAGGTTCCACAGCCAGAAAACTGATCATGACAAAACGAGGTAAAGGACTCGGTAAGCAAATGATATTGATTTGCTGCATCAGGCAGAACTAAGCCAAGGCTCGTATCATGGATAGTTGCTCGGAAACACAGCATCTGGTGAGCTGGTATAAGTAGACACGGTAATAGATGCATGATGCTGCGCCTGCCCGGTGTTGATTTCTTGATTGCAAGACGAGCGGCGGTATCAACTAGGAGAGGCTACTCGTAATTGGTGCTTCCCAACTACGGTTAAAACAGTATTGCTTTGAGATAGCTCTACATGGCATAATGAGCCATGAAGAGATACGAAACGATATGAAAAGTTGGGGGCGACTCAAATAATCAGCCTCCACGGCCAAAGCTTTCTCACAATGCAAGGCTCGACCATTGTGATGGAAAGCTGCATGTAAAGGGTTCCAGCCGGTACCCGGTGCAGTTCTCTCAGCCTTGGACCTGGTCTGATAGCAGACACCCTGATCGAATAATAAAGACGAAGAGAGTATCCGCAAGGCTGTATGTCATAATGTGAGCATACGAGTACGTAGCGGTGATGTGTGAAGAGTAGTACTCATTGAAATCGTTGGCGATTAGAGCACTCAGAATCTCACTCCAAGCTCGCGTCTTCTTCTTCGTTGATACGGACGTTGCTTGACGTATAGTCTGACGAGAGAACCTTGAATCACAGAAAACTTTGGGCGAAAGAAGTTGTGATAACAATTGACGGATGCTTAAAGCCACCTCATTCTCAAGGATATTTGTAAACAGTAGACTCCCGAACTCCAAACGTCTAGACAAGATTCTTAGTAAATGCCTTCCATCAATCTTTCAGCAATTCCCTCCATTCTCTTATCACCGCCCATGACCCTTCTTTCCGTCTCGCGATCCCGTCCATCCTCTCCAATTATGACACACTTGACAACTTCGCCATTCATTCCCACAACACATCTGCCGATTCTTCCATCGACCCATTCAATCCTTACTTGCTTGGCTTCTGCATCAGCAGCACTAATATCTGCTATCTCTCGCACCTTTTCTTTGCCTTTCCTGTTTAATTGCTCATCTAAAGAGAATCCTTTTCGTAAATGTTTGATAGAAGAGATACGTAAATGATACCCCGTAATCTCTCGTCGTAATTTCCTTACAAATGTCGTCAAATCTTGTCGTTTCTCCTTCACGATACCTTCCGTTACTTTAGGGACAGGCAAATGCTTCGCTGCTATACTGGCCAAAGGTATACACGAAGGTACTGTGTGCCGATGTATTCTTAACGCTGCGGATCCCGAATATGGTTTGTTTAACATGATATAATAAGGTCGAACGAATTTCCCAGCATTACTGAGATCAATGCGAAGGCCCAATACATGTCCATTATCCACAGCCTTTGGATCCGGATCTTGAACGTGGAATGATGTGATTGATGCGCATGCGCGATATAGATTCTCGAGATTATGAGTTGTCTGGGCGGCGGAGCTTGCGATGAGTGGATCGGAATCTATAGGAGGAGTAGATTGGGAGGATGTGGTTTTGGAGGAAGACTTTCGCAAATTCGACAAAGTTGATTTTGAAACTTGAGAAGACAGGATAGTAGCTGTTTGGAGACGACGTTGATCCTTTAATGACGCGACTATATACCCATTAGACACGTATTTAGGTGAGAGAAAGATAAGGATATGGTATTCACTCTGTTCTTGTAGTGAAGCTATTTCATCATCCAATTCAATACCGGCCGCTTCTTCAGGACCAATTTCTTCTGTTGTATCCATATTTGAGTTTGAATTAAAGCCCAGGGATTGTGGGAAGGATTGTAAAGTTCTAATAATTTGAATCGGTGTTATCAATGTGAAGAAGTAAGTGTATTTGAAAATATGTTTATCTCCCCCTTTATGATGATGTTGATGTTGATGTTGATATCAATATTTCCTGTCGCGTCGCTTGCCAATTCAGCGCCATTTCACGTGTTTCGCGGGGAACATTACTTATAATGAGAAAACGCTGAAGACGAGCCAAGCCAAAGTACTTATTATTATTATTCCGAATTTTCTATTAAAAAGGAACAGAACACAAACTAAGATTAGATCAAATCTAATAAAAATAAATCTAGACTTCCATTCCAGTTTGCTGCTCTTTGACCTTTCGAAACACTTTTGGCTTCTTTGTACCTCAGCGTTACCTCAGTGTCATTATTCGCTGAAGAAGCCACATTTCGCTTCATGAACACTCTAAAATAATGAAACTCAAAGCCTGTCCTATACCAATTCCCTCTGTAGGATTTGGGGAACCTAAGAAGTAATCAATCAATCAATCCATCAATCAAATCAATTATCCACAATCTTCAACCACTAAGAAAATAAAGCTTCGTAAAGAGGACACTTTAGAGGCCAACAAGACCTCTGAAGTTATTCTCAATTCGAAATATCATATGGATGCCTACTCCATTGGGTGATACACTTCCTTCTTTAACTTCACATTCCATTTCTGATAATCCTCGGCATACCCTTTTGCCCGCTCATCACGATTACGACCCTCAATTTCCCTACGCGCAAGAACTAGACGATTTGTCAATAGCTACTCCACGTCATAGAAACACTTCTTCCAAAACCAGACCTCACTCAATTTCACATAGCGCAACACAAGCAGAAGATTCGAAACATTTACTCGGGGATCAAGACTCTGCAGACGAAGACGACGTGGAGGATTTTGAAACGGATCCTATGGGTACTCGCTCTCGTAAAGGCCAAGTCCCAGAGCCACTTGGCTCTTCTTCTGCCACAGGAGGCGAAGACTCTCATCTACAAAACAGCAGTATGAATGGCAATGTCGAGTACCGGCGCAAGAATGCGAACCTCGACACTTCCGTAGTGACTGCAAATCTCATGTCGCGCGAGTCTTTTACCTTGGATGAATCTATACCAAAAACGCCTACCCTCAATAACCATGGGTTTTCTGAGTTGCCAATGCAGGACAAAAAGAACTTTTTACTTTTAGTCCTGTTATATTTCTTGCAGGGTGTTCCTATGGGGCTTGCGACAGGTTCCGTACCATTCTTACTCAAACCACACATGTCATACAGCGCTTTGGGAGTTTTCAGCTTGGCTTCATATCCATATTCATTGAAGCTGTTATGGAGTCCAATAGTGGATGCAATATGGAGTCCCAAATTAGGAAGGAGAAAGAGTTGGATCATGCCAATTCAAATGCTATCAGGATTTGGAATGATATGGCTTGGTTCCCAGATTAAGGACATGATGATTACAGCTGGGGCAAATGAAGGAGCAGGAATTTGGGGTTTCACTGGATGGTGGTTCTTTTTGGTATTCATGTGCGCCACACAGGACATTGCAGTCGATGGATGGGCTCTTACCCTGTTATCACCGGGAAATATCTCATATGCATCGACCGCTCAGACTGTGGGTTTGACAGCTGGACAATTCATGTCCTTTACCATTTTCTTAGCTTTCAATGCCCCAGACTTCGCCAACAAGTGGTTCCGCAAGACTCCTCTTGACGAAGGTGTCATGACATTGGCAGGATACCTCACATTCTGGGGTTGGACATACATAATTGTGACCATTGGTCTCGGGCTTTTGAAACGCGAAGAGAAAACTAAGAACGAGGATGGAATTTGGGATGTTTACAAAGTTATGTGGGGAGTTCTCAAGCTCAAGAATATCCAAACAATCATTATTATCCACTTGATTGCAAAAATTGGCTTCCAAGCTAATGATGGAGTTACGAATCTCAAACTTATAGACAAAGGATTCAGTCAAGAAGATATGGCTTTGACAGTCCTTATTGACTTCCCTTTCGAGATTGGGTTGGGCTACTACGCTGGAAAATGGTCAACATCATACACGCCTTTGCGTCTCTGGTGTTGGGGTTTTGTAGGTCGTTTAATTGCTGCTGTTATTGCTCAAATCACGGTTATAATTTTTCCAGCAAACGGAGTGGATACTTGGTATCTACTTGTCGTTATTGCCGAACACATCTTTTCAACATTTACAAACACTGTTATGTTCGTTGCCATCTCAGCTTTCCATGCTAGAATTGCGGATCCCGTCATTGGCGGAACTTATATGACATTACTCGCTACGTAAGTACCCCTATTTATTATTCGACCTTCGGCTGGACTAACATGAAATAGCGTATCTAACTTGGGCGGTACATTCCCACGTTTCTTCGTTCTTAAGCTCGTTGATTACTTCACAACCGCAATATGCATTCCACCATCGTCCGACTATACGCTCGCTGCTGATCTCAAAGGACCTCTCATCACATCGTCCTTCTCCTGCGCTATGGCTGCTGAGAAAGATCGATGTTTGTCTGGAGGAGGCATATGTGACATCGAGAGAGATGGTTACTATGTTGTGAATATTATATGTATCATTTTTGGAGCTGTAACATTTTTCGCTTATATCAAACCAGCGGCTCTAAAGTTACAAGCTCTACCTTTGAGAGCGTGGAGAATTAGTGAAGGTAGTGCCTAATTGGGAACGTGATGAGGCTTGGGCGGCAAGAATTGCTGCTATATAAAAATTGTAGAATAGACGTGTATTTTGATTGATATTGAGAGGGATGAAAGGGCGCGGCGAGAAACGTATCTACAACTAGCTATGCAAGCATGAAAATAGAATTGGACTTATTGATAGCAATGTCTCAATAGCATTCGCATAATGAATGCTTTGAATATACTCGAGTAGTTCACCAAAGGTACTTCTTGACACTGTAATATGTTGAGCTGACTGTCACTAAAGCGTGCCACCGGCTATCTAATTGCATTACCATTCCAAATATTTCAAGCCACCTATCAGCTGGAGCTGGACAGAATGAGAAGCGCAAATCATTACATCGACATGAGAAAGTTGTGTCCACAAAACTCAGACCGAGTAAGAAGTTGACCAATGGCAATCATGACTTCTTCCACGCAAACCGATGCCAAACACCTAAGCTGCGTACAAGTCTGATGTTGTCAGCTTGCCAATCGCAGTGATTGACTCATGAGACTTAATATTTTAATCGCTAATATGTAGGGTCGATCATCTTACGAAACACAAAGGTAACATTCCCACATGGGTTTCTTCATCCGGACGCCCGAATTGTCAAAGCACTTCCAACATAACCGTCGACCGAGGTCGACAGGAAAGCCGGAGTCCCAAACTATTATAAGTTTGGTTGTATAAAGAAAGGTACGTCGCCGGTCCGCATTTAAGAATTGTTCAAATAGTGAATATTCCGAACTGATAAAAATGTCGTCGCAGCTCGAATCAACAACAACTTCTAGAGATGCCCCTGAGCTGGGGCTCGCGCACCCCGCAATATCCCCAAAATTAACATCAACCCCACCATCGAGCTCGACCTTCACACTTTCCTTCAATCTCTCCCATTCACGACCCTCATCACCGACCTCTTCGATTTTCTCTTCCAGTTCTCAAGATACCATGTCGACATCCAGCTCCATGCCAGGTGGATTGGCGCGACAAAACACCGCCGAAGTCGCAGAGCGAGATTACTTTGCGGAAAATCCTCCGCCTGCAACCCTCGAAAGGCATACATCTCTCGCTGAAGAATTTATCAATTTCCACGCCGCTGCTGGCAGAAGAGTGGTGTTAGTCACATCGGGAGGAACAACTGTACCGCTAGAGAAACAGACGGTGCGATTTATAGACAATTTTAGTGCGGGAACGCGTGGGGCTACATCTGCCGAATACTTCCTGGAATCGGGCTACGCGGTAATATTCCTCCATCGCCAATTCAGTCTCCAACCTTATTCACGCCACTATAGCCATGCTACGGATTGTTTCCTCGATTTCCTTCACGAAGGTCCTGATGGGAGCGTGGTCGCAAACGATGAATATCGCGAGAAGATGTTGAAGGTTCTGGGACAGTATAATGCGGCCAAGTCGAAGAATCTCCTTTTGACATTACCTTTCACGACCATCACGGATTATTTATTCATCCTTCGAGCGATTGCGCAACTCATGCGTCCTCTCGGCTCTCGTGGTCTGCTATATCTGGCTGCGGCTGTGTCGGATTTCTTCGTCCCGCCGGAGCGAATGCAGGAGCATAAAATTCAATCTACAAATGCAACCGATACAAATACACCCGATGCACGGGGAAGTGAAGAGAAAGAGATTGGAGAGGACGAGGAGGAAGCTTTTGATAACTTTGACTCATCTCCAGCGGTACCGCGAAGCAAGCGTTTGATCGTCGATTTGGATCCTGTACCGAAATTTCTCAAGAATCTTGTGGATGGCTGGGCTCCTGAAGGCATGATTGTTTCTTTCAAGCTCGAGACCGATCCTGCGATACTGGTTCACAAGGCGAAATATTCCTTGGATCGTTACCAGCATCATTTAGTTATTGGAAATCTACTCGCAACTAGAAAATGGGAAGTGGTGTTCGTAGCTCCAGGCAGCAAAGATCAATGGATTAGAGTACCTAGGAGCAAGAGGAAGAGAACTATCAGTGGGGTGGAAGATCTGGTAGGTACCGCTGCGAGAGGGGGAGAGGTGGGTGATGAGCCTTTAGATCCAAATGAGCTACCGGATGGGGAACCCGAGCTGGAGATTGAAAGTTTGATTATTCCGGCCGTGGAAGCTTTACATACTTCTCATATTAATGCCCCGAGGAAACGGGAGAGGTAAAAGTAGGTGTTGGGTGGTATACAATATTACAAACTCTTCCGAATCATGCATACCGTCCGGCACAGCATCTGATGTGACGATGCGGAGAGAAAGAATTCATGCTCATCCCCGCTGGAAGGAAGTACAGCTAGATAACCTCGTGGATTTTTAATTTCCTCACTACTCCGAGTCGAGTATAAAACAATCGATCGTATTGGATGGACATGATACATGATGAACTGAACAACCGAGTTCGCATCCAAAGCTCTGCTTGCTACTCTACTCTTCTCATCGCTTTCGACAATATGATTCAATATAATGTCATATAGACTACCTACCTACTTACCTACCTACCCACCCGTCTAATAACCCCCAAGATCTAACTGAATCTACATGTAACTACAGCAAAACCTCTCTATAAGGATACTGAAAATAAGGTAAATCTCTCTATAAGGATGATATTTTGGATCCCTTTTTTCACTTTGTACATCGGTATAACTCTTCCATATACCGGTACCATAGCAATAATAGATAGCATATACGTACATACCTACCTATAATGATCTCCATCCCCTAAACTTCCGAAATATAGTACTGTACTTGAGTACTGTTACTGTAATACTACTGTACTCATAAAAGAAGAACATAAAATTCTTATGTTAACTATCTATGGTAGGTATCTAGGTATCTACTTTGTAAGATTACGTTCAGAGTAGAAGATAGATGATCAAACCTCAAACCCCGAAATTGGTGAGTGTAAGTGTAAGTAAGGGTGAGTGAGTGTTCATCTGATCGATTGATTGTCGGTTTAGCAAATTCTAGTATGGTAAGGAGATCATGTACTTGTAGATCGGGAGGGGGACGTGGAGGGACGTGCTGTTGTTGGGGATAATCATATAATCTTACAAGATTAAGAATTTAAAGACTACCGGTACGGTGACCTAGAGTAGGAAGATTTTATTTGCGGATGGAGGGGTGAAGAGTGAGCTGGACTTGGGGGTGGCTGGGTGGGCTTTTGCTAATTAGCTATATGTACTATACGGAGTAGTAATAACCCGAGGAAATGTATGTTCAGTAAAAGGCTATTTTACGGAATTGGTGTCGATTTTTCGGTGGGGATAGAGGGAGGAAGGGAGGGAGAGGTAGGTTAGATAAATGTAGAGGTTAGTTATAAGGAAATAGACAGTTAGTACTGGTAGTAATTGTTGGTGTTGGTGTTGATGTTAGTTAGGTAGATATAGTAAATGTAGAGTTAATTTAATTGTAAGGAAAAAGACAGTTAATACTGGTAGTAATAAAGCAATAAGTATATTTCCTCGAGAGGGTTTGGAATTCAGAATTTAGCTGTTGTGAGCTTGGAACTTTTGGATGGATGATACGAGCTAACTCCTATTTTAAAGTTTCAAATTCCGAAATGTCTATAATGGCGGTTGAGAACTTTGGGGAGTGGATTGAGTGGATTAGATCGGTGCGGTAGAGTACCAGAACTGTGGATTAGTTGGGGTGAAGTAGGTTGATCGGTTGAACTTGAGAGGTCTGATCCGATGGAATGAATATCCATCTACTGAGTACTTAGTAGTGAATTGGCGAAAGGGATAGATATACATGTATAGGTGAAAGGGGATTCAAGCGAAGTACTGGTTCTAGGTGGCAATAAGTAGGCGGTAGCTAGGTAAATAATAAGTATAGAATACTGTAAATAGAAAAGAAACCATTCGAATGATTGTTCAAACATCTACGGGTAGATAAGTTCCCGGTACTGTAGTGTTATCGGATGGGAATAAACATAACATCGGATATACTTTTCTTATTATTTATTTAAGTTTTGTCTGCTGTGCCTACCTCGTCTATAGGAATGAAGTACTTTAAGTTTAGAGCTATCATGATAATTACAAAAATTATTAAAAATTATTCTACTATCCATGATTTCAAAAAGAGGCGCCTGCCAATAAAAACATGCAATTCATGCTATTCCTGCAGTCGGGCGATTGGCGTGACAGATTGGTAGTAGTTATCCGCCCCTTCATCGTTAAATCTTGGAAACAGGAAAACGGAAAACGGAAAACGCCCATCCATCCGTTTTCCTCCACCTACATAATTGTTAGATTCAACTTTGGGAGATCTGATCTACATGTTTGCTTGTCGTTGCTAACTGAAAAGGAAGAGAAGGATTTTTGTTATCAAACACTACATTCGCTCACAATTTCTACTACTTATCACTTTTATTCCTTGCAAACTATTCCCACGAATATCTCTTGAATCAATTGGCTTTACCACCTTGCTTGCTGATCGATCATTGACCCTTGCTGTCTGTCCATCGTTCAAAACAAACCCCACTGGCCACCCAACCTGATATCAGTCGTACCATATCCCCAATCTTTCTATTCAACCTCAGATATGTATGAGAGTCGACCGCAGAATCAGAAGTTGTCGACTTGTTGATAGAGAAGGGTTTTCCAACAATGTTACCTGCGTTGCGCACCAGGTCTCATTTTGACATGCAACACAACGACGCTGCACAACCTTTCGAATACAATGATGATGACTACTTCCGGGAGGTGTTACAATTGGAGGGGCAGGAGCAGACGGAAACACTTTTCGATGATATATTGAACAAAGAGGCAGAAAAGTTGGGAATTTCGATAGCGGGACCTTCCGCAGATGAGAGGAACGATAATTCTCCATGCGAATCTCCTTTTTCTCATTTGCATCATACACATACAGCCTCGTCAATATCTCAAGATAGCGATTCTACAGGGCTAACATCGAGATCATCGAATGAACAGTTGGACTTTTCATCAATACCACAACCATGGAAACGACCTGCTGCGAAGAGAAGTTTATCATTTCATGGCTACGAAAAATATGTAAAGCAAATCGATGCTCAAACTGCGATTCCATTACCTCCACCGATACCTGTCAGTTCTCCCGAGCCGGCACCATCCCTTTTTTCCATATCCTCGAGACGCTCTTATGCCAGCCTCAAAAATGGAATTAAGATTCGGTTCCGTCGAAAGGGAAAAACATCTGGGGAACAATTGATGTGAGTGCATACCCTATTTGGCATGTGAGAATGCTAACCTAGTAGCTCCTGTATCTGTTGTCGAGAAGAGTTTAAACTTGCTACCACCCTGCGTACACTTCCATGTGCTCATAATTATTGCGAAAGCTGTCTTCGAGTTTTGGCCATACAAGGTTGTACGGAAGAATCGAAGATGCCCCCCAGATGCTGTAGCCAAGCTATACCCGGAAATATAATCAAATCGGTTTTAAACAAGGATGAGCAGAGTCAATTCATGAAAAGTGTTGTGCAATTCAGTACACCATGGGAATCGAGAATTTTCTGTGCAAATACTGCTTGTGGTGAATTTATTCCAACACTTGGCAAGATTGATCCCAAACAACCATTCGAGGTGGATTGTCGACGTTGTGGAGATAAGGCTTGTTCCATCTGCAAGCGTGCTGCGCATTCGGTTGGCCAAGATTGCCCTGAAGATTATGAATTAGAAGCTGTTTTAAGAATGGCCAAGAGTGCGGGATGGCGTCGCTGTTACAAATGTCGAACTTTGGTGGAATTATCTCAAGGTTGCAGTCATATCACTTGCCGATGCAAAGCACAATTTTGTTACATATGTGGTGCTGTTTGGGATCCCTCGGTTGGTTGCCCAAATTATTGTAATGGTGAGGAAATGCTTGAACGTCGGCGTCTCGAAGAAGAGCAGCGGATCGCGGAAGAGGAAAAGGCAAAGTTAGCCAAGGAGGAGGCAGAGAAGGCGGAAGAGGAGGAACGCGCAGCGGCCGAAGAACGAACCCGAAAGAATGGCACATTAAATGCACTTCTGGCTTGTCAAATTGATGAAAGAGATCGCTTCTGCGCCTTCGAGAGGAAGATGAAATGGATCATGTGGACACGGCATGGTCGAGCCAAAATTGACATTCTGGATCGCTATGGTGAGCTCTCAACAAAAATGAAAGAACGTCATCAAAGAACTTCAACACACTTAGAAGATCGGCAAGTTGCTGCTGAGATGGAGCTGAGAACGACCTTAAAACAAAGTGAAAGAAGTGTACAAATTCGTTTAAAGCACATGGAAGCTTATTGCAATGGGCTTGGTAGAAGCTCCGGTGGTCATGATATACAAAGAATCGTTACCGAGAAAGATCTCAGAGAGCTCGGGCAGCAATATAACATCAGGGATGATCTAGGCCGTTTACACCAAAGCAGGATCAACGTCATGCGAGACAAGCAAGCGAAGCAAATGGAAAATTTAATCGTTCGCCAAGAAGAGGAGCTTGAGAATCTGGCACTCAAACAGAATCAAGAGTTAGAGTCTCTGGAGGAGATGCATAGCAGAGAAGAAGAAGGCATAATTGCATTGTTCATAGAGAGAAAATCACGGCTCATCTGGAGGTGGAATCTGAGCGAGCAGGTGAAAAGAAAGAAGCTCGCTGATATGACTGGCGTCCAATTCGCGCCCATGGCTCCGGTTCCATGGCCACAACCCAGGAGGTCTCCAGCACTCGGTCTAGAGTCAGTTTTCGAGTGAAGATTCGTAGTTTTGGAGCCTTTACGTTTATATTTTTGTCATCATGGCGATTTTTCGCGGCATACTTACACATGTTTGATGCACATAGACGATTGTCACGACGGTTATGTGATTCAGATCATCTCATCTCGTTCAAATTTTCGGACTGGGTATTGGCGCTTGGGTGAATGGGCTTTTATGGATTAGGACCGGATTAACTGATGGGTGTAATTACATTCTGAGGTTTCCTCGTCAAGAGCGACGATTAGAATAAGAATGGTGTCATTAGAGCTTTTAGGCTTTTTGCTCTCTTAGGATTTTCGTTGGGTGGGCTATAGCAGCCTATTGGTCAAGGTTTCTTTGGCGGTTTATTTGGTCATGAGATCTTTGTCGGTGGAATTATGGAATATGTGGTGATGTTATTCCTGTGATGGTACCCACGATTTTGGGACGCGATGCTATGGATGCTATTGATGGGTGGATGGATGGAGTATATATACCCAATGTTTTTATTTTATTTTATATTGTCTTTTTTTTTTTAACATGATGAGATTGGGAATATTTATATACAGTACTCGTATATTGATTAACCTGGTAGTTTTTGACTACCGGTAATTGCTCGTTTTGTGCATTTATTATTATTCTGCCAGTGTGATTATTTTGTGGATGTAGATGTGGATGTGATGTTAGAATAGTTAGGTACTGTAGGACCAATACGGGTTTTCCTAGAGAGGTGGAGGTTTTGACGCCTTTAGAGTAGGTTTGAGTCTTTGGTGATTTGTGATTTGTGATTCGGATTTAGAAGGTTGGATGTTGAGGTTGGAGGTTGGATGTACTTGAGTATGATTGTAATTTAAGATTTAAGATTTAAGCTTTAAGATTTAAGAGGATTACTCGTAGAAGTAGATCGAAAATTAGAAGTATAATCAAAATGAAAAATCGTGTTCACACTTGGTAAGTAAAAAAATTGCTGGTATATGGTGGGTGTGGGTATGGGTATGGAGGGGAAAAGGTAAACTGGGGTGGGCTGGGCTGGGCTGGGTTTGGTTGGGTGGGGCTGGAGGGGGCGGGTGGAATGAGTTGGGGTGAGGGTTAGATGGGGCGAGGGGTGGTTTGCTTGTGTATGTATTTGTGGCTTGTCTTTTTTTTTGTAGGTGTATGGGTGTATGGGTGTATGGGGGAAAGTTGTGGGGGAGAGGGGAAGGGAGAGAGAGAGAGAGAGAGAGAGAGAGATGGAAGGGGAGAGGATCTTTTGGGATTGAGGATTGATATCATATTCTAGATCTTCACGTGAGATAATTTTAAGTGTATACTGTAGGGTTGGCTACATACATACCGATTAGTTTGGAGGGTGTAGATGTAGATGTAGATGGGAGGGTGCAGAGTTTGGAGTCTGTAGAAACAGTGTTTAGGTTTAAATGGCTAGCGCTGTTGGCATGGGATACTGAAATGATGAGATGATGAGATGATGGCTGTATACTGAGAGGTATGTGGATTCTGACCTGTCACAACTCAAGAGATTGTATGTGCAATTGGGTTTGCAAAATCTGCTACCGATCTGCACGTCGTTCATCATGGATGGTACAAGTGCGAAAGGATGGGTACTAGCTCCTCGAGTACATATCTTGACGTTAGTGTAGTGTTGAATTTGGATTAGGATTTGGATTTGGGTTGATGTGGTGTGGTGTTTGTTTTCTGTTTTTACTCCAGTACTCGTAATGTGAAAGAAATTCTCTTGCAACAACGTATTCATTTTCATCTCTGCCCATGGAAAAGCTTGAAGATCAAAACCTGCCAGGTTGATGCCACTGATTCTGGGCTGGGAATCGCTTAATTTGTGCATCATCAGCCACAGCATCATCTTTGCTAGGAGTGTCATTAGAAGTGAACCCTCTCTTCTTGTCAACACCAGCGCCACCGACATTTTTGCCGTCGAATGAAGCCACGACCTCGGTCTGCAGGTTATGTGCGGAATTCGAGGTGGTGGGTTTCCGGTTGGTCTTTGAGATGACATAAGCAATAACCTTTTGGATTTCTTGAAAATCATCATCAGATACCTTCGCGACACCTTGTGGTGGGGTCTCATAGGGCTCTGCTGATAAGACTCCCAAAGCATTGCTTCCTAGCATTCGTATACGGTTCATTAGGCTGGCCGTATTTCTTTTCCATTCGTCATATTTTACATCAAAATTCCCCCAGATTTCTCAACTAACAACTCGTGCGTTTTGTCGTGTATCAAGACGAAAGTTTTTATTAATTTATGACAGACATCAAGGGAAATGCGGTCCAAATGTTTCCTCCGTGGTGGGATCACGTGAAACACATGCTTTTCCTTCGTAGGATCGGTTAAAAATGCATCTAGAAGCTTGCAGTCGGCGCAGTCTGTGCTACATCCTCGAGGTTGGCGGGCCCAGCTCAGGAGCCGGATGGGTTTCTTGGTGCGGCAGCGTATAATACAAGAGCTGATGACACTCTGATACATTTGCTTGAATACTGGTGTATTCCATGCATCTGGGATATCCTTATCCATCAAATTGGCAAGAACCGAGCCATGAAAAAGGGCGCGTCAGAAGATTGGGCCTGAACGCACAGCTCCTCAAAGAAAATTTCCAACTCGCGAGACATTCCTCGTTGGGAAGCGAGACAAATTATTAGGGCTAGATGACGGTACTTTTTCTGAGGTCTTACCTCCTCTGGGCTGGGTGGGACCTTTGTTTGATATATAGCTGGCATCATAACCATTCTCGCCTTCTACAAGTGGGAAATCATCAGGCCAGTCATTCAGATCCAGCCCCACGAGCCTATTAAAATTGGCTGATAGTAATTCTTGGAAAACGAGATCAAGTGGCTGTGGTGTGTATTTGCTTAATGAGAGGCTGCTTGATACATGCGTCAAGATAGCACAGAGCATTCTTTGAACATGCAAATTTTTCTTGATTGCCGGCAGGAAACTAAAACTGATTAGTACAAGGTCTTGATAAAGAAGCATGAAAATATATACAGCTTGATGAGTTGTTTCTCAGACCATCCTTTTGCTAGTCTGGTTAGAGATGCGGCATCACGTACACCTAGGGATCTCGACGATGATAATGCTACTTCGTACTGATCGGAGGACCAATCTAATGTCTCTTCATATGGTGATAGATTCTCAATCACTTTACAACGAAGATGAAAAACATCGATTTGCGAAATATGTGATTCTGCCCTGATAATAGGTAAGCGATTTGATATCAGCACTGTATGGCCCATTCTAAACGCACCCGGCTAAGAGCCAATGAGATCCATGCCTCTCTTTCATGACGGCCAACAACGGGTGATATTCAGGACTGGAGAAGTAGAGGGGCAATGCGCGATGGAATAGACACTTTTCATCCAGATCTACTGTCGAGATAAGAACTCGGGAAAACACCTCTCGCAAAAGTCCCGTCGAGGTCTCGCTCCAAGGGTCGCTTTCTGGAAGGATTAATCTGAACGCCTTTGCCAGAACTTCCCGGTCAGCGGTAGAGGCTTTGATCGTGTACTTTCCGACACTAGTCATGTATCTGAGAAAACGTTTGATTCGGTTACCGCCAAATCTGCTTAAGACAAACCCCGAGCGAAACGCTCGGGGTATAAGAATTACAATTTGTGACACGGTCAGTCATCCCAGGTTTCTTTGTTGGTAAGTCCACTTACCGTGAAGCAGGAACGTCTTTCAGAATGCTCATCATCATTCTCCTCCAATTCTTCATACGTCAAGGCGCTATCAAAATCGTCACCGTTCACAAGATTGTCCTTGGAGAAAGAAGGACCAGCTTCATGTAGCACCTCATCCTCGAGGTCAATTCCTCCTGTGAGCTCCAGAGTTTCCTCCCGAATAACTTCCCTTACAACTTGACCTCTGTCATGTTCCAAGCCTCCCTCGTCACAAGAGTCGTCACTGCAGTCACAGTGTTCAAATCTTTGGATGGGGGATCCGGGCTCCGAGTAAGCTTGACCTTTAACTAGTTTATCTAATCTCGAAAGGTAGACATCAAACTTGTTATCTTCGCAGACCTCTTTAAGCTGATTGAAAATATGGCGATCTTGCTCAGAAAGAGTATTGATGGACGACGTTCTTGAGAATCGATTCTCGGACAGCACGTACCCCAACACATTTCCGGAAATTAGCTGTTGATTTTTGTTCCAGATTTTGAGTATACTTTGTAAATCCAACAATGACGTTTTTAGAGCTGCAGCAGAACCTAGGAATATGGTATGTCAGAAGAAACTTGGGGAACTGCTTTTGAACCGCTGATGTCTCTGAGGACGACGACCTTGAGAAGAAGAAACGAGAAGTGTAGGGAAGGGGGTAAAGAGGCTGCAAACAACCAGAGACCTGGTTTTCATCATACTATGAAAATCACATATTGACACTCAGGTTATTGGTGTGACGTAGCAGTAATGCATGGAAAAAACTCAAATAGTTCAGACTACTCACTAGTCTCGCCGGGTGCTGTATGTCGAAGCTTATATCTAACAATAAGACGGTGACCTGAAGATAATGGCGTGCTGCTAACTGGAACATCAGTAAACTTCACATTGTTAGTTGACGTAATTAGCAAACAGAATAAAGCATCCTCACCCAAGCAAGAAAGGAGGGGTCCCATTCTGAACCATCACCCTGTATTCGGCTCTTCTTGCCACCATATTGCACGATAAATTCTTCACCTTCTCGTGCGGATGGTAATATGATGTCTAATACCCCAAAATCGGACTCGGTTAATTCTGAAGTGCTAAGCCATGATTAGCACCTGGCGGGTTTGTGGAAGCCAGGGAGAGCCTACTCAAATATTTCCATAGTACTCCCAGGCTCATAATACATGAGAGCACTCAGTTCTGAACTAGCACTCTTGTTCCCCAAGCCGATCTCGACTTTAACCTGCTCAAGTACAGATTCAACTACCGATTCCCAATCCGGATTTCTTGTAGATATTTGGATACCCGGAACACTATGTATGTGAGGTGAGGGAAGTGTATCAACATCAGATTCGCCAGACCTTGAGCCGCTTGCTGCAATGATCCTAGCAAAGTCATACTCGGTCAACGGAAACCCAATTATGCCATGGCCTTCAATAAAAATTCCTGGATTGACAGCGTCGGGGATACTTCCATTGTGAAAAACTGCACTACTTTTCTTGATACCATCAAGACTTACCCGGAGATTTTCTTTCAATTTCCGAAAGCTAGGCTCCTTGTACGAAGCAGTCTCCACGCTGGTGGCATTGGAGTTAGCCATTATCAGCCACGAAGTCGGGTTATCTGACTTTACTCTGGCACGTATACTTTGGAATGATACTCGAGTAGAGGAAGACGCGTTGCAATTAATTAACGCGTGGATCTGCAGTAATTTGCACGAAATACACGTGACTATATACTTCACCGCCTTTGATGAGCTAAGTCAATTCAGCTAGCCAGCTCAACTAGTCTAGCCGCAATTTGTTTGCTGAATAAGTTGCTGACAAAATGTTCATCAGCATCAAAAATCAAAGTCCAAAGCGACTACTGGAGTAGTCCAGTCCCTATCTATCATATATCAGTAAGTGAACAAAAGCCCGTCAAAGAAATATATCAATATATCTCAAATCAACAAGTAATCATTTACTCATCTTCACGTAACGTATATCTTCCTTGATCTCTCATGTTCTAGCAGACTTGTCGAAAAGTCTATATATGAAGTTCCTCATTCTCTTAACCTCCATTTTCATTGCATCAATTTCCATAATATTCTACAACAGCAGTACTCCACTATCACAGTTCTTTCAATACTTCACAGACTCTATACCAACCCAATCTTCTATGAGCACTACATCTGCCATCAAGTCAACAATGTCTAAATCACTTTCACACGCCAAAATTACCCCGCGCCGTTCGTCCGCGCGAGGACACGCTGATCATGGATGGCTTAACTCATATCATACATTCAGTTTCGCAAACTATTATGATAGCCAATTCCAGAACTTTGGAAATCTGCGGGTCCTTAACGAGGATCGTGTCGCTGGAGGCACAGGATTCCCTACTCACCCTCATCGCGACGCTGAGATCTTCAGTTATATTCTTAGTGGAGAATTGACCCATAGGGATAGTATGATTAAGAAGGGGGCAGAGGGAAAAGAAGGAGATGATTTCTACAGAATGAAAAGAGGAGATGTTCAATTCACAACTGGTGGAAGTGGTAAGTCTATCTTCTTCCTATTTTAATTAAATATATGCTAATGAGTATTTTACAGGAATTGCACATTCCGAACAAAATGAATCCAAGAAAGAAGTCCACTTCCTTCAAATCTGGGCCCTTCCATGGGCTAGATCTTTGACTCCACGATACCATACAAAAACTTTCTCCGAAGACGCCAAACGATCTGCATTCCTGACAATTCTCTCTCCACTGAAAGCTGGTCCTGGTGCATCTGCAGAAGAGGAAAAAGCAGCGGAACCAACACTCCCCGATACGATTCCTATACATGCCGATTTAGTCATGGCTGCTGGAATCATTGGAGTCGATAAGAGATTCAAATGGATCGTTGGTGGCGAGGCAACAACGAGCGTCGAAAGCAGAAAGGTCTATGTGCATGTTCCTATGACCAAAGGAGGCAACGCAAAAATTAGGTTAGACGGTAGAGAAGGAGCTGTCCTCTCCGAGGGTGATGGGGCTTTTATTGAAGGGGTCAACGCAGGAGATGTTTTGAGTGTTGAAAGCATCGGAGAGGCCGAGGCGGAGGTCATAGTGTTGGACAGCGATTAGTCGTTTGGATTGAATGAATTTTGCTTGTATATATTGATACCTACTTAGCATCTATTGTACCTCTAGTTTCATAAAAATAAATATTCCAATACCCTTCAAAACTGCAGTGTCACTTGCCATTTCAATAAGCTTCTCTGAGATGTTGCATTCGATAACATTTAAAAATAGGACAGTGTCCACTCACTATTGTTCCGATATTCAAAATGTACTCAATTTAAGGTCACGGCAATAGACCCATAGAGCCCATACCAGATAACCGAACTCATTATTCAATCAAATGACATTCTCAATCTTTCCAGGCCAAATGACCAATGGCCTATCTCTAGAAACACTCTTTGCAAACCTCCTAATCCATACTAACTCAAGGTAGAGCCTCGAGAGTCTCAGAACATCAGATATATATAGGCAGTTGAATCACAAGCATAGCATACATAGTCTTGCAAAGTAGCTAGCTAGTTCTGTTACTTGAGTATTAAGTAAATAATAGCGGGATGATTGGGACTCGGGAGGCGCTACTGGATTATGTTGTTATTGTATGGATTTGGAAGAGGGGGGTGAAGAGAAAGGGGGGATGATAGAGGTGATGATAGAGGAGAGGTGAGGTGTAAGAATGGTGGAGGGAATGGTGGTATATGTTGCTCCCGGCTAGGTTCTTGTCGCGGGTATAAATTTGCTCCCGGTGAGCTCATAGTAGGGTTTATGCTATTCTTCAATCCCTGATGAGGTTCAGATATGCTGACAATAAATAATCTGTTTACCTCTCCTCATTCACACTACCACATTATCGCAATGCTCCCTATTGAGGCATATCAATCATGCTCTTCCCTTAATCTCACTCTTCTGCCCATGAATCCTTGAATAAACAAAAAGTTGATCGTCTCATCAAAACATAAAGTCAGACGATGAACATCGGTGTGATTAACAACGATAGTATAAGCATCGTGTAATGCCGTGAAAGTAAGTGTCTGCAACGAAATGATCATCCTTCGATTGATCGAATATTTTTCTCATAGCATTGATCCGTGTCTTGTACGAAGAAGTTCTGAAGCTACGTATATTTGTTAAAAGCACTTCTCAATGACAACCATGGTATTTTCCTCAGTGGTCGTGTTGAACTTGTCACGAAGAAAATTGATGGGAATCGTATTTCTTCAGACAGAAGTTTTTCCAAATTGCCACCTATAAAGTACTCCCGATGAGCTTTTACGGGAATCAATCTCATGATATATAAGGATTTGATGTGCTCCGATGTTGTCTCAAGGGTGTTGTGTGAATTTGCCTCTGATCCCTCCTTTTATCTAATCAGTAGCATTGCTGCCATATTTGATTACCATATGCAGTCACTAATCTCCCAAATATCAAGGAACATGTCATCGTTGCAATCACAAAGCACACAATATCACCAAATAGATGCAAAGACACCAGGATAGTTAAAACAATAACTGCTTTTCAATTAAGACTAAAATCACATAAAATGCCTCGTCTGCCCATCCCCAGTATGAAGGTAAAATTTAGCAAGCCCCATCGCGAAGATGTGCTGCTGATGAATCGAATGAAATCCCAAATCAAAACGCAAAAGCCCGTGATCAAAAGAAAAGAAAAATCCCAAAACCATCCCCAAAGACGAAGAAGGAAGAAAATGTATCAAGTATACTAATACTCAATCTACAGAACGTTGGCAATGGCAAAGATGGCAGCAACGAATCCCCATGCGGAGAAAGCGATGCTGGAACCGGCACCAGTGAATTGCTCGATACCAGAGGTACCGGTGGAGACTTCTGGGATGAAAGCAGCATTCGAGGAGGCTGGGTCAGATGCAGCCAAAACACCTGCAACATCACCGGTAGAGGCGGGTGCTGCAACATCGCTGGGGGAGCCGGCGACTGCAGCGACTGCAGCGGCTTTGCTTCCTCCGTACCATGGTCCCCAACCGTTGTTGTTTTGGCCCTTGTTGAAGTTGAAGCCCAAATTCTTGTTCTATTCGCATGGCGATGTCAGTAATTGCCCACAGAGAAAGATTAGGGAGATTGAATGGGAGAAAATGGATTTGCTTACGATGTTGTCATTGATGTTGTAGTTTGTGTTCTGGTTGACATTGGTCTTGAATGGGTGAGTCAGTAATATCCTAGAGTACAAATATATAGGGAGTAATGGCGTCAGGAAGAAAGGGAGCCGGGTGGAAGATCTGGGATATGCTTACATTCTCGTTCTGGTTTACGTTGACATTGCTGTTGAGGTTGGCATTTTCCTATAACATAACCAGTTAGTAGTTGTTCATCAATGAAGCTGATCGGAGAAGAATCGGGGTTGAGCGGAGATCGATATTCTTACATTTCCATTTTTGTTGCCGTTTTTGTCCTTGTTGTCATTGTCTGGTTTACCTGGTCTACCTCCATGTCCCTCTTCTCCGTGTCCTTCTCCTTCATGTCCTTCTCCTTCATGTTCATCGCCTCCATGCCCAGAAGCTGGATCAGTCGCACCAGCCTCTTCCTCTCTGGGGTGGTAAGGCTTGTGGCCAGGAGGACATTCGCATTCTGCTGCACCAACTTGGCCACCAATCTGATAAGCGGAGATAGGCGTAGTTGAAAATGAGCCATCCCTGTTGTATTCGAGAGAAGGACCTTCCACTCCTGATGCTTCAAGCTGCGCGCCTATAGCTGCCGCAGTACTCCCGGGCGCTGGGGTCGCTGTTGTTGGTCTTGGTTTTGGACGACGACCTCCTCCAAAATTCTGTGCGGCAAATTCGTCCTCATCCTGACCTTCTTGTCTCTTGCCGTACGGCCTTCTTGGAGGAGTGGTGTCGGAACTCGTTTTGTAAATTATTGTACCGTCTATGATGCTTCCCTGCGCCTCTGAAAATTAAGGTATTAGTTGAAGTTCAAGACAGTGTAGTACGATATGAAACGTGGTTACTTACGAAAAGCGGTCGCATCCACAGCATCAGGAGTACATTTGCAAGTTGCCCCTTGAACTTGTCCCGCTGCTGCTTGCCCGCCAATAATGAGAGTCGTACTCTCCTTTGATGGGTAGGGTCTGACTCCATTGCCTGGACCACCACCATTGCCTGGACCACCACCATTGCCTGGACCACCACCATTGCCTGGCCCGCCACCATTCCCTGGTCCACCTCCATTCCCTGGTCCACCACCATTGTTTTGACGTCTGCTAATGGCCGCCACATCAGCAACTTGAGGGCTACCTTGGGCAGTAACTAAATGGGCCGTAGCCAAGAGGACTTGGAGAATTATATCGGCCTTCATGATGAAAGACTTTGACTGAAAGTAAGTGAATGTGGTATGTCTTGAAGACTATATTTATTGTTTGGAAGAAAGAGTGTATACAAGTTGGTTCCTGGTGTACGAAAAGAGAAAAGAAGATGGAACTGCATCGTGGTTTTATATCTCGCGATCATCATTGTTATGATTCAGCTTCGAGCTTCATTGTTGAGGATCAGACGGTGAGGAATGAACCTCTGCCATGGGCAGGGGCATCAGGTATGGGAATGTGAAATCCAAAACAATTTAGAATGGTGTGCTCGATGGCGAATTTTCCCAAACTCAAGATTCCATTGGTTCGAATACCAGATATTAGGAATCTTTTTTGCAGTACTGTTTATTTAAGTCGCATAACTGCCAAGCTGTTCTTGAGATGAGAATGTGTGTTGTGGTTGAGGAATGTACGCCTTCGCTAAAAACCAATCATGATAGGTTGACCGTGGAATCAAAAAACAACCCTATCCACATATCACAACTTTGTGAGAATCTCTACGGCGCCACATTACAAAGGTTATGAGAATCGGATCACCCTTGACCCCCAATTTTAGCGTAGCTAACCTCAGTTTTCATATGGTAATGACAACATCGCCATCGTCACACCGCCAGTAAATATGGGGATTCGGGGAAATGCCCATACCATTCCTTGAACCACTGATATGTGAATCAGTATGTGCTCTTGCTAAAATTCTTTTAGAACGATCTATGGTATTTGTTAGAATTGGGTTGGAAATCACGGAGGCGCGCCCTACACCTCCGTACCAAGTGAATTAATGAATTGGGAAGAGGCTTGCGAAGTCTACGCATAATAGCAAATGTTTCTTTCAATGTGAGAGAGAGTATTTTTTGTGCCCCCAGTGACCCACATTGAATTTGATTAAAGAACGACATAACTATATCCTCTGGAGCCGACACTTGCCGGTGAGTAAAGAGAAGGTCCATATTTCAACCCCATCGATAACTAATTTTCCCCCTCTTCAACCCCCTTCCACCCACCAACCAAAACACAAGATCAAGTAACAGTTCGACCTCCACGTGACATAACTCACAATGTCTTCTCAATCCACAATCAACTTTAAAGTACTCTTTGAACTTTTATCATCCCCTGAAAATGCCAACCCCAATCTAAACAACCAATACCAATGGACTCTCAATTATACTCTCATCAATCCATCTCCTTTACTTGCTCCATCAAGCCCTCATCCAACATCATAAAGCTCTATTCAAAGACCTCCCACAGTAAATGCCATCGCATTTTTCTCAGTATTAACTATAATACCATAATACCATGTACCTACACTATCTCTAGAACAATCTTCCCCTCTACTTCTTGCATACTCAACTCGAGCTTCCATAGAGAACATCATTCCTTTAAGTTCTATCCCGCTCGGTTCCTCAATCTCCACTAGGGATTTTTCCGCGCTATGTCTTTTCTCACCCAACGGTCTTGACTTCTAGACCATCTCTTTCTTCTTTCCTTTTCGGTAGCGAAGCATCGTCAAGTTGTTTTTCTACAATATGAGGTCGGCGAGCAGGAGTGTGGCGTCCTCGAGGAGAGGGTAGTTCTGATAAATGAACGTGAGGTACAGATTATTGGTGGATGAGGATATTTAGGGGTAACTTAGGGATAATGTGAGCGCTCTACAAGACTGGTGGATATTTGTGCTCCGGGAGGATAGAAACCATGGCGAAAGGATAGTATACAACAAATCTTCTGGAGAAAAAACCAAGAATTACATATTGGCAAACTTGATTCATTTCATTGTGAGGGTGCTTTGAGTGTACTTTGGGCGTGCTTCTTTGGGCGTGCTTTGGCATATTGTAAAAAAGTGTAACCTCATACAACCAAATCCTCTAGTCTCCTTGAGAAGTCCAATTCCCAGCTTGGTGGCTCAATGAAAAATACTGATATCGATGCAATGAAATAAAGCCTTCTGAATGTTGATAAAGATAGTAGCATAAATGGAGAAACTACCAACGAAAGAATCTTTGCCCAACCAAAAAGTAAATTGTGCACAGAAGACAATGACTCCGCATAGTAAGAAATAAGTACTAAAATGACACAGAAAGTTGTGAAAGGTAGACAATGAATAAATGTCGGAAGCCTTTGACTCAATGCAACTGCACAAAGTAGTAAATTTTGCCAATGAATGAATGTTCTCGATGATGCTGAGCCTATGCAGCTATCTCCATGAATCATACAAAGAAGAAATCTTCCCAGACATAGATTTAAATAGTCGACATCTCCCATCAACAACAACCAAAACTTTCTGATCATCAAAAATCAACTCACACTGATCACGAAACTCGATAACCATCAACATGGCGGTTTGTGGCATATTTTGCATTGCAAATAATCCAAGCCATATCGGAGCACAAGGAGGCTTTAGACTTGAAGCACTACCTCTTGTATCAACATCTCTTCACACCACCATCAGAGCCACAACTTTGCATACTCGTTTCACCCAGACTTTCGATAACTCCTCCGAAAGGACATTCCATCATGCCGATATGAATTTTCCCTTTATGATGGAATCAGCATCGTCAAGTTTACATGTACTATCGGCCAGAAAAGACTCTTGGGAGTTGTGTACGAAAACACTGTTGCGAAGAAGATTTACGAGGATGCCAAGAACCGAGGACAGACGGCAGGATTACTGGAGCAACACACCCAAGCAAGCGATGTCTTCAGCACTTCGTTAGGCAATATTCCAGCGAGGCAGAAGGTAGTCGTGGAGGTCGAGTATGTTGGGGAGTTGAAGATGGAAGGTGGAAATGTGGTGAAGCTTATCATTCCGAACAAAGTCGCACCGAGATATGGAATGCCTGGCCCAGTATCGACAGATCTTGATATGACCACGAATGGCGGCATGAAGATCACACAGTTGATGTCCTGATGTGGGAGAGTATGAGCATTGATGGATTGACCTCGCCTTCTCACCCTATCGCCATCACAATTGGGGCTTTATCGTCTGTGACCGAAAAGAAATCCAGCAATATGGCTTCAGCCACGCTGGCTCAAGAGAGTGCAGTTTTGGAACGGGACTTCGTACTGTTGGTCACTGTTAAGGATTTGGGAAACCCAAAGGCTATGCTGGAGACTCATAGCACCATTTCCAATCATAGGGCATTGATGGTTTCCTTGGTTCCCAAATTTACGCTGCCAGCCCACCGGCCAGAGATCGTTTTCGTGGTTGACAGAAGCGGAAGCATGAGAGATAAAATGCCAATGGTCATATCTGCAATGAAGGTTTTTCTGAAATCTTTGCCAGTGGGAACCCATTTCAATATCTGCTCCTTCGGCACCAGTTACTCATTTCTGTGGGCAAAGTCAAAACAATACACACCGGACAGCTTGAAAGAGGCTCTCCAGCGGATTAGAACTTTCCTAGCTAATCTTGGAGGGACTGAGACATTGAAAGCACTTACCGCCGCGATCGAAAATCGATTACCGGACTTGCCACTGGAGATTATGCTCCTTACAGACGAGAATATATGGCAGCAATCGGAGTGTTTTGAATACCTAAATGGCGAAGTCAACAAGAGTCAGGGAAAGATCAGAGTGTTTCCACTAGGTATAGGGGAAAGCGTTTCACATGCTTTGATCAATGGAATTGCCCGAGCAGGAAATGGGTTTTCGCAGACTGTACAGCGTGGCGAAAATATGGGGAGAAGTGTTGTCCGTATGCTGCGCGGCGCACTGCACCCCCATATCACGGATTACACCGTGGCAATTAAATACGAATCCGAAGACGATGATTTCGAGATCATCGAAAGAGTCACAGACAGTATGAAGTTCCTCCTCTCGAATATTGACAAGAAACCTGAACAACCGGAAGAGCAAAATCTCCCTACAATCTCTCTGTTCGATCCAACCGTTGAAGACCTTGAAGATACAGTCATGCAGGATGCACCTCCTCGACAGCTACCAGACATACCGACGCCAAAACTCTTACAGGCCCCGGACAAGATTCCTTCGTTGTTTCCAGGAGTCAACACGGTAGTATACTTGTTGATGTCTCCGGAAACAATCCAGCGAAACCCAACAACCGTGGTTCTGAAAGGTAAATCTGCACATGGGCCGGTGGAGCTATCCATTCCTATCGAGATACTTCCGGTACCATCCAATACTATACATCAGCTAGCAGCTAGAAAGGCTACCCAAGACCTCGAGGAAAGCAGAGGTTGGGTCTACAACGTGGAAGAAGACAAAGGTGGTTTGAAAGACTGTTATCCATCCCAGTTCGCCGATATTGTGAAGCGGGAGGCTGTACGCTTAGGACAGCAATTTCAAATTGCTAATCGATGGTGCTCTTTCGTAGCTGTCGCGGATAATGACGCCGAAAGTATTGAAACATTTAATTCCGTGGTCGTTGAGAATCTACAACAGAGCAAAGATCAAGTCAAAGTGAACGCGAGGACCCGTCCGGCTTCTGATGGGTTTTCCGAACGAATGACAAGAAATCGTCAAGTCATACCACCACCAATACTTGACGTGAGCAACAAGCTCAGCCGGTCTGTTAGAGGTTCAACTACTACCGCGACTACAAACACTCATACACTCAACCCTACGGCTTCATTCTGGCGCTCTTCGGGAGTTTCTGTTAGTTCAAATGAAGCCACATCCATGTCAATGGCCCAGGATGTGCACCCAGGAGTCAGAAGACAGGAAGACTCAGTACCAGGGACAGATTATGATTATGGTACTTGCTATAGAATGCGCGATACTTATGAAGGTGACTCTTCCCCGAATTTCGACCATACCTACAATAGTGCAATCTTATACCGTAGGACCGCGCCAGCACGGCGTCGTCGTCGTCAGGAAAGCAGAGCTATCGCCCCTTCAAATTCCTCTTCCGAAATTGCGAGTGGAAAAGATTGGGCCATTGCTTCTTCGGTAGAAAGAGTTTTGAAAATCATCGACCTTCAACAATTTGAGGGTACCTGGATTCTCCTACCAGATATTGAGCCCATCCTCCGCTTCAAGGTTCCTCAGGATGTCTTCGACGTTGCGAAGAATGCCACTGCCAAAAAAATGTGGATCACCCTGATTGTTCTATACTTCCTTGAGCAGACAATGGCAAGAGAGGTGGAAATTTCAGAACTTGTCATTGCTAAGGCAAAAATGTGGTTGTCTAGCACGAAGGCCAAGTCTGTACCAGAGATTGAACAGATGAAGAAGGCAGCTTTGGAGGTTGTGGGGCAAGGAAATGGTACTGTTGGTTAGAAGGCTCTGGGTGGTGGAGGAACGATTTGCTTTGAGGGACTGAAGTGCCTGTTGAATGCAGTGTGAGTTCTTTGAGAGCTGACTGAAGTAGTAAAGATGGTGACTACTCACACTGTGTATTCAGATATCCCTTTGGGTCGTCTTCTACTCGACTAAGTAGCTTATGATAGTTTATTGAGCAATACAAAGCGTGATTTTGAATTAGAAAACGTGCTGTCTGTGCATTACCTCATCCGGATCAGCTGACCTTGGGAGCCCTAATCCCTACGGCTTTGTTCCGCGCTAAAAGCCTACGGTCTAGCCCAACAGGCCATGGAGTTTAAACCTCCAAACCAATATCACGATCATATTCAATCAATCTTGCGACAACAATCCAACAAGCGCAATCATGGCACAACCTGCTCTTCTTCAAGAAGACCTCAAAGCTCTTGAGCAAACTCGTCAGCGTCTCTTACATTTAACATCCAATATCGCATCTTTGAAAGCTGATTTCCAGAGGGGCGCACCTCTACCTGAATAGTTCGTACCTTCCTTGCTTGCTTGTCGCATCCTGCATTCCTCAATCATATTCAGACTAACTAATTGATAAACAGCTCCTCAATAATGACATCCTCATCTATCCTAAGCACAAACATCCAATCCGTAACCGATCATCTCGCCGCCAACAGCGACATACTCTCTCGCATTGTCGCATTCCCCTCTACAAATTATCCAGGTCGCACACAAGAGGGGCTTCTTCTACAATTACTGCGCAAGAAACTAGAGCCACAAGTCGAAGCTTGGGTAGACGAGGGTCGCAATTTACAGATAGATAGTGCTGGAGAAGGAGGTAACCAAGGAGATATTGAGGAAACATGGAAATGGGCGGCGGAATGGATTGGGCCGAGGATAAGGGAATATGCTATAAATGAGGCCAGTGATGAGTATACGGCGGAGGAGAGAGAGACTGGAGTTGAGAGTGTTAACACAGGGCTTAAGGAGGAGGAGGAGGAGGAGGAGAGTGATGAGGAGGAAGAGGAAGAGGAGGATGACGATGAGATTATGGACGGAATGGCCCAAAGTTCTGAGAAGAAAAAGACGTCGGAAAAAGCCATGACGAGGAAAGATGGGAGGGTAAGGAGCAAAGAAGAGATCTTGAGATTTGCTACCAGTGGGGTTATCTGAGGACTTGCCATTATGCGGAAAGAATAATTACGCTCGTATTGGTGAGCGATCAATTTTAATAGATCTGATCTTGTGCTCTGGAGGACATTTTGGTCATCTCTAGAAGAGCAGGACTTCATGATCCAGTGGCCAAATGCTGTCTGAATAAGATCAGTAAAAAACACTATTGGTCGGTGTAGTCACCATCGCCATTGTTGGAAGCCGGGAAACCATATTCCACGCATGCATTGGCTGAAAGTCGGCCTCAAACGACGACGATCGAATTGCACTACCAAGCTATAGTAGTAGCATTGCAGATAAATACATAAGTATAGCCTACTTAATTAGCACTCATAAGAGTTTACCATCAATCCATGACAACGTTCAAAACATCACTCATCGCTCATCAATCATCTTATGTACTCCTCTATTCCATTTGACAAGCAAAAAGTATAATGAGATGCGCCAAAATATCTAAATAGCTAGCAAGAATACTAGCGAGCCTGGAAAATCAGCACGAGTAGAGTATGTTGCAATACTCGGATATATTAACGTAAATGAGGAGATATCTTGCATGGAGTTTTGATGTATGATATAATAATGTAAAGAGGATGACTATTTGATGAAAAGAATTCCAGAGGATATCAAGAGAGTTGGAAGGAAGGAGGGGGTCTGGATCTGAATCTTTCTTGAATGTGCCAAGATTGCCAGCTATGGAGCTATGGAGGTATGGAGGGAGGGGTTCTTTTCCGTGGAAATATGCAGAAGAGGTTTTGGGGAAAAGGGTTTGATGAGGGAATTGTGGATGTAGCGATGGCTTGGGCAAGTTCAAAAAATTGTCGATATGCATTAGCTGAGGTGTCACGTTCCTGTAAGATAGCAGTACAGTATTTAGGACAATTAGATTAGATCAGTGTTATCTACCATCCACATATTAGACCAAAAAAAGACTTCAACCGCACTTAGCAGGAGTCAAAAGGAGCAAAATACTAAGAAAAAGAAACATTCCTAAAAAGTATCTATCCACGTCTACGTGTACTAGGGCTTTTAGCCGTATTCTTTTGCGACGGGGTTGTGGATGCAGTAGGAGAAGCTGCAACAGGAACCTTCTCCTTTTGCTTCCCATTCGAAGATTTCTTGCTCTTGTTCTTGGTGCTCTTGCTCTTAGTCTTGCTGGGGGAATTCCAGTAGTATACCATTTGTAAAGCCAAGATGGCGTTGAGAGCGAAACCGGCGATGAATCCGTAGAGAATAAGTTTATCGTCTACTTCTTGAAGGGTGGTGAAGATTCTGGAGAGAGAACCGGCGAGATAGTTGAAGACCTGAGGGATATTGGATTAGCATTATGTTACCTCGATATATGAAATTAGATGCAGTGAAATAAAAGCTTACAGCAAAAGCGCTCAACTGTCCTGTTCCTCCCTCTTGCCAAACAGTCAAAATTTGCGGCAGTTTACTTGCCACTCCCAAAACTCCAGCTACAGCTTGCAGGTATGCTAATTGTTGCATATTCAACATATTTCCACCAAATAGCGTAACGGCACTGGCAGCCAATCCAGCCACGAACAGAGCAGCGGTACTAGCTCTTCCGCTGTAATTCAATACCAACACGGCAATAACCACATTCTGCACCATAATCAGAGCCGTTTCGCCATATGTGCTGAAAGGAAACTCGGATCGGTAGTTGTAGGCGAGAGAAATAAGGTAGGCAGATGTTTCGAGGAGGTAGGACAGGAAGGAGATTCCGGAGGAGGATTTGGAGGAGATGAGTTTGAGGAGTTGCGGGATCTTGACGATGGAGGAGGCGGCGATGATTCCTACTCCTAGACCTTTAGAAATGGCAAGTTTAAGACATTCGGTGTGGGATGGGTCAATGTCGAGGAGGAGGGTCTTGTAGCATTGTTCTCCGATGAGGGAAACTCCCAAGTCTTTGATGGGCGCGGGAAGATTGTGAGTTATGGGTTGGAGAGCGGTACGAAGTTGATCCATGATGAGGAAGTTATGCTGATAGAGGATAGAAGAGTAGTGTAGATCGTGAGGATATGTTGCGATGAATGTGGTGAGATGATAAATTTTTCTTTTGGTGAGAAGTTGAGAGACGCGACCAGGCTGTCAAGTGGAAATTTTAGTGGATACAGTGCCGAGTTGTTCAATCTTACAAATCCAATTATAATTCACAACATAACATACTCGAGTATATATACGAAAAATTGGGTGAATTCACGTTTGTGTGAAAGAAAATAATGAATTAACTTATTCCATAAAAACAATTGTTTTCGAAAATCTCAAATGTTCATGTCATCTTCAATATGAGGTTATCAAAATGCCTGGAATTATTCAGATCTAGGTAGCATATCAAGTCAGCTGATGTTTTTGAGGTCAGATCTATTGAGTAATCGTCTCATATTTAATACATTACAGACCAAATCAATGCAAATCATCTCATCACCTTGTTGTTAACAGAGGAGAGGGAACAATTGAGTGGGAATGTCGTTGACTAGATTTCCATCGGATAGCCTAGAAACGAGATATGGAAACTATTCGAAGAACCTACTAGTGTGGTCGAAGAAGTCTATTGCAACGAGTGATCATACGCTATTATATTTCCTGATTAACAAGGAAGTTAAATTGTTGCACATTGTTATCAAAATTCCAAAGATTCATCTTCACAACTCCGTGAGCTTTATCCCAATATATACTATCTAAATAATATATTTCTCCAAAACTCATTTCCATTGGCCTCGTGCAGTCTACCAACAAACTGTTTGACTCTGTACATCCATTTCCTACTACTTTCTCCTGATACTTTTGGTGCCTATATCTCACGGTTTAAACCGTTGTCGATGACCTTCTCCCTCTTGAAGACTTACCATCCCCAACTTCCACTGCTGTTTCATATTCATGGCTTTTTACGCCGAACCATCATCATCATATATCAAGAGGCTTACTCGAACTCTTTTTGTAAACTAGATTAGTGCCAGTACTTCTGCTATAAATACTTTAGGCAGGAGATCTGAAGTTAGCACTACTCCATGATATCACTGATCCCGAAGAGTAGCCCCTATCACATGCTCACTCCATGAGCTTTATGCAATTCTCTTTCTAAAAGACCAACTGCGTCAATCATAGTTCCGATAAGGATATTGTGCAGAAGCGTGAATTAATCTGGATGGCTCACGCTGTCGTCTAGCTTCAGATTCCTCACCTATATTCAACTTATTCCCATGAGATAGATTGGACGATATCAGATTCAGATATATGCTTATATACAAGACCTTGCTATTGTTTCTTCTGAAACCATACTTCTAATACTTCCTATAGTACAATCTATATTTGAAAACATATACAATCGTTGATAATTTCTCTTTCCATTGCGTGTTTGGAAACATGCCCGTGTGTTGAGGTCATTGTGTCTTTAACATTGATACAAAATTTCAAATTATAACACACATCCATCAACAGGAAGGAGGCTCCAAAGTCCCTCATGTGATCTTTTTTGAATATATTCTTATTGGGTTTATTGAACTTGAGGTCGCTGAGAGTTCCAATTCGGTATTCGAAATATTAATCAGATCTTCTACTTTCATAGCTACGAGTAGGTACAGGTGAAATTGAATCTATTCACAATGACCATCGACCACCTTCGAAATCGAAGTAAACTAATATCACTGTTAGGAGTACATCGACGTTCTTTAACTGAGTTTCCCTACTATGGGATGAGTTTGTATCCTTTGATCGACTGTACTCGAGTAGTATCCGCTACCTTACCCCCCTACTCAATAAGCCAATTGCCATGCCCTTGAAAATGACAGTCTTAATCAATAGATTTTCAAAAGATCACTTTTTTTTAATACAATACAGTAGTCAAATCATCATCTAGCTTCAACTCTGCTCACAATCCTCCTCCACTCGCTTGAGTCGCTTCTGAAGCTCCATACATACATATACATACAACCACACAATCGACGCATATACATATACACACCTAACGACCCCCTTATATTACACAGTAACCCCCCACACGAACCGAAACCTTACACCAACCTTCCTTGACAAGTCGATATCCTATGATTCCTATCCAATAACAAAACATGCTCCGAGTCTATTCTAGAAGGATGAAGATAAACAAGACCTAGACATGTGTCTTTTGTATTTGTATACATATACCCAAATATACTACTCGTATACATCCGCAGTCCAATAAAGATATGAAGTTATAAATCAATATCATTCACGCATGAGGAGTTCTGAGAAGAGAGATACCTAGTGTATATAGGTAAATAAGTTCCCGCTTTCTATGCCTGTGATGGAATGAATATCTACATTGCTAGAGAGTCGAGTCCTAAGTCCTGACTACTTTTCGGTGGGTACCTGGCTGTATGAAGCTATTTCAACTGTATTTTCAAATCATTCAGAAATACTTTTGATTGGGGGCAGAATGCCAGTGATAAGAAAGATCAGTGCAAGTTTCGGTCTTTCGAATCGCTGCTTCTGTTTGTGTCGTGGTTGATTGGTATTCAAGTTGATGGTTAATTTGGTGGTGTTATGGCTAGGGCTGGTTTGAACTAGTATCAAATCACCATCAGAGAAACATCATAAATCATAAGCTGAAGAAAGAGTATACGACAAATCAGGATTGATAGCTACCGGGTAAAAAGCATAGTATCAAATCTTCTCCCCTGATTGGACATCGACATCATTGAGTATGAGCACCCTCTTACTCATCTCTACTCCAGCCTTGATCTTCCACTCCCGATAGCCATCGAATTCCGAATTAACACCTCCGATAAACTCAGACACAGCATAGTGACATTCATGCCATATGCCCAGCTGCTCCCAAAACCCCGTATTGGGATACACGCGCGATCTCTTTGCGCGCACGAACAACAGAGCTTGTTCTCGATTGAGATTCTTTTCCCGCATCACTAAATACCATTTTAGCCTGTATTCCCTTTTGAAGCGTGAAGGTAGAATTACCGTATCCCAAGACGATCGTCCCAGATCTACTAATTCCGAGACCGCAATGTACTAGAACACCGCGACCTTCTTGAAGTGACTTGTCGATCATGTCGCATGCGTCTTTCATGATGCATAGAATATCTTCAAGCGCATCATCTTGGACTCGAAAGTCTTGGTGCAATATTCCAAGCTCTTCATATTGGGTGCGAAGCCATTGGGGGAGAGGCTGATCAATTAAAGATATGATGGTATGTATGTTTTTACCATGGAGATTGGAGGTGTTGTATGTGGATAGTATGCTGGAGGTGTTAATAACATTTGGAAATGGGGATGAAGGTCGGATTTTGTAATAACTCTCCAATCCAAAGGTTGGGCAGGATTTCGTCCATGTTTAGGTTCGTTTCGTGAACACCCGGATTGTTTATCAGTTGGGCCATCGCAAAAAAAATTGAGAGATGAGATGATACACTTGGTATTCCTTTTTAGACAGAGTGGAAGATGTGAATATATACAAGTACTTGAGAAACTTTACTCGAGGAGGTCCTGCTGTGTAATGCTGGAGCCTTGGACACGCAGCTGCTTGCTTACTATTCGCAAATTCTCTCAGGCTCAAACATAGGTCTATCTACCTGGACAACCTGAAAGAACAGATAACGCATTCAAGGTGCGGAAAAGTGTACGAGGAACTCAATATAATAATGCTGTGTCTTGAGTTGAGGCCATATGGAATGAATGGTCCTACTCGAGGGAGACGAACTATGAGTGCATAAAAGCACATATTATGATCATGAGGCATATTCTCGAGCCATCCTGTAGCTCAAATTCTTACTTGCTGGTAAAAATGTGTGGTGATGTTCACAACGGTATCAACATAAGAATAATCGTCGACGTCGAATCCTCCTCATTATATTATGAGGTGAAAGGTAGGCAGGGTATGTGGGGATGATCCGAGATGGGCCTTTATCATTGGTTTAAACTCATAAATGCCCCCACCCTTAAAACTACTATCTATATAAAGTTATATAAACTTATCGCTTTCATCATAAGATTATCAACCCTCCTATGGTGTAATGGTTAGCACGTCGGATTTTGATTCCGGAGATATTGGTTCGATTCCTATTAGGAGGTTCCTGCAAAGAACTTTCTTTCCTTCCATACTCAGTTTAACGCTGAGATCAAAGGGTTGTGTTTTTGGCATTTAATTTCAATTTCAATTTTATATATCTATATATAATTTTCTTTTGGCAAATTAATTTTGGTTAGCTGGAAGGAAGACTACACGGGTGGGTCACAACATGCCAAAGCTTACCAATAATCAATCTAGCGCACGTGATATAACGACCAATTCAGCCACAGCTACTAGATATATATGAACAAACAGAGCATCCATCGCATGAGAGCTACCGGTACGTTCTATTTATCAATTTGTTCTATATATTTTTTGCTGTATATACTTATAATAACCCTTTACTTATTCAATATATCCTCATGCAAGATGCACTCCGAAAACGTGTTCGAGCCCGAAATGCATGCGACAGTTGCCGTAAGAGGAAGCGAAAGTGTGACGGTGCATCACCATGTTTATTTTGAACATATCAACCCCGTTTTTGGGATGCTAGAACTGGAAAGGTTTCGGCATAGATGTGAGCTTTTCTGGAAAGATGACACGGGAAGTGTTGGATCTGAGGCACTTATCTGTGGAGTTGTATCTTTGGGTGCATTATTCACGAGACATATCGCATGTGTGCTTGAAGGTGATGTATCTGAGCATGGTCGGTGCTTGCTGGAGCAGGGCTCACAGAGGCATGGCGATATGTCTCTTGATCATGTGATAGCATGGACTTTACGGTCTCTTTACCTTCGGTCAACGAGTCGTCCCAATTTGTCTTCTTTGGCAATATTTACCACTGTCCATTTGGCAGAATCAATTGGTCTCCATCGTGAGATGGATACTGTCGTTTTCGCCATTGATGGATCAAGAAACGTTTTCACATCCGACCTGTTGGAATTACGTCGGAGGGTCTTCTGGATTGTAATGTCTCTCAACCAACTATTCGCTGCCGAGTATGGCCGTTCAAAAGTTTTATTGGACAACGTCAAATGCCAAAAGCCGACCGCCAAGGACGGAGATTCTATCGGCGACTTGATCACAATGTCGGAACTGCTATCCTCCTGCACTGGCTCAGTGGTTGAACCTTCTGCCCTGCGAGCATCAATCGAAAATTTGTGGAGCCTACCTATTAATCATGCAGGACTGGCCCTCATCAAGGCAGATATTACTTTATGCCTCTGTCGAAGACTTCACCTGACTTATTCGAAGTTCTGTCCGTCCATATTGAACATTATCATGATGGTTTTTCGTAATGCCTTTGTGGAATCAAGAACCTTGTCAGAGAAAGGATTACCCTGGTGGAATGTGATTAGTGTTCCATTCAATGCGATTTGTCTACTCTTGTCTATAAACACGCGCCAGAGTATATCCCATTTTCCCGACGCCATCAGTACCCTAGAAACTGTTAGCAATTTATGGGACACCCATCTATCGAGGGAGGCTTTACAGACTGCCCAAATGTTGGTCAATCGGTTTATCGAAATGAAACGCGAAGACCAGGTGCTCTTAGAAACCCTTCATCGGGCTGTTGACCACCCTAGCGCATCATCAAGCACGCAGGATTGGATGGAGACCTTTGGTAATGACCCTTTTGAGGGGTTGAACGAACAGGACTTTGGCTGGGCACAGTTTTTCGGTGACGTCGTGGGTTGAGTTGAAGAGGGGACTCTTTGCAAGATCGCTTGAATACAATGGGCGCTTGCTACACTTACCGCGAAACGGTAGCCTGAATTCGCTGGAATGGCCTATTCGCACTTCGTAATGGGGTGGTAAAGGGAGCTGCTAATTCCGAAGTCAAAAGTTGGCAAGTGATCAGGTGCGATTCTATCATCAATTGAAAGATTTATACGCAGTGTGCCATTGATCTGAGATCGACATTCTACCTTGCCTTCTTTCTCCTTATTCTTTCCGGAAATAACCCAGAAATAAGGTAACTCTTAACGATTGAGTTTTGCAAATGGAAATTCTTGCGTGGCCCATTGGCACATCCACCAAATCAACATTGAATCCTATTGCAGTACCTCACATAATCAGCGGAAGTCGACAAAATACCATTGGGGCCACAGCAATAACTTACCGTGTCTTATATTCCTACTTGCAACATGTCTAGAAGGATTTAGTAGATAGCGGGAATAGCTTATAATACAATGCAGTCTACTCAGTATATCTAATATATTTGCTAGTCCCCAATTCCAATGAAACGAAACATTGTTATCTTCCGCAATATCCACTCCATCCATCCATCCCATTCACCTGGTAACCACGTCAAGTGAGCGTCCATGTTATAACGTCGTCGCAAAATCATGATGTCGATTACCGGTAGTCCGATGACAAGGAAACAAATGCTGCTTCTGCCCTCCTATTATTCCCTTAAAAGGAGGTTGTGAAGGTTGTTTATGTACTCGAGTATTGTCGGTTAACTCAATAAGCCTATTCTCGACTTCGGGGTTTTAATGCGTTATTTCTCACTCACTTCTAACCTACAGTACAGCATCGGAGTATTCCAGACTCCCTGCCCATCAATTCACGAATGAAGTCAATACACACCACCCCATCAACGATTTCTTAGATCTTCGATCTGCAATCGTGTCTCATGCATGTACCTTTCGGTATCGTTATTCGTTCGTCTCATAGTTACCTAGATACCTATGTATGGCCCCACTCACGTCTTGATACTACTAGGTATGTAGCATTTAATTATTTGTGAATTATCCTTGTGTATTTGTGTATTTGTATATAACTTCCCCAGATCAAATCAGAACATCCTGGCTCAAGGTATCGGGTTTGGCTTTGGATTTGGTGCATCTGATATTTTCATAGCGGCACTTGTACTTGTTTGTGCAGTATGGTTTGAAAAGAGAAGACGCTTGGCTTGGCTCTTGAGATTATTACTACTGGAAGTACGAGTAGTCTAGATATTATTCTCTTGCAGTGGCTCATATATACTGTACCTCCCTCCCTCCCACTGACCATGAATCAGGTGGAGTATTCAATCTTTCCATTTTTCGTCAAAAAGAAAAAACTCATCTCATTGATGAATTTGGCTTTTACGGTTACGTTACAGACCGTTATATCGCTCTTCTTTCTTATTCCCATTTTACTCGTACAGTTCTGTGCTTGCTTCCTTGCTTCCTGGTAAAAGCACGTTTGCCGAGGAAGTAATGGAAGTAATGGTATTAAGATGTGAATGGAGTTATTATATATATAGTATTATCATGGAATTATATGATGGAATTGTATATATGGTGTATATATGGTAAATATATGGTAAATAAATAGAAATCAAAGAAAAGTTTGTTTGGTGGGAATGTACCGATTTTGGTTTGTATGCATTTATGTATTCGAAAAAGACATTTTAATTTGCAATTGAGATATGGAACGATTTATGAGTTTGTTCCGTCCTATGTCACGGTGTGTTGGATTGAAATATAGAAAGTACCGTGACAAGGCCGATATAACATCTTCCTCGTTAATTTCCTTCGAAAACCTATACTCATGTTCAAAAATAGTTTTTTCTTTGTTAGAAAGAATAGACCGACTCGTATCGGATATTGTATGAATATGATGAAGAGAAGATATAGCTCAGGAATGTGAATGAATAACTTCTCATATTTCTGGATACATTGAATGAAGCAACGTCATTAATTCTTCAAATCGAATTATGTTACTAGTATTTTACTTTACGCCGAGTCCAATACGAAGGCTCGGAATACCGTGACTGATCGTCTAAAAAAATAAAAGTTCTACTCGAGTATATAAACAAGATCTTGTTTTAAGCTTGTATTATAGGAATAGACGATATGGAATATCACACTGGCAGAGATAAAACCTGAGTCTTCATATCATATTAAATAAACTCAAACCCAGCACGAAGGACTACGGCTAGTTGTGATGTTGGGTTTTGATAAGCTTTGCTTTTTTATGCAAGGGATGAGAATGAGAGAATGTGATTGAGATCCTATGTGTTCTCTTCATTTTAGGATGTGAATCGAAACTGAGTTAACAATCTCAAATATAAACCCTGGAATCTAGAAATATGAGATCAGCTGGTTCAAGAATATGAATGTGAGTGAGAATGTGAATATGAGGTTAGTACTTCGATCTTATGACCATCGGTCGGACCAGTAAGGATAGTTGTATAGAAAGGGTTAAAAGATTTGAAATTTTGAGGTCATCTCTTCTTTGGATTTGGGATGAGAAACCTTTCTGTTTGCTTGTTCACAGCCCTCTGCGCTTTTCTCATCTTAGTTTGCTAATGCTGCTTTGAACTAATCCGCGTGGGTAATATTTCCTGTAAGGTGATTATTGTCATCTTGTGTGAAGTCCCACTACTATCTTTGTGTTATCGGAAGAAATAGCTTTTGTACTACTACTCCTCAGGCTACTACTCCCGTTGCGAATTTGCAGACAAGTGTTTGGTTTGTTATTTGGCATGAGTAGAAGAGACGTGATAGCAATAAATGTAGTTGAAGATTTCACACACAACCAACCAATTCAAATCTAGATGGATGGAGCATCGACAATTTTGTGTTTCAAAAAAATATTGCATTGTTCGAAAACCATTCAAACACTTGAGAATTCTCATTCTATAATCTCGGATGAGAATGATTCGTTGTCCGTCCCAAACGTCCACTTAGCAATATCCTATTTTATGAGCCTCGAATGAGTAGATCTGATTACTGAGAACGATCTTATCACATTTACATTCCACATCGCCTAACTCAACCCCCCCTTCCCACATCCTCCCTTCATTCCCCTCAAAACCTCCTCCACAATCTCCGCCACCCCAACCACCTTCTCCTCCTCACAAACCCTCCCCACAATCTGTATACCCACCGGAGCACCATGATAAATCTCCCTATCATACGCCTCCCAATTCCTCCCATCCTTCTCACTAACCGGTACATAAGCATGCAATTGATCAACAACCTTATCCGCATGCGTAACAGGAATCACCAGTGCCGTGTAATCCAAAAGATTAAGTACTTCTGTGTATGCTATTTACTATTAGTATCATTATCATATCTCAGGCGAGAAATGAAAACATACCAAGATGAACCCATTTTCCAGGTATAACAGCAGCGTGAGGAGCGACAGGCATTAATACTGCATCGACTACATTGCCATCCGCATGTTCTGTGGTATTCCAATAATCGGCATATGCCTGCCTATAATCTCGAAGCTGGAGTGCTCGATCTTGGTATTCGAGAAGTGACATTGGTGTTTTTAAGGTATAGAAGCTTTGTAAATCATCAATTAGTGGTTCGCCGGATAGTGCTAGTTGTGTTTGGATATGGTGGGAGCCGTCCGCGTTCATGATTGCTGGCTAATGGAGTTATTAGCTATTGCTGAGCTACATCTAAAGAGGGGTTTAACATACATGCAGTCGTTCTGGTATACTATGAGATGGCGGACACCAATCCACGACCTTACTCCGAGATTAGCACAACGGTGATGTAACAAAGTAGCAAAGCCTACCTCGTGCCCAGCATTTTGCAAAGCTGTCACAACCATTTCCAATGCCCGCTTAACGGGTGGATGAGGTTGCATCATTCCATCCCACCAGAAGACACCAAATTTAAGCTTCTTTCTGGCGTTGAGTCGAACCTCCTTTCGCCAGGGAATTGAGACAACGGCTGGGTCGCGGAGCCATGGCGAGGTAGAGAGGAGGCTACTCATGACTAATTCTAAACCCTCGATTGAGCGAGAAAGAAAACCAACAGAGGAGGGGATTAGTGTTTGTCCGGGGTTCTATAGAAGAAGAGTCAATACGTGGTATAGGTTTGATGTAAAGTGGGAGATAATGGTCTATTGAACATACAGTATTAGCCACTCCTCGATAGGAGAATCGATTATGGCTGGGTTTGATACTATAGATACCGCAAAATGCAGCTGGTACACGAATAGAACCGGCTGGATTGAAGTCAGTAAAAAGCCGAGCAAAATGGAGAATGGAAGCATTTACCAATATCAGTACCAATTCCCAGTGAGCTCCCACCCATGGAGATGAGTGCTGCTTCGCCTAAAGTATCGCATCAGACAATGAAGCCCCATGCTGGGAATAGTTCTGTCTCCTACCTCCAGAAGAACCACCACAAGACAGGAGTCGATTGACTGGGTTAAGTGTCTGGCCAATGATATTATTGATAGTCTCATCATACTAGGTACCGATTAGCATGTCACTTCTGTCTGTTCAAGATCAAATCTGAAGCTGACTAGTACAGTTTGCGGCAAGCTTGTCTGTCGAATTGTTAGCTCAGCTTTATATCTAGCGCTGTTGGATACTGCACACCTTACAAAAAACCACCGCACCTTGTCCTTCCAATTCAGAGATAATCTGGCTTTCGATCATTCCTATATGATTGCTATCACCATCTCCCTCGAACGTACCGATCCATCCAACATAACCCATTGTTGTATCCGACCCCTTTATATGGAACTGATCTTTAACACTGATAGGAAGACCATGAAGAAATCCCTTGATCGATCCTCGATCATTTCGAAAGGATTCGTCTAATATTCTAGCCTTTTCCAATGCTTCGGGTATCATTATGTTGAGCAAGCAAGGATTCTATTTGTGTGAGTTTTTTGGAATTTCTATAACAGGAGCGGAAAATGGAAACAGGAATAGACCAAGCTTATCGAACATACAATTTGGTGAGAAATACAAGCAATTTTGCAAAAGGCCTGTACACATTTAACAGCAGTCCATTCTCTATTCCAAAGCTTTCTTAGTATTGACATTGAGTCATGAGTTAAGAGTTCCTGTTCGAATCGATCTAGAAACTTTGAAATAACAGGCCCTGTGATATTTTGCTGGGTTTGTGCATATGCAAGATCGATTGGCGAGAGTCTCCATTCAGGAGGAATTTTTTCTAGGATAGATGAAGCTCTTTCTGCTGCTTGAGTTTCCCAGGAGGTTGACATGGCTTCTCTGTTCAGTAACAGTAGAGGAGTTGTAAAAATGTAGATTATGGTCGATCTAAGATAAGAACGTACATCGGACATTTATACCATGATAGGAAATGAAATGAAAGGGTGTTTCAAGAAGTCTGTGAGGAGAAGCAATAAGAACATGAAGTAAATAAAACGTGACTTATCGCATGTTGTGTAATTGAAGAAGCAAATGAACTGTTCACTGTTCGGTTTGAGCTGCCATTTTTGAATATATGTCGGGTATAGTTACACTGCAGATGGTGAGGTGAACCTCCATCTGATGACAGTGAAGACCAAATTCACTGACTTCAGTCCTGATTGGCTAGGCTCAATACCCGAGATCACCTTTGCATGACAGCTGTGACATTCTGCAGCACAATTGCATATCCAGCCATAAAGTCCATTCATCTTTTCAAAAAGGGCAAAGACACATCAACTCTGGCAAAGAGTAAATCATATCATTCATCAAAGAAAATCGGTATATATGTGGAGTTCAAGTTGCCAGCAACCTGTTCACTTCATCTCGTATCTTGTACTACCCTTCCTCAATCTGATTCTGCATCATCCTCCAATTCTTCAAACCTCCCCTGTTGCAATGCTTCCTCCATAGGATTGGTCGCAGATATAATCCCATTCTTCTTCAATCTAATGATGTGTTAGCTGGGGTAATTTCTGTACTTTGGGGAGTCCTAAAATACCGCTCAAACAATACGAATAATTTCTCAGCCTCCCTCTCTTTCTCTTCCCGACTCATCTCCGGCAGATCGATCTTCGGCTCCGCCTCGAGAAGTTGTCCAGTTATAGGATTGACCGCTTTCCCACTATCCTGACTGGGCCTCGTTTTACCGTCGCCCTTGTTATCGTTTTCTGTACTCCATGCTTCGAAGGCATTTTCTGGAATAGGAACATTGTGCTGGAATAGAAAGCCAGACGCAAACCCGTAGCCGACATTCTGAACAAAAGTGCTGGCATCTTTATTAGACAACTCAAATAACAATGCTGAGATAGATTCCCGAACTTGAGGCGCCATAGGACTTATAGAAAGCTGAATTAGGCGTGCAGACAATGATTCTCCTCGGCCGACAGGTTGCTCACGGTCCTTTTCACTTGGAAGCAACTGGGCTCGCATGAATTGGTGAGCTTCCGAAGGACCGATTTCATACAATTTGCGAATGAGGGTGAGTAGTGGTGAGACAAGCTGCTCAAGTTCTTCGTCTTTGTATCTATTGATAGATTGATCGAGGAGTTCAATAAATTTCTCGACGTGGGAGTGTGCATTTGCTTTGGGAAACAACACACTGATGTTTCCAGGATTTTCGAGGGGTAGATTGATAAGGGTGTTGATGAGTTGTGCAATGGGGGGATCGAGGGGTGTGTTTGGAGTAATTTCTCTTTTATGAAGGATGGATAAAATGTGAGGTAGTGCTTGCGAGAAACTGGAGTTTCGTTGTGGACAAAAATGTGTGATGTTGAAAAGCAGTTTGAGCGATTCGACAAGAGCCATATCCTCCATCGGATCCAATTGCTTGACCTTCTTCTGCTTCGCACTGTGAAGTTTTGCATGGTTGATAATGTTATGTGAAATGGTGTTCGCTAAATGATGTTGATCGATGAGATCCTCAATGTTGATCGTTGTACCGTAAGTTGTGAGGAAGATAATCCTGGATAACAAGAACTCATCGTCGACGGACCCAGTTCTATCTTTGAGTAGAGTGCAAGCCTTCACATCGTAACCCAAGCCAACTAATGCCTGTCGTGTGTCTGGCTTTAGTAAGAGGGCGTTCGCGAGGCATCGAAGCGCGTTGCGAGAAGTGGTTTTCGAGGGGCTATTGAAGGCATGCCTTGAAAGAGTCTCGATGCCCTATCGAGAGAATTAGCAACCCCTTGCGTCCAGATATGAGTCACCTACCTCTTTCGTGAATACCGGATCTGCGTTGGTGGGGTCACGGCCATACACCTTTAACTGCTCCAGGAGTGCATCTCGTTCTGCAGAGGAATCAGTAAAATTCCAAGTTTCGTGGGACAATTTCTTACTCACGATGCGGCAAAAGGCTGATTTTATCTAAATCTGCCTTGAGGCTTTCTATGATTTTGGTAACGTCCGCCAATTTCGCTAACAACCATTGTCAGCAAATTATACCGTAGCCCCCTTTCGCAATTACAGATATACCTTCGCCGACTAGTTCCTGGGCAGACAATGACGTTCTAGCACTCGAGATGGACATGTTCAACGCTTGAAGTCAAACTGATGTTTCCAAAAGGTCGCGCGCGGGTCGTGTATGATGCTCACAGACTGTGAATCGACCAAAGGATTCTAAATTGGAGCCTTTCGGGTCAAAATCTCACGCCACAAGTCCCTCACCTGAATTCGCCGCTCAAATATACTCCACGGATCTTATTGGCAGATCACGGAATTGCCAAACAAGTTTTCACTATGGCCTGCAGATATATCGACCCCCAAGCTCCCGTATATCCAATTTTATACTGATGCTGTGCCTTTTTACCACTTATCTGCGATTTGTTTGATTGGCACCGAGCTACAACTTTGACTCAGTTTGTGCAAGAAGAGCCACAGCATGTAACACACAAAATTGGGTCAATGAAGTGGGCGAAAATAGCAATCAATGCATAACCATCTGCGAATCGCGAGAAATTGAAAGATCCGGCAGAGTGGAACTTCAGCAAGAATGCTAGGATGTTATGTCTAGTTTGTGATCGGGGAGGAGTAGCCGTTGTAGTACAACAGATCGAGATTGGGATGGATTTCCGGGGACTTTGGTGAAATTCGTGCAACAACAAACTTTTGATGCAAGTAACTTGTTGGCTCAATCGAATGGTAATGACCTCAGCCTCGAATTCTGCCACCGTGCCATATTTTTGGTTTAGCGCAATTAATCACGTTGGCGGTGTACCCGCTTATCGTGGTCTTATTCTTATAATCATGGGAACTACGAAAAGACAAGACGATTCAAAATTTTCATTTTCTTTGGATTCATTCAAAAGCGAGGTATGGCACTTCGATTTGAGGATCTGATTTGTCATTTTTCTTCATGTTCTCACCAAACAATTATACACGAGTTTGGATCAATAACTAACTACCATGCCAACAATGAACTCGATAATGTCGTCCCTTGAGGAAACTATATATCATATTATGCGCTAAGGGGACGCAACGGTCCAACAATAGTACAAGCGTACACGATCATGGGTTGAGAAGGTCTTTTGAGGTGTTAGACTTCTTTTCGAAGTGGAACCATATCTGGTTCCTCGACTTCACAGCATTTGGAACAGCAAAGATCTTCGAAGGTTGATATTTGTTTATTCTCGAAGGGCTTGGAGTGAGGACTATAAACCAAGCAAATCTCTAATCGTGGGGTTGCCGCTAGGTGAATCTGGGGTACTAGGAATAGGGGCGGCAGAATCACACTTAGCGAACACAAGAGCTGGGGTCGGAAATTAGAAATGTCGTAGTCTGCCATGCGGGAGACTTATAGATTCGGCCCTTTAGCGATTACTCTTGGGGAAGTCCTCAGTCGGCGCATTGCATCATCATTGTTCCACTCCGGCGGGACACACTTCTGGTGATCAAGTCAGGAGACTGATTTGGATGCCAATTGGATCTACCCCACGTTTGGCGTCGTCAGTATAGCCAACACTTCCCTTTGTTTTCTTGAAGCCAAATTTGGCGCCGGTTTACATAATACCGTCATAACTCTGTCAAAATAATTATCAGACAAGAGACCATGCGACGGATAATAATCTCGTGCAATAGTCAGGCTCGTGTCTATCCCAAGATTGCGGCCTACATACCGAGTATGCCATGTGTTCAGATGGTTGTTCGTCCCATCTAGCTTGATAGTTCAATGCAACTGCAAGATTATAATCCTTGTACCTTGCCTTTGCTACTGATGAGAAAATCCTGGCAAGCTTAATCCATAATGTTTACGCCGTCGCCGAGATCGAGGTCCCGCTGTGGTAGTTAATCGACTGCCCACCCCTGCTACACTCTAGGATTGGATACTGCGTTTATTTGACCAAGGCCGAAAAGGCCTCTATGCCGCTACAGTCCTCCTATATGACTGATATTTGTAAATATATATATGGGCTCACAAGACACCCCATAGTCATGCCTCACAGACTCTAACGACAGCGATGATTCTAGTCATTAACATTTACACTCCTTCTGACATTACAACAAGCCTCCTTGGCACAATAAGGCTCTAATCATATACTAACACAAAGAAAAACTTTCAGAGCTAATAACGACTTCATTTTCAATCAACGTTTGTAGCTATGGCGACTGTCTCGGACGTGATCGCAACACAGAAGAAAGAGAATGTTTTGTTCCCACCAGAGACCGAAATTGTCGAGGCTGGTGCTTCCGGTACGCTTACCATAGGACTGGTCAATCGAAGCACTTCAAGCACCGTCTATGCATACATCACCGGTCTTTCCATCAGCAACAACTATGCCGTGATACTTCTTCAAGCTAACGGGTCGACCCTGTACTACCCTACAAATCCATCATCAAACGGAACTGCCTTAGCAGCAAACTGTGCCATCTCGCTAGGAGCCCCCGGCTCTACCACAACAGTCACTATTCCATACATTGCAGGTGGTCGAATTTGGTTCTGCGTCGGGAGCACTTTGACATTTCTGCTCAATCCAGGTGCTGCAGGGCCTGGATTGGTTGAACCCTCAGTCAGCAACACCTCTGATCCAAACTACTCGAAAAGCTGGGACTTCTGTGAGTTTACATACAACAGCTCCGAGCTTTTCGCAAACATTACCTACGTCGATTTCGTATGCCTTCCTATCGCTTTGACACTCAACAGTACAAGCGGTGCAGTGAAACACGTTGGAGGTTTACCTGCCAATGGACTTGTCACGGTTTGCAATGGCCTAATAGCACAAAATGCGATCGATGGGGCTGGCTGGAATCAACTCATTATCAGGAACGGCGGTACAAACTTGAGAGCCCTCAGCCCAACTCAAGGTATCATGTTCAATCCGGCACTATTCCGAAACTATTGGACCGCCTATGTCAATGCTGTATGGGCTGCCTATGTGAAGACTCCCTTAACCGTCAATACTCAAGCATCATGGGGAAATGTCCCTGGGTCTATATCCAATGATTTCACTTACTTGACGTTTGGAAGCATCGGCTCCTTCACAAAACCATCGGCCGCCGACATATTTGGCGGTGCGTCGGGGGCTTTTGCAGCACAGCCTATCAATACTGACCAGCTTTTGAACATTGGCGCACGACTCGATGCAGCATTTAATCGATCAACTCTTCTCGTTGATGCCTTCCAGCCAAGCAATGAAGTTGTGTCAACGTACTACAAAAATGCAATCACAAACCACTTTGGAAGAATTGTGCATGCTGCAAATGTGGACGGCCTCGGTTACTGCTTCCCATATGACGATGTCACCCCTGATGGAGGTATTAATCAATGCGGGGCAGTAAACGATCCAACGCCCGCCTCTTTCATTGTCACAGTTGGCGGCGGCAATGCATATGCACAAAGCAAGGCTCGTAGAAGCGGGATCGACAGTTCTACCGACGAAATTTCTACTGGAATTCTCCGTGAAAAAGGATCAGCTCCGGGAAAAAAACCAGAACTGCCATCGTACTTAGATTCAGATGACCGAGATCTGAAATCCGGAAAGAACCCAAAACTTGCCAATGAAACTGTTCCCTCAAAGAAGAACAAACCTTCAGTGATGAAGTTTCCCGTTGTTTTTGATCGTCTTTTCGGAAAGTACATGACAGTAAGTCGCTGGAATTCCTCATCTCGCCGCAAATCTTCATCCCCAACCTAAACAACCAACAATAAGTCTCCCCTTCTTCGTTTCGCGCCTTCCCTGGACATATTTGCACCAAGTTTTAGCAATACCGAACTTCTCCTCTTCATACTGAGAGACTTCAATCTATTCTTGATATTAACACTTTTCGATTTCGTTCTTGTCAATGTCGATGCATGCTGTTTTTCGAGAATCAGTATGTTTTTTTTTGGATGGAGGAATTTAGGGGCGGGACTATGAATGGGACCATCCCAGTGCAGGACCGAAAGAACATATTCTATCTTCTTAGTTCCTTGATATGCGTCTACGATCTTTATGTCCGATTTGAAATTTGTTCTGCATATTTGCTTTCTATGTAAATATCTGTTCGGAGCTGTACATCAACAAACTGTCGCTATCGTCCTTGTATGGCAAGAGATAACACTTTCCAAACATTCATTTTTATTACGAGGTTATCAGTAAAGCTCCTATTTTCGGCGGATGGCGTGGCTCCCTGAGAGCTACATCCCGGAAAACCTTAACTCATAGATTCATACATAACAGGACGGGACGAAACTAATTAGTCCCCGAGTATATGCCGACTCACAACCAATGAAAATCTAGAAAATGATGAAGAAGCCCAGTTATCAAGCCTTGCCCACGTCATCTCCATAAAAGGTAGCCGAACAATTTTTGTTTGTTGAGGGGTCGATGAGGTCCTTCCTCAATCAATGTTCATCTGATTAACGTGAGTTATGCTTCGACTGGAGGGGAATTCAGATCCCACTACTCTCCACTTGGAATTTGCATCCGCAATAGGAAGACGCTAGGTAGAGTAAGTGCTCTTTTCGCTTCAAAACATCCAGCCCGACGAGGAAGCGACAATCGCCCTCCGGGTATCCAAGCTTTGAGAAATTTCCCAGTGCTACATATATAAACTGAAGGCTCAGTGAGTGTAAGATGGTAGGATTCTTGATAGACTCTTCTCATTCTTTCGCTTCAATTACATCTAACGATGTATCTTTCCATATTCGTTGCTACCAACGCGTTGTTGGCGTCGGCCATCGCGGCTCATCTTCTCACAGATATTAATCAAATCCAGAAGTACTGGGGAGAAATAACTCCTTATTCTGATAACGAAGAAAATTATTTCGGTGTAGATTATGTTGGACTCCCGGAGGGTTGTCAAGTTGTACGTTGCTATTTCTTACGGTGCTGCATAGCAAACTAATAACGTTCAAGGAATCGGTGCAAGTACTCCAAAGACATGCGCAACGTTTTCAGACCACATCAGAGGATGATGGCGTAAACGATCAGCGATTTGCTGAGAAGGTCACAAATTTCACCTCGACGTCCTTCAATGCAACCTTCACCGGTCCTCTTGCTTTCCTAAACACTTATGATTACGCAATGTTCGAAAATGGTCTCCTGACTGGAATGGGTGCAATTACAGAATTCACATCCGGTGTATCTTTCTGGAATCGTTACGGTCGAACATTATACAATGCTTCAGTCGGGCAACTTGCCTATGATCCTTTATACCCCAATGGAACCGCGCGCCCAAAAATTACTCTCCGCACCACCTCACAGTCGAGAATCGAGAACAGCCAAATTAACTGGGCACTAGGATTCTTCGGTCCCAGTTATGCCACTGTACCAGATCCTACCTTCGAAAACGTGACCGCAGGATTTAATGTAGTGATTATCCCTGAAGGGGGTACCGAGAATAATACTTTAGCATCATATGACAGCTGTTTCAATGATTATGCCGATGGAATCTGGGACATTGGAGATTTGGATCTTTTCACCTATCTTCCTAAATACTTGGCCAGTGCCACGAAGAGGTTACAGAAATATTCGCCTTCCGGTTTTGAATTAATGTACAACGACACCTATGCTATGCAAAGTATTTGCGCATATGAACATGCGTATATTGGCATGAGTGACTTCTGCGGGCTATTCACTGAAGATGAATGGGCTGGATTCGAAAATACATTAGACATGATATGTAAGCTTGCCATTGCTGATTCTCTACGATATTTTCATACTGACAAGTATTCATAGACTGGTACGACTACTCGTATGGGAACCCCACAGGACGCGCCCAAGGACTCGGATATGTCCAAGAGCTCGTCGCCCGCCTCCAACACCAATACATCACCTCATCCAATTCATCCGTGAACTACACCCTTGACAACAACCCAATTACCTTCCCATTGGACCAAAAATTCTACGCCGATTTCTCCCACGACGATATTATCGTATCGGCTTTGACAGCAATGAGCATGGATTACTTCCGGGACGCTCCAAGCCTAACGCAATACCCACCCAATCCAAACCGAAAATTCATTCTCTCCCACATAACTCCCTTTGCCGCTCGTCTCATGACCGAAACCATAGGATGTAGCTCCGCCAATTCCACGGCGGAAAGAACCTCAAAAGTTCAATATACACCCACACAATATGGATATGATCCCGCAAATGCCACGAACAAATTTGTCAGAATGAGACTAAACCATGGTATACTTCCTCTAGATACGATTCGAGGCGGTGCGTGTAAGGGCAGAGTAGATGGATTGTGTGAGATGGGAAAGTTCCTGGAAAGTCAGAGTAATGCGACGGCGTTGGCTAATTATGATTATGTTTGTTTTGGAAATTGGACTATTGCGAATGTTACGAGTGGGAAGGATTACGATGGTACCTTGTTCGCTTGAGTAGTCGAGTGAGCTAGTCTAGTCGTGTTGTATTGTCGGGTATAAGTCTGGGGAAACCAATGATTTAGTGGTATTGTTTGGTGGAGAAGTTTCATTGTATATATTCGATCTCAGATTCTAAGTAAGATTGAGATCCAAAATTTGACCATACCCTCCGAAGTTGATTGCCTTGAAATCATGGAGTGTAATGTTCTGCTGTGGCTTCACAGAAGAATTATATTGGGCCATATCTGCTTTTGGTGTCATTGTAACCTATCTGGGGATACTCATCAGTCAATTCGCCCATGAGCAAATCCAGTTGATCAATGAAATGTCAATTTAAGTTCAGAGGCCCTGCGGGCAATTCAACTACTCCTTGCTCTTTTGATGTACATTCGATTTGGCTGTAACATCATTGTAACGCGACGCTGGGCGAAGGAAGGAAGGAAGGAGGTTGCAGAAAACTATTTTGTTCTACCCCTTACTTGCCTTAGATTCCCAAAGTGCTCCATTGAAGTAGCAATTTAGCATTCCATTCGGCTAACGCATTCCAATTGACGAATTGGTTATTCTAGTGGATTGATACATAGTTCGAAGTTGCCCGTTGACCGACGCTGCAACGAATTTTGTGAATATAAGTTATGTGGCGGGCTTGTTCCCCCTCGCAGTTTTTTCAACGATTCATTTCTAGTGACAAGATGATCCGCTAATCAACCAGACCGCATTCCCTTTTTGGAACCGACAGCATTTCTTGTATAAGTGTATCATCTGCATGATATCTCTGCAGACAGATACATATAGCCTGACATTCTAAAATCGCTCTTCGTTCAACCCACCAGACCAGTTTCCAGACTTTCCCATACCAATAGGATAATAGCAGTAAAGCTCGCGGATCTTTCATTTTCAAGAGAATCTTGTATCTAGGTGACATATGGGTCAGGAATCCAAGGAATGATAACATGGCTGTACGATCGCATTCAATGTGCAAAATTCTCTCCAGAGATATGATCGTCGAGTAGTATGGGTTGTTCGCAACGGTAGAATATTCGTTTAAATCGAACAGTTCCACGAAATGAATGGGGAGAGCCGAAAGATCAAGATGCTCGTCACGTTTGGAGTGAGTATTGTGGTACTCGGTAGAGAGAACGTGGAAAATACTATCTTCACGCATAGGATTCGTGAGCTCCCAGACCACGGTTTTAGACTCGCTCATGCGTAACCAATAGAGATCGGTATCTGCGTATGGGGTGAGAGGCCACGCCTCATAGGGCGAGGAAGCTTCAATTGATGACACGGCTACAACACCAAGAAGTGCTGCTGTGGCCCATAAAGCATCCTTATCATGATTTGCAATGGGTGCGCAAAGCTTCTGATTAAAGAGAGATGCGGCGCGAGAGAGATGGTAGGCTTCCACTGGTGTGCGCTGTGAGGATGTCGCTACTTGAAGAGTAAGGTATCGATCGTGACAGGCAGTTAGGGTTTGAAGCGCGTGCATGAGAAAGGGATGGGCACAGGCCATAGTGTGTGAAAATTCTTGGAATACACCAGCAGCAGTAGGTGTCCCGAGTGAAAGGACGGTTCGGTAACGAAAGCGATCTAACCGATAGAGGCTTTGTCTATCTAGCTCAAAAAATGAGATGTCGTCGCCGATGATGCAGGACGGTTCTAGAGTGATAGGGATGCTGGATTTTCGTGTGGCTGGAGTGGGAGTGATAGACCATGAGAATTGTCTAGGTCCAATGAGTGCTTCCATCGTTTTAGATGTTGCAGAATAGACAGACTCTAAATCTGGCGTTTTGGAGTCATAACTACATGCATATCCGTAATCTTTACATTTCAAACAATTTGGTCTTGTCTCGTCACACTGAAATTATCCAGATCAGTCAAATGTACCAAGTCGAAATCAAAGAACGGTATTTTACCTTGACTCTCCGTAGTTTACAGTTCCGACATCCCTTTCGTGACTTTTTATGGACTCTCCGCTTTCGCTGATTATCTTCCCTAACATCGAATTGTGCATTGGTAGGCATACTATTGATATTCAGAGTAATTGTTCCGTGTTATGTTGTTTTGACTGCCAGACACTCGTAGAAAAGGAGAAGTATACGATAAAAGGGAAAATACGCGAGTTAATGAAGGGGAAGACACTTGCTTCAAAAATATAAAGATTGATTCTCCCCTCTCCCAGCCCCACTTATGAAAACCGCGCTAACTACGAATCGTATTCAGATATCTGGTTAATCCATATATCACCTAGAATATGCATTAGCGGTCAATCACTCGAGACTAACCCCGGATCGGATTCTCAGATTCTCAAGATATCCGTTTATTTACCTCAGCTTTGAGAATTTGAAAAGCATAACGTGACGGAATGCAATTTTTTGACAACGTCAATAATGGATTTAAGGGATTATGCTCACGCAATCATGGCCATTTTTGTACGGAAGTAAACCAAATTCTCTCCACCCACCCCACCTCTAATCAACCCCCACACCTTCACTCCCCGAAAAGGAAGGAATTGGGTTTCTAAGATAATTGGAATTCTAAAGGTAGTATTGATGGAAAGTGCACACATCACAGAAAATAGCCAAGATAGTAAAGTATACATTCTAGTAATTTACCATTACCAGGCATGTGTTAGTATACCCGGATTTGCGGACTTTTTGGAGGCACGAGTACCGGTGTTTACTGTATTGGCAATGTGGGGAAAAGGAAGGAAGAGTTTCCGTCCACAAGAAAGACAACATATAAATGCATCCCCCTACACCTTGGATAAGTAACCAAACACTATCTATTGATTAAATTGATCTAACGTTCGTCAGATAAGCCTCATCATGTCTTCACCAACCGATGCTCCTCTTCCAGCTACCATGCGGGCACCTCACTGTGAGTCCCAGGGTCAACCTCTCATCGTCAAGACCATCCTAACACCCCAGCCCAGTCCCGGCAGTCTTGTCATCAAAGTTCTGGCTATAAGCATTGATCCTGATATCCAGAACATCATCGATGGAAAGATTCCCTACCTCTATACACCCACACCCTTTATTCCCGGTGGTCAGGCCATCGGCCGTGTTGCAGCCACCGGTCCCGACACTACTACCTTGACCGTGGGACAACTCGTGGCCATCGAGCCTTATATTCGCGGTCGCGATAATTCAGATGGCCAAAGTTTATGGGGTATTGGCGTTTTCGGAGAGGATCCCAAAGCGAAGACACTCATCGATGCTTGGCGTTATGGTCTATTGGCTGAATATGTAAATGCACCACTTGAGAACGTTTATGCATTGAATGAGAAACGTCTCTTGGGACTTACCACAGAAGGAGGCCTTGGCTATTCGCTCGGAGATCTCTCAATACTTGCTCGACACCTCGTACCTTATGGAAGATTCCGAGGAATCGATCTGAAGCCCGGAGAAACCGTCATCATGGCACCTGCTACCGGTTTAATTTCCAGCGCTGCAGTAGAAGAAGCATCCTCAATGGGTGCACGCGTCGTTGCCGTCAGTAGGGACCTGTCCAAATTGCAGAAACTGGCAGCAGCGAATCAACGCGTCGAGATTGTGCAGACCTCTGGTAATTACGAGGAAGATCTTGCGAACATCAAAGCATTCGGTCCAATAGATGCGTTTTTAGATTTATCGCCCAAAGAAGCCAATGACTCGAGCCATATTAGAGCTTGTTTGATGTCGCTGAAGAATTATGGGAGAGCGTCGCTGATGGGCGTACCGACTAATGATATTGATATTTCCTACATGATGGCGGTTATGAACAATCTCACGATAAAGGGTTAGTATATGTATGAGAGGGATGATGTAAAGGGACTTATTCGTCTGATTGAGAGTGGAGTATTGAAGCTCGGGAAAGCGGCTGGCCATGAAATAATAGGCGAATTTTCAATCGAGCAGTGGGATGAAGGACTCAAATTTGCAGTTCGGAATCCTGAGCCTGAAAAATTGGTCATTTTGTATCCCTAGGTTGAGAACTTTCTAGAGACTCTTTTAACTCTTTTAGTATACGGCATTCATATTTAACTCTGGTCACATTCTATTCATCCTCAACCTCTCCTCCTTCCAACAGAGCAATAATCTTCTTATCCCCCTTCTCCTCCGCAATATCCAAAGCAGTCTCTCCAAATCCATTCCTCTCATTTATAACCACACCTTTCTCCAACAAAATCATCACAACATTCACATGTCCTTCCCTAACCGCCACACCCAAAACCGTATCCCCATTCTCCCCAACCTTCATATTCAAATCCCCACCCTTTCCAACCATATCCCTAACCAACAATTCATATCCACACTTAACCGCCATTTCCAGCGCCGTCCTCCCTCTTCCATCCACGATATCCATCTTCGCACCCTGTCTCATCAACAACCTCGCACTCTGAATTTCCCCACTGCCAATCGCGACAAGTAGTGGTGTACCCCCTCCAGCTTCCTTTGCCCGTCTCGCATCAATATCAGCACCCGCTTTCAACAACACAAGAATCCCATAGCGATCTCCCTTTCCAGCAGCATATAGTAAAGCCGCATCAAGCATGTCTCCCCGTTTATCCAAATCTTCAGGGGCCATGACAAAATTTGCGATAAATGTAATAACCAGTGGACTGTTATATTGTATCGCCAATTCCAACGGCGACCGTCCGTTAAGTCGATGTGTAATATCAGCGCCGTGATCTAGTAAGAGTTGAAGCATTTCCGGATGGTCTTGGAGAGCAGCTCCGTGTAGTGGCCCTTCGTCTTCACCACATATATTCGGATCGGCTCCTTTGTCGAGCAGAAATCGCGCCATCTCAATCCCAAATTCGGGGCTTGTATCCTTGCCTTTTAGTTTTGCAGCATAGCATAACGCTGTCGTTCCATGTTCGTCTCTCGCATTTAGGTTCACATTGCCTTCCTCACATAAGAGTTTCACGATTAGGAAATTCCCATCCATGGCCGCGCGTATCAGTGCATCTTCCCATTGCTTTATATCTTCCCTCAACGCCCCCACCTCGATTAGAAATCTAACCATTTCCGCCTGTCCTTTCGCAGCCGCGTTCTTAAATGGCGTCGTCCCATCCCCATCCTCATTACTAAAATAGACATGTTCCGTCTTTGCCAAAATAATTTTCATAATCTGTACATTCCCCTTCTCCGCACACGCATCAAAAGCAGTTTGGTAATCTGCCGGTTTCCATACCGAACCCGCCTCATCTTCATAATCTATGATCAGACGAAAGATATCCACATCGTTTTCTTTGGCTGCCCAGTAGAGTGCATTAGTGCATTTTTCCACACGGTAAGGGTGTGCACCATTAGCTAGTAAGAAACGAACGGCTTCTGGCAGAGATAAAGTAACGCAGCGGTGGAGAACAGGCCGTTGGTTCCAGATGAGTGTATTGACATTGGCGCCTTGATTAACTGCATCTTTGATGGCTGGAACATCTTCATTCTGTACGGCTCGGATAAGGAGGTTATTGAGGTCGGTCTGTTGTAATTGTGTGATATAGCGGGGAATTTGGAGCGTATGTTGTACGCTAGAAATTTTTTGGGGAGCGAGATGTGAATATAATGCCTCTGTAACCACTGCGTGGTAGCAATTTAATGATGTCCTCGGAACTTTCATGTTCAAAGTTGTCAAGAACTAATAGCCATGGATGCCATAGATTCGTGAGAAAAGTCTTCACGAATTCGAACTTTTCCGTCGGAGATCCATCCATAGATCTTTTAACAGTCGCATAAATTGCCTCTAAACCAAGAGTCAAGCTATAAATCGACGAAGCATCAAATCCAAAACACCGTTTGGAATTGTCCGAGAGCATGTGCTTGGTGGCAATATTTCAGTACCAACTGTGTTTTGCCCACCCCCTTATTTCCATGCACCAGCACAAAAGTTGGCTCCTGAGCCTGAGACCTGGTAGTCTTATAGAAAAAATCTTCAAGCTCCTTGATCAAATCAGGACGTTCAACAAACGGCACCACCCGCTTCTCTCTTACATCGGAAAAACTATCCTCCACAATTAACGGCATAGCCGCCGTAGCATCAACCACATGATGCAAAACCAGCACCGAAATATACGTCTGCAAATTCCTCTCAATCTCCCAAACCTTCTCATCACACCTCAACCCCACAAAAACCTTGCGAATCTTCACTTTAAACGCATCGCCCGGCACCGCCGAAATCTTGTCAATGATATCTTCGATTTTCTCAATCTGCGCCGTGCATCCGGCAACTACTCCTCGGAGAATACATTTGGAATCGAAATCGAGATGGTTGATTTGAGAATGCGTTTTCATGCGTCCGAGAGAAGAGACTAGAAGTGGAAGTTGAGTGGAGATGGCTTGGAGTGATTTGGGGATTTGAGAGGAATTGCTGCGATTGAGATCGTTGAGACGGGCGGCGATTTTGAGCCCGAAATCGATGAATTGGATTACGGCGGAGGCGAGACCTATGGCGGTGAGAGGATCCATTTTTGGGGATTGGAAAAAAGAGATTTTGATCTGATGGAGCGATGGCGAGGTTTTAGATGTGAGTGGTTGTGGTTATAAATATTCCAGGAGAAAAGTAACTGAAGTTACGAGGGTGCGGCTGAATGGGTATACAAACCACATCAAGGCAGCAGCTTACCAGTTCAAAGATTGCGATCGTACAATACCGCCTCAAATTGATGAAGGGGAGAGTGGGAACTGATTTGAGATTTTGGACTGGTGAAATAAATAACTTCCTTTACCTGGTTTGCGAACTCAAATAGTCAAACACAAGCAAAATGTATGGTGTAAAGTCTGTTCCCCAAAAACTTACTACCGTGACACTGTAACATTTGGCTCTCATCCAATTCTCATGCCATCGTATGATGTATCAATGTTCCAATAAATATCAAAGATTCATAGCTTGGAAGACCTAAAATCGGACTACAGTCCGGATCATTGGATACTCCGATTGTAGATGTACATTCAATCTTCTTACACCAAGGAGAACCGAAAAAGAAGCAGTCTGATCACATCGTCTGCCAAAAGAAGATAACATTGTTGAAGGTAATAGTATCAATACTTCGATACGTCTTGATAAACACAAGAAACATAGAGCCAGCGCAATGAAATTTTCCTTGACTTCATGATAATTACCATTGACCGCTTTCGATTCTCTCGAAGTGAAGGAAAACGAGTATATTGCTGTAACACTTAGATAGAGTGATGGAAAAACAGCCAAAACTCTCTTATATGAGCCATTAACATCACTGAACGAAATCCCTTGAACAATCTACACTTGTAGCTCGAACAAAAACATTTGTATGGTTTCTCGTCACGAAGAGCTTGATTAGGCTCGGTGTTGAACCCGCACGAAACATTCTTTTGAAGTGAGTCGACGAGAAATCATGCGATCAAGTGGTGACATTGGAGATACTCTTTTCCAAGGAGAAACTCTCAGAAAATAGCATTTGTAAGATACAAAAGCGGAAATATAATTGTCAAGACACTGCCAATTGTGTCAAGAACGCAAATGTCTAAGAAGGATACTTCTATCGGAAAAGAATGTTGGAGTGCTCTCCGAACTCTCGTCTCTTTTGAACTTCAAGGGCAGCCAAGCGATAAAGTTGTCTACCTCATCGCCATTCGATTTATTCCAAGTCATCAAACCAGCTTGGTATCTTTGTTAGTCTCTTTCTCACCTATTAGAGTAGCTCTGTCGCATGATATACCCTGAAATCTAAAATGTAGTAAGTATCTGGAAATAAAGCTGACAGGAGATAGTAAATAAGCGGGTAAATAGTTCCGAAAGCTATACAATGCATGCTGACAAGGAAAACATAATACAACACTTGATTGCTTACCACTCATTAACAAAGCAGCTTTCTCTTCCCACTCAATCACTCCCCGAGTATCGTAGACCGACCTAATTCAACACCCGATTGAAAAACACAACTCCAACCATTATCTCCCGGTGGGTAGACCCGAGTTAACTCGGCACTTTACAATTCGGCCTCCCACCCTCTTCTGCCTCACTCCCCGTAGTACGTACATCAGCGGCACGAAAGCAGAAGTAAAGATGTCCCTCGCAGTTGGACCTTATAGCATCTCATGTCATCTCATGTCATCTCATGTCATGTTCATCTCATCTCATCTCCAATCAAAACTTCCCATCCCCATCTAAGAGAATTAAAAACAGCGTCCCTCTCCTCCCTTCTTCAACTTGGGGGCCACACCATACCAAAAGAAATCTGCACAAAAGATTATCGGTAAAACTACTCACCGAAAAATATTAAACATATACATAAAACCCCATCTTATATCTTATATTCATATACTGTACGACCCCCAAAGAGTATTTATTTCCATGCGCAACAACAAATTCACAGCTGAAACTCCGCCGCTCAGCGCCGCTCAGCGGATATTATATCGGTGCTGCAGAACGTTGTGCCTGTGATGCACCAATGAGAAGCTGGCGGTGCGGACTTATTGCTTGTCCGACATATTTACTCTTTATGCCAGTCAGTGTATGGTAAGATTACAAGGATTAAAAAATCCAGCTGTGAGTGAGCTTTAAAGGGACTGCATGTAATGTATTAGAAAGAGGGTTTTGGATCAAGTGATATTTGATGGGATAGATGAGGAAGGTTCTTGACGATTTCCGACTTTTCCGCTTTATACGCTTTATCCTTCTAGGTTGAAATATCATATCATATCGACTCATATCAAAGCACAAGAATGCAACGGGATTCAAATGCGGTACGTACCCTAGCAATTGCGGGATTAACTTTGCATTGCATATGTATGTACTCTAAGTGAATGAGTGTGCATTCTTCATTGTCACAAGGTACCTAGGTGGTAGTAGATGTCTATCGCAAGGTACCAATACTACTATATATTAATACTAAGGAAGGGAATGCCGATTTACAGCTTTATGTTACAGTAATTATAATTAAGTGGCTTGGTCGGATATGTTATTTTATACTTCCGATTTAATCTATCCAGCTCCAGTAAATCATGGCTATGGCTATATTGTCATCCGCGGAGTTGGCGCGGATAGACGAGTACGGTTACAGTATAGTCCGATAGAATAGGATAGATAAATGTATATTATCTATATGAAAATAGCAGAAGCTATAGGGAGTATACTCGAGTAGAGTTTCTCGAATGCGAAACCGAGTTATCGTCTACTTTAGGCTGGTATAGTATCTATGCTAGATATATACCCCATACATCGTATCGTATCGTATTGTATCATATCGTATCGCATCATATCGCATAGCCTTTTCAGATAGAATAATAATCATAATTACGAAATAGTAAATACTGTATCTACCTAATAGTATAACAAAATTCAGTAAGTAATACAGCGCAAACACAATAAAAAACCCTCAATCTCCGCATCGGGCCCGAGTACGGATCCTGGATCCGAGATATAACTGCTTGTGTGCGGCTCGGAGAATTCTTATACGCCGTGGAATCCACGGCGTGGATGAGGGTGAGGTGAGGTGAGGGATGTCTGTGCCGCAAGAAGTCATCATGCGTAGTGCGTAGTGCGTAGCTAGTATGTGGCTGGCTGGCTGGCTGGCTTACTGGCTTACTATTGGGAGTCGAGCTTTGTTTTACTCATATTTGTCGTTAGGTACAGTAGATGTTCCAGGTTACAGTAATTGATACCGACACCCTAGAAAATACTTTTCACTAGTCGTAGTAGAGGTAGTAGAGGTAGAGACCCGATTCACTACTCGAGTAGAGGGAGGTCTATTTTGACTCCCGGAATCGTAATTCCTAATCCTAATTCTATGTTAGTTGTAGTTAGTCATGTCATTGTCACGCAAACGTATTGCATGCCTTTTTTGGAAGTTAGCATACTCGAGTATTAGTATTGCACATTGCATATTGCACATTGCATTTCAGTCCAAAGATCGAGGTGGTGAAGAATCTGCTATTGAGTAGATCCCGAGTAAAGTTTTTCTCGGATCTAAAACAAGGTAGGTAGGTATAGACCCTTTGCGCTGGGACCTCAGTATGCCTCCCAAAAAAAATACATCAGCCCTGATGCAACTCCCCTAAAGCTGAGTTCTTGCAGCCCTGAAATTCACAGCGTAACGCGACATTCCCAACGCCAATCCCAAACACCCAATTTTGAAATCCATTTTTTTCGTGTCATCATTCCCAAATAAACTCCTTGGTATCAAAATATCAATCCCTATTCCCGCAAACGCCAACGCTGCAATCGTGACCTCGTAATCTCGCGATACTCTCATCTAAACATCTAACCATTGATGTAAACCACCAGACTCGTCCCTTCTTGAGTCATGATAGACCTCTTTGGATCTTCCCGAACTAAATCGTTCCTTAATTTATTTCAGGTCGAAATTCCATAAAGGGTAAGGGTAGGTGTATTCCAATCGAATGCTTCTGATCCCATCATAAAGGCGATAAATATTCGAGATTGCCAGGTAAAAGTCCTCAACACTTCCATCGTAGCATGCGATTCATTTCGACCTGAACCGAGACTATATATGTCAAGTGTTATTCATCAGGTCCCGGTGGATAAGTTCATCTTCGGCCGAAAAGCAAAGCCCATTCAGATCACCAAAGCCTGTTCCATATTGATATGAAGAATCCGAATTCCCAAAGCAAGGTGATCCGTCAAAGGAGTCGCTAGCAGCTTGTTCATCGAACAATGACGTATTATGCTCGTGGAAATGCGGATTGGAAAAGTTGTCGAAACACTGGATAGGGGATAAATATGGATCCTCGTGCAAGGTGGATAGGTATGGCGATGAAGACATGGAACAGTCTACTTGGTAAGAATCTCCGGAAGAGGATAATGGCGAGTTTGCTTGGTAGGCAGCAGGCGAGAACGGTGAGACGTTAGATTGAAACAGCGAGTCTGTGGAGTAGGTAGGCGAGAGCGATGATACTGTAGATGAGGCGGATAATGCAGATATTTCTTGAAAATGATAAGATTGTGGTTGTATCGTTAAACCAGGTGCTCGGCGGTGGGCCATGGTGCCCTGAATCACTCGTTTGTTGAAGGTATAATCAGAGGGGAAGTTTGATGCTAGCTTATCGATCACATGCGAGTGGGACATGTTGACGTTGGGCACTTGATTCTTACTTTTAGATCCAATAAAAGACACAAGTGACATTCTAGAAGCGCTGAGTTTTTGATCTCTGGCTGCTAATCTCGAAATTGATGCTAGTGATGGAGGATTGTTCGATGGTTGAAACTGAAGTGTAAACGAAGACTTAGTTTGGTTGATTAGGTCTATTTCGGAAATCTGGGGGAACTGGCATGGATAATTCAGAGGTGATTCAACTTTGAATTCAGGCGAGGATTTGGGCGATTTGATTTGAAATTCCGGTGAAGGTTCTTCGGTAGATATGGTGACTTCTGTCGGAGGTTCCTGCTTGATTATCATTTTCTCTTCTAATGATAATCGAGTCAATAGAGCTGGTGCGTCCTCAACGAAAGACTCAGGAAGGCTAGATGCATTTCGGATGCATCCCAGTGCCTGAGCTATATCATGGATGACCACAGGACCTTTTCCTTCGTCCTTCATCCGAGGCTCTGCAAAAGTCCACTCCTCCCCGTTCTTCAACATCCGCCAGAGCTTGTCTACAACAAGTATCATTGCTTGGTAGGTATTCTCTAGGGATTCAGTGTATCTGAGTTCAATTGTCAGACATCGTTCTATTTGAAAGTAAAGGAATACTTACCCCGGAGGATACTTTTTGTCTTCGGTATGCTTTCCGTTGCCCGCCTCACATACCACATTTGCATCGACACATGCATTGCAAGCAATGTCGCGTTCAATATCACACTATTATAAATTAGAATTTGGAAGCAAGATCTTGTCATGCTTTTATGTACATACTTTTATCTTTTTATTGCGACAGCGCTCGCATGCTCTCGTAGCTCGTTTATTCCTTTTGCCACTTTCAGGAGAAGATGTTGGGATTGAATGTTCACTTGAAGTGCTATCCCTCTTGCGCTTTCGTGCCACTTGTTTTGAACCTTTTGGGGGTTTAATTTCATGAGAGATGGGCATCCTGAAGTATCTAAGATTTCCAAAACTTCAGGGTAAAGTATGATGGATTGTACTGGCGAGTTTAAAAGATGGTTCCAAAGTTTGAGAAGCTCGGATAGAGTTCAATCAATGTATTGAAAGCTAGAAAACTTTCAAAGAAAAATCATACGCAAAACTTTGTGGCTATAAATCAGAGAAGTAAAGAATTCTTAAGATTAAGTTAAGAACTTGTAACTTTAAGATAGAAAATTGGTGTTTGTTGGTGAGAATATATGCAGTGAACTGATAAATTGATAAACTGATGAAGTGGATGCTAGAAATATATCAATCGGAAAGGTTGATTGAGTAATTATAAGAAAAGAAATAAATAAATGGACCCAGATACTAGGTAGGGTATGGACGGATTCAAGAGAGAGACTCTTAGATCCGTCGACCGATTCGGCGGGTGATTACTGTAAATTATGTGAGGTAGATGGATCATCGACCCCTAGTCCCTCTGAACTTTCGTTCTGGACTATCGGGTGGGAATATTTAAGTAGCCGGTGTGAAAAGTAGTAAAATAGGTAATCATACCTGGGTTTTTTGAAACTCCTACACTCCGTAAATTAATACTGTATGGGATTGCGGAATATATGTTTTCGTAAATTAAGCTTAGTAGTCAGGGACGTGTGGGAGAAGTGGCTTTCAAAGGTATCTTGGTGTTAATTCTTGAAAGTAAGAGTATCTATTATAATGATATACCCGTAGTACTCGAGAAGATGATTAAGGAGGGGGGGGGTTCCTAGGTATGATAAAAGAAATCATTTCTCAAATTACTCCAAAATGTGAATGTCGGTTGGTATGAAGGGGGCGAGGGAAAGAGTTCGTTTACTGTCTGTTCGATGTTCGATGACAGCCATACCAACTTTTTAATAGCAGCCCATCATACCACGTATGTCAGTTGAGCAAATAAGAATTAACAAGAGGGGAAAAATCAAACTCGGATTACTCTTTCGAGTTTGATAGATTTCTAGGTTCTAGGTTTGTTTAATACACTAGTGCTCAGATCAATCATGACATAAAGAGTGCAGGAAAGTCTTAGGATAGCTAATAAAAGTAGCATGGCGTGGCTGCTTTAATATCCTTGAGATACTGAAAAGGGTATGGAGTACGGAGTTATGATCTCGGTATACAATATGATAATTTTGTAGATATATAAGAATACCCTATTTCAAACAACGACAACACAAAATTCCATATCTTCAGACTATTAGAGATCTTCGATATCTTGACATCTCTGAAGGCCTGGAGAACTTCAAAAGCTTCGAGAACGAACATATGATTAATGATGACAAAACATCTGTACTTGATAAATAAGATAAATAATCAGGTGGGTAATCATATTGCATTACATTGCTTAAATCCGAATTAGCATGAAGCTCTCGCCATATTTTGACTAATACTCAATTTTGTTACAACCTTACGGTGGAGATCTACTTCTAGATTCTCCATGGAAAATTGAGAAAAGTCCGGAACAGAAATAATGAAAGGGCTTCACTATCATCCGATCACTAATATCCGACCACTATTATCCGATCAAGTACCCGCTCAGATGGTGCTAAATTTGAAAAGAGTTAATAACGAACGTCACGACCACAATGAGTGTCTAAATTACCTAGTATTCTATCGCGAAGCAGAATCGAGTCAGACAACTTTGTCTAAAGGTACAGCCCGGATCGCTCTAATGACCATCAAGTGGAGGTTGATGTATACCGGGTATGTACAGTACATCTAATTTCCTTACATCATTTATACAACATCTTGATGAAAATCGTCGGAATCTCTAGTCCTCCGCTACCCGTTCCTAAACAAGAGATCGAAAATAAGGGTCTATCATTCCGAATTCTACCCGCCCCCCATCCACAAAAGCTCAGATATCACAAGTCAAGCAAAATACTCCATCAGACAAATCATACATATCGCGCAGATCACTGATGATGAAGATGCGCCCTTTCGACCCTTCTTACATTACAATATAACAACATACAACATAGCATCAATGGCCATATAATTGTGAATTTGTGAGTCTCCTAATTCCTAAACGGAGCGGAAGCGAACAAGTTCCGACTTACCGACGTGACGAACACTAGCACTCTCGGATTACGCGAATAAGATTATGAAGGGGGAGCGGGGGGGGAAGGGGGGGCTGAAGCTATTCACACTTCCACAGCAACACAGCTATTCGAACCGGTTACGCTACAATCTCGCATAAGCACAATTTACCTCCGACTAAAGATCCAAACTATTCTCCCATTGTACCGTCGCTTTTGATCCTTCCTTGCAAGATGATATGGCCATTTTGACAATACGGGGTCTTACCATGAACATCATGAACGTCATCATCTTAGGGACATCATCATTGAAACTCTATTTTAGCTCAAACATAAGTCTTTCGCCATGGAATTTCTCTCACTCGGTTCGACTTCATCTAATATCCAACGAATCACGGATTCGATAGCATCCAATCATTCCAATGACTCCAAGCAGTATAAAGCAGCATTCTCAACTCCAAAACCTCCGCCCACCTTTCATATTCACACTCGATTGGCATTTCCAAAGAAAATATCAGGCCCAACATCTTACATCGTATACCGTATACGGTATGGTACTCACATTCATTTCACGAAACCATCTCACTCCATACGCGTATCAAGGAATGCCAAGCGTCGAAATAGGTTGATCAAGGCGAAGCCAAGTTACCATGAATCCTAAATCAAGACCCCTCCCTGATTGACAGATCGATCAGCCATCCACTTGACAATCTTTGGCATTTTGCGGGGCGGACACTGCTTGGCAAGTCACATGATACACTATATATGCACTTCCCCGCACAACGGCATCAGGACTCATTCTATCAATCGTCGGGCTATCAGGCTCTGTTGGCTCCCTTCAAAGGAGCCTACGACTTCTAGTCGGCAAATGAAATCACATACCGGTACACGGTAACCTCAAGCGTTTTGATCAGCGACGATTTGAACTGCAAGAATGGCAACAATCTCGGACCAAGATATCTCGACCCAGTGGAAGGGTACATCACATCGAGCGACCCACGTTCCTCCATTAAACGAATCAGCCGACATGAAGTCCACATACAATATCCAAAAAAAGACAGAAAGTTACGAACTACATATGTATTCTCTCCCTCCTCGTGTCTCCCATTTCACCTCCATGCAATGCAAATCCCAATCACAATCCTACATACTCAATCGTCCATACACCCACCCACTCATGAAGATCGTCGTTCTGGATGATCTGCGCTAGTCTTTGAGGATGCCAACTATTCAAAGTTTATAAACGTTACTACTCATAAGGCTACCTAAATCCAGACCATCTGGATAATCACAATATGCTCAGCATCATCAAACTAGCAAACACATCGGCCACTTATATCAGATTTCAACGAGCATGAACCCTCGTAGGTCAGGGTTAGTCACTGGCCTTCAATATGGGGTTGAAGATCGGCTACCACAAGCTAAGCATGACGAATGTCGAAAATCTGCCATTAGACTTTTGTTCTGACAGGTTTTGATCGCACTATTCGAAATAGGGGTCTTTTTCCACCAATCATTCTGAGGAGCCTTTGATCAACCTAGCAGAGTTTTTTCAACCCAGGAATACCTTAGGCTTGGTCGGCAACTTTACCCGCAGTCTAACTCTCGATCGGCATCTAACAATCGCACTGGAATCGTACCAAAACTTTCCTACCAAACATCCCACTGATTTCGCTTGGCTGATTTTAGATACATTGGCGACATGAGTAAGTATGGGAAAGTCTGAAAATAATTGGCGACATGAGTAAGTATGGGAAAGTCTGAAAATAATATGGAACTCCTATGAATCTCATACTATAACGATTCGAAATTATATCACAAAACTGGGGAGCTCCTATTACCCCTCCATATGATCTCGAAGCCTTCGAGATCATATGGAGTCGAAGCTATGGAGTATGGGAAAGTTTCACAGAAACATGCGGATTCGAATTGTTCCATGTCTAACGCTGTGCAACAAAATACCTGTTGCTCATACTAGATTCCGAAGTCGGGATTAGAAGGTGGCCTAAGCAGAAGGCTAATTTAGGTCGACGGGAGCTTGATGGCTGTTATGTCGATTGTGTTGATTGTGTCGAATGATTATGGGAAAGTTATGGAGAAATATGGGAATTACAACAATTGCATGCCTGGACTACGTGCAACAGAATCTACGTTTCTCGAGATGGATTACAAAACCAGTAGTAGAGAAAGCTGATGACGTCGATCGATTGAACCCCACCATGGCCGCGTTTACAAATGAGTATGGGAAACCCTCGAGTAAACATGGGAGTTCGAACAATCCGATGTAATCTTACAACCAATTTTCACCTCCTCTAAACTTAGATCAGTCTAGATTATATATCCATGGACCAAGGAACACCATATCCGATGGATCTGGTCACCATCTCAGGCTGGGTTAATAGACATTGTCAAGCGACTTGTCGGAAATCATCCCCCTAAAAGTTGATAATCGTTCCCCAACATCGAAACACATCATGTGTAACTTGGTAAGTTTTGAAGTTTGTGACTCTCCGTGGACTCACTCCCCAGCACAACTCGAAAACAAACTGCAGATGGGAGGAGGCAGACGGAATGAGGGCTGCGAGAATGGATGTAGCAGTCACCGTGGATTTTAACATATATGTGGAGAGAATGTAATCTTACAACAATATTTCACATCACATCTCTAAGTAAATACAGACCAGGTATTGGCATACATGTAATGTAGTAAGTCACATTTCATAGTATTGTCAGGAATATTTCGGTTCTAAATCCCAAATGAGGCGAAAATAAAACGCCCGAACTCCAATTTGTTACTCTATCTGTTGCCTACCAAATCCGTTCTGTTAACTACTGCTAATGATCCTACTAGGGTGCTGTACGTTTAATGTCGCGACTGCGACTACGACGGTGAGGTACCTCTCCTTTGCCCTGGCTAGGTGGAGTCGAAGTAGATCCAGATTTATCTCCCGCAGTCTCCTTATGAGTCTTTGTAGATTGACCCGATTCCTCTTTTCTTCCCGTCTTTCCCTTTCCATCTGTCTTTTCGGCTGTTGGACGTTCGAGCGTCTTAGTTTTCTTTGGTAATTTATCCATCTTAAATACCCCCACGTCACTATCCGAGTCACTCTCAATCTTCTTATTCCCACTCGAACCAATCCCACCCGTCGTGGTATTTCTCGCTCCTCTCACCGGCAATGTTACAGGTTTAAAGCCTGCCTCTTTTATGACCTTTGCTGCGGCCAGTGCTCGCTTCCACTCCAATACCTCCTCACTGGCCATCATAAGTTTTCTAACTTGTTCGGCCCCGCGATATGCCTTGAAGTCTTTGTCGCCAGCGAGCTTTCCGACTTTATCGTATGGTTTGAGATAGGCTACTACATCGGCGGTATCCCCAAGTCTTTCGACGATCTTTTTGCTACGTTCATCGTTCTTATCATTGGCCTTTGCATTTCGAGCTTTCAAGAAGTCCTTGACGTCCTTATTCTCGCCTAGCAATCTATATGATTCTTTGTACTTGTAGTAATCTTTGACATTGGAATTGTTCTTGAGCTTCTTGACTTGATCGGACCTTAAGATATACTATTTTACATCTTCAAGCTTCTCAAGCTCCGGGATGGAATCTACTCGTTGAGACATTGTAATTGGATTCGGATGGTGTATTTTTGTTTAGTCCGGGCTACGATATCGATTTGAAGGACAGGGATTTCGTGACCGTTGTTGAAAGGGTCTGGTCCTGTATGGTTGGGAACGGCTGTGAAGCAGAGGTTGGATGGAGTAGATGGTTGATTGAAAGGTGATTTGTATGTTGTGGTGATGTTGTAACTGATGGAAGAATCTGCGTTCTTATACTGAGTATATTTCCCAACATCAGCCTTCTCCACCGTAACGTGGATAAAGTCACGGGATACCAACATCAATATCGTCAGGTTTTTCACCATCATAGCCAAGCCACCAACCGCTCTGAAGTCATATACGGACGTAATAATGATTCGATGTCCAGTATTCCCACTAAATGGTCCCGACCACTCTAGGTCGATGGCCAACCAATATTCAAAAGTAGGTATTTAACTACAGGGTTCGAGCTGCCTAAATCCATTGTGGCCTTCTATGAATCCCGGTACTGCCTTGAAAATGTACCGGTCAATCTAAAGGTCGGTCGATGGCCCATTCTCAGATCAAAATTAGATATCGGCACTTCTACCATTCCCGAAGAGCTGCACCGCTCAGATTCGATTCCGGTCCGGATATGATGAGTTACAATATCCAACGCCGACAGAACATTCACCACTAGATAGAAATCCTCAGTCACGGTAAACTGGGATGGTCTAAGAGAGCCCATGTCTAACATATATCATTACTAATCATCTGGTCCAGACATCGGCCGCAGTTGGGGGCCGGCCTGTCGTACCTCGTTATTGACGTCAAAACAAGCCTTTAACCAACAGAAAGGTATTTCTCGGCTGTGCTCATTTACATTCGTGGGCTGCATCAGGGGCCGCTGGACCAGTTTATTTCTTCACAATTCTAATTGCTGGGCCGGTATGGTGTGAAGCGGAATGCCCCGTGGAGTAACCTATATAACAAGCTTGTTGTAAAAAGCTCGAGATGGATGGGATTATATGGGTTCAAGTAGACGCTTTAGAAATCCCTCCCGATGGTTTTCAAACAAAGCTTGGCGAACTATTGGATGGCGCCGAGACCGCGGGAGAAATCTGTTGTCACGGTGCTTTTCCTAACATCCCCGAATCAGGACTTTTCATAAAAGATTGTAGTCCAGTCCACTTTCCTGTGGTGTAGCATGATACAATATCAATGAATTTATCGCGGCAAGTAAGCACGAGAGCGTTCAAACCAAAACTGAAGCCTACCCGTCGAAGTAACAGACTCGGACTCTCCCGGCACAAAAAATTGGATTCCAGAATTCTGCTTGAACTACGGAGTTGGAAGCTATTTTATTAAAATTCTGGGATAACTTGGGGTTTGAATTCAAGCAGTTTGGCACAACATTACCCGCCCTTGTGCTTTTGGAAAGTTGGAGTGTTATTGAATCCTGATAGTGAGTTCATCTGCACCTATTCCGAACGTTAATCATACATTGATTGTTCTGCTTGCACTTCAAAGTGCTCATCGATTACTTTCGCAGTGTTGGATGACATATTAACATTTGCGCGGGCCGATGAAAAGTTCATAATCGAACATGGTGGTTATTAAAGGAAAGTGGCTGTGCCGAAATCCTCGGATTGGGGAAAGCTCTTTTCTATCCAGGATCAGCACGGCTATTCCAACCACTCCTGACTGTCGCATCTTAAAGCAGTGGCTGGCCGTCACAAGTTCCTTAGATGTCTCGACATGTCGCACTCCAATCTTGTAAGGGTCGCCTCATTCTCATCTGTATGAGCCAGGTAAAGGTTCAAAAAGAACACGAAGTTGGCATAATCAACTCTAGCGGCCGGGCCCCAGAATTTAAGTGTCGCGCTGGCGAGGTGCATATAAAATCCGAGTTCTTGGCATACATCATTGATCAAATACAGTAGATGGTCTTTCGATCAGCCACATCCAGCTTGTCGTATACCAAGTTTGGTCCGTATTCCACTCAGAGCATGCCCGAACACGGGCTTGTCTAGTATATTCAATAGTTCAGCCAGTCCAAGGATACAAATACTCAGATTATTTTATGCTTTAAATGTTACACTTTAATCTTCAAATTTGATTCTCTATAAACAAAATGATAATCTTCATTTAAACGAAAAACGTGACGTTTTCAGTATATCTAATCCGAAATGGACGGACTAGGTAGTTTTAATCTTCTTCGGATGGATTAGTTGAGATTTTCTTCGACTATTGGATACACTGCGCGTACATTTCACAACCGTGACAGCACGAAATATTACGAAATGGCCAAACGCTCACTATAGTTACGTCCGGCTTCAGAATTATATCATAAGAGGATCCAACATGGGCACAAAATAGTTGACCTTAAGACCCATTGTCGGTTCCAGCCATCTCATCACCAGGCCCATAAGTGGATTTCTGAGAGGAGATCTCACTTTAATACCACGTGCAGGCATCCTCCAATATGGGTTAGAACAGATGTTAGGATCTGAACGTCCAAAAGACGAGAGATTGAGGATACTAGTGATCACTCTCAAACCGCATCTTTTCTTGATATTCTTGGCTAAACGTCCCATTCGCTATATTCAACCGAGGCAGGCCAAATCCACGGATGAATAAATCCAATTCGAGCATATGTGGGGGGGGGACATGTCATAACACGAAAATAAGCGAGAGGAGTTAACGCTGTCTTAACGGTATCAAGATGATTTCGGGCATGTTTTCCTGAATTCTTGCGTGGAAATGGCTCGGTATTATTAGTTTCCTGCCCTCTAGTATGGTATTATCTAGCATAGGGGGCTATATAGCACAATACGTACTAACCACCTCCAATAAACCTAAAGCGCAACTAAAGAAACATCTGTTTTTCCAGTCAAGCGTGACTTGCGCTTCTAATAAAGTGACCAAAGTAAACATTCAGACTAAAATTCTAGAAAGCTACGAGTATGTTAAACCTCCATTTATTCCAACAGATTATTCACATGCATATCACATATAAATCAAGTATCTTTTCGTTTCTTCAACAAAATTTACAATATGAGAAGAAAGCCGATGTTCAATAGTAATTATAGAGCATTAGCTACAAATAACTGTTCTATTCACTTCACTATCTCATGGCCAAATCCAAATCCAACCCATCAGCTGAGCTACTAATTAGTCCACGATGTTTCATTGACATCAAGTACTAGCTTTGATGGACTTTACTAGATCGCAGGGTGCAAAAGGTTGCAGCTTCTGTAAGATCGTGAGTGTAGTAAAATTCCATCCTACTGAACAATTCTCGGTTCGTTCTTTGTGGTGCGAGCATACGAATAGGCGCAAGTACAAAGGATCTTTCAATTTTTTGTTATGGTGGTTGAACAATGCTCGTTCGAATCTCTTTGAGCACGTGTAAATTGTTCGGATTCTCAAGAACAGAGAACAAGGGACATTATAAGTGTTGAGGTACATAACAATCACGATTGTGCTACCGACCGTTTAGCATTCCCCAGAACATCCAGCCTAACCAACAAAAGAAGCTACAAGAATAAACCAGACTTCACTTCAGCCCAACTCCAAGATGCCAACCCAACAGGTTCGCCCCAAAACAACCCCCATCGAAGTAACATTTGGCATCGAGCTCGAATTAGCTATTGCCTCCGTACCCGACCAATTCCTGGATCCCCAACCCGACGATCCCCGTAGAGTCCACGGTATCACTCGACCCGAGGACTTCAACCCCAAAGATTTTCTTCCTTACATCGATTTGCCCCAAAAGGAAAATGGAGTTCAAAGAGGATGGTCTCTAGAGTGGGAGGCACAATTCAATGCTCTGAAACGAAACATCGCTAAGCTTTTAACTAATAATGGACTCCCTGCTGTTGCCGATTGCGACTACAGAGATCCCGTAGAATTTTCTTCTGACCCTAAGATTGATGATCTAAAATTTTGGATCATTTCTATGGATATGACTATCATGCATGGTCCTGGCGAGCCCAGTAATCCAATTTATTGGTATTGGCCGGTGGAAATCCAAAGCCCGGCATACATCTACAATGAAGAAAACATACAGAAGGTAAGAGATGTGCTACAAAGTATTGACAAAGTGTACAGAACTCATTGCGATTCAAGCGCAAGCATTCATATTCATATCGGTAACGGGCAGAAAGGGTTTGATTTGCGTACTATTAGGAATTTTATGGCTTTCGTTTGGACTTTTGAGGAACAAATTGCAACTATTCATCCCCCTCATTATATGACTGATCAGGCATTTTCAAAACCGGTAAGTACACATAGTCTTCTTGCGTTCACGTCTCAAGTAGCGCGAAGTGAGATAGAATTGACCGAGGACAGGGAAAATCAACTTAAAGATCATGATAAAAACTACGTCATAGACAGCATCATGAAAATAGAAAGCATTGACGACGCAGTCGAATTATTATCAAATCCAGAACTGAAGACCAACCGCCTCGCCGAAAGACTTACATACTCGATATGCAACCTAGAAAGCGGTAGAGAGAAGGTCAAGAAAACAATTGAATTCAGACAGCATCAGTCAACTCTTGATGACGAGGAGGTCTATCATTGGATTACCGTCTGTAGATCCTTGGTTTACATGACTAGTGTTGTGGACGAAGAAGACTTGATTGAATTCTGTAAGAAATATATCAATGAGACAGTTGAGGAGTTCTCGATTACGGAAGTCCTGATGGCGATTAATCTTCCGGTGCAAGCTTATTATTATGGAGTCAGGGCCGTGGTAGAGAAGCACCAGAAAAAAGAGGAGGAGCGCAAGCAACAGTAAGAGGAAGAAATCGAGCAATAAACAGAAAAAACACACAAAAAGAATGTGGAGGAGATGGAAGAACGAGAGTAAAAATAGCAGACTGACTGCAGTACCTGTACCGACTTCGAACCGGATTCGAAACGTAGCTTCTCGTGAGTCGTCAAGTGACGGACTTCCTTTCCAATTTTCCTTTGATATATACTAGATTCTCCACAACCAAATTTTACAGTAAGCACACTTCCATTCAATTTTTCCTTCGGAACACCTGGTTATGTATCACACTGTGAGTCCATCAACTTAATTTAACGTATTTCTTTACACCAACTTTTATATTTCCAAATTTGCGTGACGTGCTCAACTTGATTTTCGCAATACATGTAATATTTGTTAACTCCCTTGCTACCAACTGCCCACGATCTCATAGTGTTTGATCTCAGCCCAAGCCCCCCACTAAAATATCAATCCATCAGTCCACACCCCAAACCCTGTACCATGTGAATAAAACCCAAACTCCTGCTGTGACACAACATGCCACGATCTCGTCAATGTCTTTCCCCCCTTACCCATAACAATCTCTCCTCTCCTCTCTTCTCATCACATACCCTCACCCCCTCCTCCACCCCATCACTCTCTCTACCCTCGAACCTCTGCCCTATACATACCCCTCATCTATCCACTCATCATACCCCTAAACCCTCCTTCCCCCATATCCCCTTTACCTACCCCCTCCTCTCCTCCTCCCTCCTCCTCTTTCTCTTCCTCCCCCTCTCCCCTCTCTATCCCACCCATTCTTCCCCCCTCTAAACACGATGATAATAATCCTGCAAAAGCAAACCCCTCTCATTACAATACCCCACATTCGCCTTTCCCCCATGCGCAAGCGCACACTTCAATTTATTACAACAGGGGATGCCTGGAAGGTGGCACACGCCTTCTTTGGGAATGCATATTTTGCGGGGCTATTGGTTGGTGGGGTGTTAGTTGGTGTTAGGAGAGAGAGAAGTGAATAAGGATGGGGGGGAGGGTGAGAGAGAAGAAAATATATAAATACCGCGAGAATATCTTCTTCGTCCGCAAAGACTAGTGTTGAGAAGGTTGAAAAGGTAGAGAGGGTAGAGAAAAAGAGGAAGATAGTAACAATAGGAGTGTAAAGGTACATTTTTTTTTGGATACGTGCTGCTGAGATGTGGTTGGTAGGTTTTGATATTTATTTGTGTGATTACAACACGTAATTTGATAAAAAGCGATCAATAAAATTCGTGTCTTGTAATGAAAATGAGAGATGGAAAAAAAAAAAAACGAGAATGAAAAGGTAAAGGTAAAGTGCTGAGTAGAGAGAGTGTGCGTGTCAAACCGTGAGGAATGTAAATGACTGTGTTGTATCGTATCTCCACCCACATATTTAATTCCATGCATTCCATCACATCCACTTCAATTTCATCCCTTTCTAAACCAATATACATTCCACGCCGTGCGTCGTGCATCAACCACACACATACATTTATGTTCCAGCCAAGTAAGAAAATAATCCAACCTCCCTTTCTATCCTACGTTATCCAAGCGATGGGAACTTTCACAGGAACTCGGAAGAAAGCTGTTCCTGCATATATGATATCATATCATCTCGTCAAATCTATCAAACCTATCCTCACCCCACCCCACCCCCTTATCAATCCCATTTCCATATACCGATACGGTACTCGTAGTACTCGAGTATATATCATGTAATCGAAATACCACTAGTATTTCTCCATACATGCCCATATCTTGCCTCTCATCTCATCTCCCCTTCTCTCCTCTCCCCTCCCCTCACCACACACACCTTGTTCTATTTATTACTCATACTCATACTCATACGTATATTCGAGCAGACCGGTGTTTGGTGCTGTAAATTAGTAAGTATATCACATTATATCGAATCTTTTATACAATAAACCCATACATACCCAATCATCCAAACACAAAACTCAACTCAAATCAAAGATAGAAGAACATTGAACCGCACATACTTACGGAGGTATATACTTCCATATCCCAAGACACTTGCCCATCAACTAGTGAATCAAACTCATTCAAAATCATCCACAATCAATCACAGCCACATCATTCAAAGCGTTAATTCAATCGTAAAGCTCATCGAGCACTTTAGTATTCTGCCTATCAATCACCTCAATCACATCCATCACTCCCATCATTCCAACATACACATTCCAGACCCCCTCCCTTCTTCCCATCTTTCTCTCTCCCGAGTTACCATGCTACCAATTGGGCCTTGAATCCAAAGTAACCTTTCCATCCTCAAAAACGCCATAACCATAACCTGGTATTCCACATGAATCCAGCTCAATAATTACCATATCCCAATAATCCCCCGAGCCCTTTTTGGCAATTCACAAGTGAACATATAACAAATGAACGTTGCGATGGTACTGAACATACAGCTACCCTTAAACAACCAGCCTTAAAGCCAAATTCTACTCATTCTCCTCCAAAAGAATGTCGGGCAGGTGCCGCACGAACGTAAGTTGGCGCAAGCGCATCAAATCGTAAGTTCCCCTCATCAAAAACGCCGTCTAACGCCCTTTCCATCCGAGCATTCCCCCGTTCCCAATGTTAAATGCAGTAAGCATCCATTAAAAGCTTCTCCGTTTCGGTGAGGCGAGTGTTGGATTTATTTGTGAAAGAAAAAAGGTTTTATACAAGAGGCCGTAACTCTTCCCCAATCAATAGTCATCCCTCGTCGGATGTGGTTGCGCTTGTGATCCCCATAATGCGTTATGTATATGGCTCGGTGGCTCATCGGGATGTATAGGCCTTCGTGGATCAGCCCATTGTTCTGATGATGCTGGGCTTCGTTTACGTTCTTCTTGATCAGATTGATCACGTGCGGTCTTTTCTGCAGCTCGTTTAGCCCGTTTCTGTTCGAGAAACATTTCTGGTTGAGATAACTGTCGTACGCTGTATGGTGACACCGGTCGTGCCTCATATGATGGCTGAGCCACCTGACTCAAATATGAATCTGGTTCTCCAGTTACTGCCATGCCTATCGGATTTTCCTGCCTTCGCATTGAGCCGGGAGTTGGATTATTGGAAACTAGGCGGTCCGGGTTGTCATATCGAAGTCCATTCGTGGTAATATCCAGTCCTTCAGGAGTGTAACGTTGAGCTGCTGGAATGTAACCTGAATGATTGAGGTTTGTGGGGTTAGGTTGTGCATTATCAATTAGACCAATTCCTTCCTCACCTTCCATAGCCCCTTTGTTACTACCGAAGGTACTCTTCCTGTATTCATTGGTAATCGGTAAACCGTCATCCCGTCCTTTGTATGATGCATCCGTTTCCGAGATTGTAGTTTGGAGAGACATATCATTGTCATTATTGAAAGATGTCGGCTTATATGAAGAGTCTGTCTCGCGGTGCTTAACACCTACAAACAACCAACGCATACTCCGAGCAAATGCTTTGACCAAATCCCATGGGTTCATAGCATCAGCGAAGGCCATAAGGCCGAGAGGACCACCTTGTTTAGGACCAATAGGATCCAATCCGGGTGTACTTGGATATTTGACTGGGGTCGCAGTTGATGCGTACGGCCTCCAAGGAAATGCGAACAAGTGCAAAACCGAGAAGATAGCCATTTCAATACAGAGTAATAAGTTCGGAATGCCAATCTTCAGGTCAGGGTATGCTAAATACTTGGTCGGCTCGACAATGCCAATGGTAGATGACATCAAAATACTGATAGCAAAGCTTTGCCAGAAGGACAAGAATATGACTGCTTTGATAGCAATAACTTTGAGGAAAGGTTTGTGTAGAATAAGATCCACCCGAAGCTGTATATAAAATTGGATGAGGCAAAACATGGCGATTGTTACCGCGGCACCTTCAATCACGAGAATCTAGGAAATGTTAGTGGAATTACCACAAAAAGAGAGAAAATGGACATTACCCAGATATGAGCAAATACTGGAGAATCTGAAGAATCACAATATTTGCCAAAATATTGGGTGACAACAGCCAAAATAGTCATGGTAATCCGAATAAAACAATACTGATAAACACCAGACCATACAATGTTAAACCATGTCAAGCCACTTCTTGGTGTTCTCCAAGGACCCTTATCACCACCACAACATCTTCTCATCCAAGTCACTGGCCAAACCCATGGCTTTGGAGTTGCGGTTCGAAAATATATCTTTTGGTTGTGAAGATCCGGAGCGATGTAGTGGCATAGGAGAGCAAAAAAAGATGCAATGGCGAATGCTTCGTAACACTCTGATATCACACTATAATATATCTCATGCCAGTATTGCCAAAAACTAAGGAAGGATGCGACTGAGTAAATCGGAACCATGAAAAGGATGCGAATGATGCTACGGAGAATTAGTATATACACGTAGTCCAAACATGGGAACACATACTGTCGCTGCTCATAGGGCTTTGTGTAATGCATGGCATGCATCCACATGAGATATAGTGATAGAATAATGGCGATCAAGGCAGTCGCCGCAGCAACTACTATACCCAGTTCATGAAATGTTAGGTCTCCTATCAACACTTCTTCTGACTTCCCAACTATCATCATCATCAGCATATTTCCTTTCTCTTAGGGGAAGATAACTCATACTTCGCATATCATCCAGCGTAGCATTACATGTTGTATTGATGAACATGACTGCGGTTGTTGTCGATCGACTGCTGACCAGCTCGACAACTCGAGCACCGTCGTCGCCAGCGTAGGTTTTGTCTTAGTTCCAGCCTGCTCCTAAACTCTCCTATATTCTTGGTTCATTTATACCCTTCTCTATGTATGATGTGATATAGTCGTCTTGATTAAAGAAAAGGTACGTTAAGTCGTGGATGGATCGCAGCGGATAGAATGTGAGGAAATGGCGACTGTGGTTTTTGGGATCTAACAATAGATCTAAGGGTAACGTCGATGACTGTGTACAAGGGTATCTTAATCGAAAGGAATTGATTTATTTTCTAATTCTTAATCGTGACTGTATCGCTCGCTCAAATGGGTATCAAAGTATTCGAATCGCTCGCTCGATATGTTTTACAGACGTGAAGGTTGGTCGATGTGCGAAGATGCGACAATTTGTGTATAGTTGGATTTGCCTGAAGAGAATCTAGGAATTCAGGTAGCAGACCAGTGCATGAAGATGAAGTTCTTGAAAAATCGAAAGAGGTTTAAGTCGAGGTGGAGGTAGAGGTAGAGGAGGAGGAATTCGGGGAATGTGAGTGGAAGTGGAAATAGAAGTGCGAACAAGAGAGTAAATGAGTGAATCAGTGAGTGAGGTGAGAGAGAGATGTTAAAGACAAGAAGGTACTGCGGTTTGGTTCTTGCAGGTCTGCGGGCTGCGTGTGTATGGTACGACGAGTATGGTATGTGGTAGGAAGTAAGAAAAAAGAAGAGTAAAGGTTGGTTGGGGGGGTTTGTTGGTAGGTTGGTTCACAATTGGAATTCATAGGTAATCTGCCACTAAAAATCATAAGGAGGGCCGAAGCGTATAAGAAACACACCTAAAGCGTACCGAGACGAGGAAGGCTGTGCAAAACGCCCATATATAGGGAAGGCTATGTTTTGAAACTTGGAAGAGAAAGATATTATTAATTCATTAGATTATTCAATATTTCTCAATTACTCTCTACGATAGAAAGGGCAACATAGAATATAGAAATGCCTACCGGTATTATTTATATGGGTTAAATATTTCAGGGCTTTATATTTGTAAAAATCAATCAGAGACGACTTCTTTTAATATTTCGAAGATTCCGCCAAGAGGACCTCATCTCAATCATCTCCATCTTCCAACCTTCAAGTATTGATGGGCGTTAAACATTCATAGCCTTGCTCCTCGCTTTAAAACTACTTGTGTTACGATGTCTATACTCAAGATGGTATAGCATCTCGCAATACATGGCACGCGTTCCAGTATTGCAGTATTGTGATAGAGAGCATCATTCATAGCCCTGTCTTTATCGAGATTATATTCTACCTTATTGCGTTGACAATCGAGTTTCCTACAATATTCTACTACCTGGGCACTTTATCTCATACTCATAATCGATTTAATCTATCTAGGTCTACCATTACTGGTACTCTACTCTCGATATACCTATATATATATACCGGTCGGTATAGGGGATCTCGGGAGCGAGCATCATCCCATACCAAAAGTTTGGACCATGCAGAATTTGATCCTAATCTTAGAAATCCCAAAGCTTACAAAGCTGTGATATTAGGATGAGCCTTGGGTGAGAAAGAAGTTATTATATTGGTTCTATATTTCCATTCATCGAGTCCTCCTAACTCCTATTCCTAGTAACCACGATCACAATACGACACAACACGCACTTCTTCAATCAATCGAGCACCGCATCACTTTGCTAGGCCTATGTCAATCCACTTTGACGCAGATCGTTGATTAAAATATATCAGTTTACCAGTATTGCGTCAATGAAGTTTCTATGCATAACTTAATATAATCTTCACAAGTGTGATAGACATGGACCGGTATCTTTGATGTCAATATCCATAATCCATACAGCTCTAATCAACCAACAATCTACGGTACTAGTGCCGGTATTCAACTCTCATCGTTTCTAAAGCTAAGCGGGATGGATGCTGTGAAACGAAGAGTCTTGAGTTCAATTCATGCAAATTCTTTCTCAAACACATGTAGACAATCACGTGTGTTTCATTTACACTAAACTCACCCATTCTCAGTCCTTCCTCTAGTTTTCAATCGTATCTGTGAAGAAGTTTGTTTGTTTCAGCCGAGTTTTTGTCCTAACTTCATTATTGTTAAACATCTTACTTCATCATGATTGATTATTGACAATGAAGAATTTGGTCTGGTTCATTCAAACCTTTCATATTTCCCCGCATCCCAATACGGTACCGGTATAGCTAGAACTCACCGTTTCTCATGAAGATCTTTCATTTCTTATTATCCAAACGCAGATCTTAGTGTCCCTACCTGTCCCTTTACAATAAAATTTCCGAAAGTCAAACTGTCATGAGCACAGACATAGACATCGGCATATTTGATAAACCACTCACTGCCAAGCTCAAACTCAAGCATCCGAGAACGAAACCAAACGGTGGGAGTTTATCAAATTCGAAGTTCTAACGTACCAAGAGCCAAGAAGTCGGAGATAATGTCCATACAAATCACGCTCGGCCGTATCGGTACGTGAAAGGGTCGCATCGTGCTTTGGATGTTTGGGGTTTCAACTTTCAACATGCAGTACCTTAGACCTCGAGAAGTTGCTCTGGGTCGAGACTCGAGAATCAAGAATCAACAGAAGCAGCCTCTTCCATACCGGTACATTGCTGTGAAACAAGGTCGAAGCAGATATAAAGTTGATTTGTCAGGTGGGTGAGTGAGTGAGTGAGTGAGTGAGTGATAACAACAAACCATTAGAGGTAGTTTCTCCGACACAAAAATCTAGCCAGATGACCTTACATAGGCCCCGAGTGTTATTACTATGTCTCTCCCAAAACGTATATGGTTTTATAGGGTCACATATCCCGTGACAGCCAGAAGTTTCCGATATACTTTCTCAAAAGCCTTCAGGTTGTAAAAACATCTTCAAGATCGATGACCTAATCTAGGAATGTATCACGTGCTATTTTATATAAACTCAACTCCAATATCTGCAGTGCAGCAAGCTTCAATCTAGAAGTCTTTCTATTCATAGCTTGATAGCTTGATAGCTTGCTCGAGGTTGAAAGACAATACTCACATCTTATTCTCATGTAATGTATAATAATCACATTTTAATCAAAGCCTCTCGGTGGAATGTAATGTTCTCATTTTTTTTATCTATCAGTATGGATGGAATGTTATTCATATCCAGCCATTCTAATTTCTGAGGAATTCACTACTTGATAATACCTCTGAATACCCTCTGAGAGTTGAAAAGCCCACTAAATTCATTCACTCAATTTCAACACGATTCTTCCTACAACAAAACAACTCCTTCTATACTCTTAAACTTTCAGCCTTTGCATGGAATAAACTACTCGGATTCTCGGATTCTTAAATTCTCAAATTCTCACTCATATTTCAACAAAAACTTTATTTTGCTATAACATAATACATTCCTACTTGTGCAATGTAATAGGATACGGTACAATCTAGCCAAATCAAAACCCAAACAAATATAATATAATAACCTTTATCTCACCTCATCTCATCTTATCCTCACTGATTTTGTTCTCCCCAAAAATAAAATGCGCCTTCAACTTCATATACTCATCTCCTTCTCTATCTTCCTTCCCCTCTTTCTCATCTCCATCTTGACCTTAACTTTTTCACACATCACGGTATCTTTATCTTTATCTTCTATGTAACCGCTCCGACTCGCACTTGGGCTTCGCTCTTTATGTTTGATTACTGGAGATGAGGATGGAGATGGAGATGAGAATAAAAGATCATCGTTTGTAGGAAAAAGTTTGCCGGGTGGGTATATTGGTGCGCATAGTGCCAGTGTTAGTGCTGCGTCGTTGGGTAGGGGGGATACTTGTATGCAGATGATGGGTGTGGTTGGGGGAATATGTTTGTTGGTTGTGGCGGGGTAGGGTGGTAGAGAGTTTGAGGGGAAAGAGGGGAATGGGAGGTGGGAAATGGAAACTGGAGAATGGGAAATAGAGAATGGAAAATTGGATATCGAGATTTCTTTCTGTGGTAGGAATGGGTATGGGGTTGGTTTGGTTTCATCTAGGGATTAAGTAAGCAGCTGAGGGGAAATCGAGTGGAATTTGAGGATGAAGTGAACAACCTAAGATGGGGATTTGTTTGATGGAGGTAGAGACTTCCTTATAGGGAACTAATAAAAACCATACATATTATTATTGGCATGCAAGAAGAATTTGCTATGATTATCATTATATGTAAGACTTACTTACGTCCACAGCCTCTTAATAACTTACTCCCAGAATATCGTCATGATTCTTTCTACCTCTGTTGAAGGAGGTTGAAGAGCTAATCTCGAGAATTGAAATAGATAGGTAGTCTGGGAAATTCTATTACTTTCTTTGAATCACGATATACCGGTACTGGAGTAGAATTCCTAGAGTCTAGTGTAGGTAGTCTACCACTTACTTGAATGGCTATGCTCGCTGTATCTGCATCCCAGGTTGTACTGGTATATAGTGCGCTTCGTTGTATTGTCCTCTCGGCCCAGTTCGGATTTCGGATTTATAGGTATATGTGAGGATATACCTAGATATGCCTAGAAGAGCTCTCTTTTGCTCTTTGAATGAATCTGATAATACATACTGGTAGCGTGTATGAGTTAGTGTGCCGTTGAAGATGGATCTCTCAGCATTCTTTTGCGATAGAGGCTGTTGCAAACCGGAATAATCTAGAATTGATTTTCATTTCCTGCTTTTCGTGATTCTGTTGAGTATGGATGGTATAGCTTTTGGGTATTCTTTTCTGTGACTCTTTGGGTGTTGATGTGGGGTTTGCTACATGATTTCTTGCTAAACGTGACGAACACATGCCAAACTTTCCGTATCATTGACAGGGGTGTCACTTTCATATACTTATACTCCAATTTTGTTCGGGCATCGTGTTCAAACAATAGTTGATGTATGTTGAACTGAGATCTCTCCCGCGAATCATTTGACTCACATATATAGCACGTTTTCGAAACCTATCAAATCGATCAACGTAGGCTTCCATGATGCAGTATTTTACAACTGCATTACTCAGAGTAGTATGTCACGTTTTGGCGCCTTTTCAGCTTACTTGGCTTGGAGCTGAAATGACTGTTGGCGCACCATGGTTTTCTTCAAGCATCAATAGTGAAAATCTCTATCTCTCTCCAGAAAAAATGGCACGACGTCCTGGCAATGACTATTCATATGAGCGTCAACGTGGTCCAGATCGAGCAGAAATGCTGCCCGTCCGATTTGATGAAAGCCCCATACACATGCCAGAAATTGGTGGTCACCCCCGGCGTGGTCGAGAACAGCGCCATGTTGCTGGATTACCTTCTCCACGAGGCACCACGTTTGATGAAGATAATTTCTACAATTCTTACAATGATCTGCGGACAGCCAGACTACCTCGCCGCCGCACTATATCGCCAAGTCCCCCACCGCCTGGATTTGCTCAAAGTCGCCCAAGAAGTCCGTCGGTCCCATCTTTAGCTTCTATCGAACGTCGTAGGGCCCATGAATTCACTGATCCTGGTAGTTATATGGGATACAAGCCGGCATCACATTACATTCCGGCCTCTCCTGTTGTCAATAAGGAAAGAATTGGTGACGAGTATTACTCGGGCAGAGCGGCTGCGAGATGCTCACCATACTACGCTCGTCATACAAGGTCGCGCAGCAAACGGCGATCCAGATCTAGATCTCGCAGTCGACATCGATACTCTAGGTCTCGCAGCTCAAGTCATGGTAGAGTACCTATTCTCAATAGATATGATGTAAGGTATGGAGGCCTCGGGACTAGGACCGCGGGAATCGATTTTGGATTATCCATACCCGAGTCTGAGACCTATCCTTTCACGCTTTCGCGTCATAATAAAGATACTCAACAGACAGAAAATATTCAAGACTCAAACTCAAGATATTCCGAAAAGAGATTTCCAACTCCTCCGCTCCAGCCACATAAAGCTTTGATGGTACATCGCCCCAAAGTTGATAGGATAATACAATCTCATTACACAGGCGACGGATTCATGGGCGGAATGCACTCTCTTGAACTTACGGTGGCCGCTGGGCAAGCTACGTCTACTGGGAGATTGCCTGTACCACTTTTCAATTGGATGTGAGTGATCTCAAATACTTCTTGCAATACTTTCTAAAGTTTTAAGCCGTTTTGAAGATTCGTCTATGGACTTTGATAGCTTTCAGGTATGTTTTTTGAGTGAGACAGTACAAAGGAATTTGCTTGATGGCTGATGATGTGGTCAGAATGGCATACTGAATCTTGACGGAATTAAAGAAGGTGAAAGATTTGGAATCTCTAGATTATTGGAGCGCGTGAAAAGAAGATATGACAAAACATTGCAAGTTTCTAGCCGCATCAAAGTTCGGCATATGATTCCAAAGCTTCTACAAGAGCCATTCCATGATGAAGCTCCTTCCGCAGAAACTAAGTCAAGGAAACTTACATGGCTTTGTCTACCATATTTTAGTCTCCAAAAATACGCGTCTTCAGATTTACAGCCTTCATCCCACCCCCCACGGACTCTGCTACAGATACGGCAATCTATGACACCAAAAGAGCGCGATTTGAAGCAAGCTGTATGTCATTTACCAAATACACCAGCAGGATCTTGCTTTCATATTGCCCAGGCCTGGTTTCTGATCCTGGACGATTGTAACTAGAGCCAGTTCGAACTTCTTGGAAACTTAGAAAGCTTACTTACTTCTAGCTTCCATAATATCGTGTGCTGGATTATGCACAACACTATTGGAAAAATACTCCATTTCTATTTTTCCATATCGAAATGAAAATCCTGAATCCCCAACGCGAACGCTTCTCGTATCAGACTCTGTATCTACCTTGTGGTCCTTCCCCCTTGGAGATTGCAAAACATGGATTGTGAGAAGCCTTAATCGTAATTTTATCCCCGATACTATAGTAGCTGATGTTCTCCTTAGGATTTTGTGAATCACTTCTTCGAATTGTGGCCACTCAGGTTTGGATTCACATACCGTGGAAATGCCATCTCATCCAAGGATTGGCCAAGGATCTTCAACCAAGCGGAGAGGTCGAAAGTTTGTCTTGAATTGAAATTTAGGTAAAGTCATGTTCTGAGACGAGATATGCTTCAAGATTATTGACACGTCTAAGCTCGAAATTCAAAATGTCCCCGACTGGGGTTTTGGTAGCACCAAGGGATTCCATTGGAGAATTTGATCAGAATGAGCGACAAGATTCAGAAGAAGATGGTGCCTCTAACCAAGCAGACTCGAATATTGCTGATTTGGACACGCCAAAATCAGATCCCTATGCAAAAGATTCCAATTCTCCGTCTGCTCGTTCTGCGACAGCAACAAAACCGCGTTTGTCGAATGAATTTCACACATTCATCTGGATGAATACGCACATTGACATGTCGAATAGTCCAAAAACTGCGAGAAACTCCTCAAGCTCTAATCCTATTGCGAGCATTAACGAGAATTTACTGCAGGATGATCTACAAGAGATTGATGACTACCTTCTGCAGAAAACCAACTTCAACGAGCGCTTGACATATAAGTCTAGCTCAGGGCATACAAGAAGGCAATTCTATGATCTTTTGGTCGAGGTTGAAAGTAAGGTCCAGGCTGTCCAATCACTTCGGTCAACCTACGAATTGCAGGTGGAACTCGCCAATGCTGCAGAGGTTTTATTTGGGTTCTTTCTATCACCTCAGCATTCAAATCCTACCACTCAAAAGTATTGGGGTCCCCTTTATGACATAATCATGGTGAGTCAATCTCTCACCAATACACTCCAAGCTAATCAATAGGCGATGCTTCCGTATGGTCTGATCGAAAAAGATGTGCCTTCAGAGAGCGAAAATTCGAATCCCGCGCCACATATGTTTTCTAACAGAGCTTGGGGTATAGATATGAGAGATGTTCGACAAATAGTTGAATGGTTGGAAACTATAGGGAAACGAACGGAACTATTCAAGGAGCTTTTGTCTGACGTACCAATCGTGGAGCGCGGTGACATCAATATTTCCGACAAGCTACCTCGAGCATGGTTGCATCTCCTCATGGCTCTCGCCTGTGTGAAGGATATGTCACCTCTCTTGAACACACACATGAATCTTTGTCTAGAGCTTACGAACGAAGGTATGAGCGAAACTATTAAGACTCTTTCGAAGTACCGGCTTTCGGACTATGTTGTCTTTGCGCCTTTCGACGTGGCTTCTCTCATAACTTTTCAGCTTTCACAAGATCTGACAGGCCCATGTCCAGATATATGTGAGACTTATATGGTTTATATGAGATCTTTGGTATGTATTCCACCGTTGATAATTTCTACACCATCTAACACGCCACGAGGAATTTGATATTGAAGCAGACCCAATCAACCGAGAACATCAAGGTAGAATTACTGATCTTAAGCAAGAGATTTCAGTAATTTTGGACACGCTAGAAATTCAAAGAGAAGTTCTATACGATGCTCAGAATGCTCAACTACGGCCGAAGCTTCAGGATGGCAAAGTAAATCGAGTCGTTCCTAAATATGAGTACAAACCATCAACTTTTGCCGAACCCCGTGCCACGAATCCCATGAACTACGAGCCACCGGTTTATTACCGCGATAACTACGAGTTTGATTTGAACATTAAAACTCCAAGCCCTCTTGTTGATCAGTCATCTCCCAACAATCCTCGTGGAGTAAATGGCCTTCTCTTTCGAGAAAGCCTCGCGCTCATCGAGGAACGCATCGGAGTGTTCCGCGATATCAACGAACGTGCTACCTACCTAGAGAACTGGGTAATATTTTCTATTTCCCCCTAAGAATCCCACAATAATAGAGGCGAACACTAACTCGACGCCACAGAACCTTCGCAGTATTGATGCGAACAAAGACAGACAAGAAACAGCCGTGTACGCATTTACAATCGTAACCATCATCTTTCTCCCACTAAGTACCGTTGCCTCCATTCTCGGCATGAACACAAACGATGTCCGTAATATGGATCTCACGCAATGGCTTTTCTGGGTGATAGCTATACCCCTAACAGCGATCATCATAGGCTTAGTATTGATATGGTCCGATGAATGGTATAATTTCTGGAGCGGGTTTAGCAATCTATGGAAAAACAAGACTAAACGGAGATATGTAAGGCGGCCTGAAGATTACACTAGGGTTGAGCCGATGACTACGTTGAGCATGGCGCCGGCAGCACGAGCAAGTGGGGTTTATCCTGGGTATTATCCTCCGCCACCAGGACCAGTTCCAAGATTGAGGAAATCGCGTACAATGTTTGAGGGTGGGGATTATGTATCGAGGGGGTATTAGCTCGTCATTCTAGAGTACTTGGCTTTGTTTATTCGTTTGGTGATATATATCTGCACTTTTGGCTGGCTACTTATTTATGTATGGTGACGTTCTTACCTAGTTATTATCTCACCCGTGCTTTGGTATACTTGTTTGACCTAAGGGTTTTTAGATACAACTCTATAATTTGATATCTCATTTATGGCGGATCTCTTCATGCACTAAATAACTTAAATTGGTTGAATCTCTTAGATGATTTAAATCCCTTGTACTGTACAAATTGAATCTTTTGGATAAGTCAGATCGTCCAGACAACTGAACATCATTTTAATCTTTCCAACATAAATTTATCCAAAGAGCTCCGCATAGCCCGCCAGCGCCAGCGCCAGTATATACGAGATGCCTTCCTTGACATCACTCCTTTACTATCAAAACCAGCCAGAAGTTTCGCTCTGCCGCTATTCCTCTGATAAACACCGAGACGCCATCGTAATACAATCAACCTATCCAACACAATTCCCCTGAAAACCCAACCCAAGCTTCTCTAATAACGCCTTGCCTGAGAATGCCATGCCTAAGAATTAACCTGTAACTCTATGAAACCAAACCATCCAAAAATATGTGATATACACAAGAAGTGAAGGAACCCCAACGCCATGTCCCATGCAATAAATTCAAACCCCACTCCCTACACTACGCCTGCTTCATTTGCATCTCCACCACATGACCATCAACCCCCACCACCCTCCTACCTTCCTCCTCCTTCTCCTTCTCCTTCTCCTTCTCCTTCTCCTTCTCCTCCTCCTCCTCCGCCTCCCTCTCTAGCACACCCTCCCAATGCCCCCTCAACCCCTCACAAACCCCGCTACTCCAACCCTCCAGTCCATCACCATACTCACACGCCACCCCCACCAATTCCTCCCAAACACCATTTTCCAAATCCCTCCCTCCAAACCTATTCATCGTACTTTGTCTATCCCCCCACATCCTCCCCTTATTCGCTTTTATCCACACCATCATATCCACCGGTGATAACTTCACCAAATTATGATGCATAAACACCACTTCCGCACTCTCATTTATCCTATACACCGGATGCCTAACCTTATCTTTCCCTTCCCGTAGAAATATCGCATAATCATCGGAGGGATTATGTTGCAACATACTCGCGCTATGGAAACCATCATGGGAATTATGACCGATAATTCCATTTTTCTCCCGTACTTGGAAGTAAGGCACCGCGAGTGCAATGGCGGCATATAACCAAGTTTCCTTATCGCCTTCGCCGGCGTCGCATTGGGTGAGTAAGGGGTAGTAAAACGAAGGACCGTAAATATTGTAGTAGAGGACTAGGAGTAAAACTTCGCTGTGTGTGCGTTTGGAGATGATTATTTGGCCGGATTCGGTGGTGCCGAGGGAGAGGAGCGAGGGCGTGGGGAGAGAGAGGACTGAGAAGTAGTGGGGGGAGGTGGTGGCCCACCAGAAATCCGGCCACTGTGTTTTTATGTGTTAGTGGGTTTTTGAGCCTGATTTATGTGTGGAAAGGGGCTAGATGATGGGTGTGGGAGATTTTATTTTCGTACCAATACATATCCCGTGTCTTTGAAACCCCTTGCTTCCATCCACTCGACGGGATCGACAATCGGAAAGTTATCGGCGTCTAGAAATAGCACGTCTTCAAAACTACTCAATATTACTGCGAATATCTTGTATTGATATTTCGCAATAGTGAGGCCCTCGTATTGTGGAATGATAACGCAACGGGCGTTCAGAGAGGGCAATACCACTTCACAAGTATATTTATTGTAGTCCTCTGGATTCGGCATGAAGACTTCCACGGGTAACGTTGAATTGGTTCTTCGAAGCATGCGCAGGGACACGAGTAATGCGCCGGTGAATCTTCCGCCCGCTACGGTTACGATGCCTTTGGATTTGGGCGTGTAGGGGACTATATGAGAGGAGTTTCGTATCATTTCCACTACGTTCTCGTGCGCGGTTCGTGCGGCTTGGACTTGTTCGTCGGAGACGGGCGTGACATCTCGTCGTTCCGTATCGTTGGTTACTTCTTCGATCCCGAGCGTTCGACCTACACATACGGCGGGCTGGCTCAGTTCTGGTGGTGCGGCTTCGTTCAGCCTGCGAATAAAATTCGAGATTTGGATTCCTTGTTCCGTAGAGTTGGCTTGGTTAGTTGGCTTGAGGCTGGCTAGCTCGTTTGATGAGGTGGCATGACTAGTACTGATGGTGAAGCCAGCGAGGGGCTCTTGGAGAAAAACGGGAGTTTCTAATGACCATAATTGATCTCGGAAGACTAGATACAAAATGAAGGTAGTGATGATTATTACGGTAATTCTCTTGGACAGAGAACTAGCCAGCATCTTGAAAAACCAACGAAGGACTTTGTAGCAGATGTGAAAATATGTTTGAGAGAACAAGAATCAACGATAAGGTAGAAATAAGGAAATCAGAAGTGTTGGCAAATGTCCTCTCGAAGTGGAACCACACACACCTAGAGTGAATCTGGTATAGATTTATTGGTTATATTCATTCCAGAATGCCACACTCGAGCCACCGGCATGAAGGCTTGAGATTGCAGGAATGGACCGAACCAGAATGAAATTTCCATACTGCTGGAAGGAAGCACAATCTGTAGTAAAGGCCCATCAATCGCAATTGAGAAATGGATTAAATCAGTTCAGGCCCGCTTAGCCAGACGTTTTCTACTAAAGCAGATATGAGAGCTATATTGATTGGCCAATACGAGCAATACCACAATCAGTTTGCACAAGGGCCAATCAATCCGGCACCACAATTCGTGATAATTTATAGCTCACTGGAGCCATCAAACACCGTTGAAATGAGGCTTTTATGGTACCGAAGTTCTGGGTACGAGGTTTGATAGTGAAGTTGGGTCTTGATGATGAGAAAACCCCACTAATATTAAGGAATACGAGATGCCAACCCCTTTGTAGCATAGGGTTGATTTGTAGCCTGCCTTATCCTTATCGTCTTCGTATTTCTTCATTCTTTTCTGTCTTAAATCCTGATACGGACTGAGACTTGGCAGGCAGGACTAGTAAAAAGGGGGAAGAAAGGACGCGGCTGACTAACCCATATTTCCAGATGATCCTGAAGCTTTATACGGGTTGTTACAGACAGACCAGTGAGGCTCAGTTAGGTGACCACTGACAACCAACCTCCTTACATGAAAATTGCATACATCGTTGAGATTAGAGGGGTAATGGAATTTTAATTTGATTTAAGGTCCAGGACAAAAATCTTACTATCCACGCCTTTGTTTCCTTTCGCCATCACACAACAGCAAAACAACATAGATCTGTTCTAACATAATTAGTATGTTAGATTAATATTGTGAAGCTCGGTTGACCGATGGATAAGTTCAAACCCCCTTCATCTCAAATGTGCCTCGGTACAGTATCCGCAAACCTCTTCATGCGTTCTGTTGTCAAGCTCATCAAGCTCATGAAGCTAATATTCCATAAAGTTCTTCGTTGGCAAAACTTCGGGTGATTGGATAATCCGGTCTGGGCTGAGTGAGACCTGTGAGATTGCGGCGAATAATCCAAATAATCAAACACATTGCTTGACCGTATGAATATGTTTTCAAGTGAAATATCAGCAGAAGAGAAAAGACAATCTTAACTTCTAGCACTTGTATCATTTCAGTCACTTTTTGATTTGATAGAATAGAACGAATATAGTCTACAATTCACATATTTAAAGCGACGCCATCAAGATCAGTGACGAAATGATCAAAATTCCATCCAATGCTTGTCAAATCGAAATCGATCAACCCTACTTCGTCCAAGTCATCGTACATAGAGCAAGAGACTTCGTGTATGATTGCATGCTCCAGATTAAGGAGGGGAACTGCCGCAGTCGGTATATTCTCTGACGCTTGATATTGTGATGGATATTTTTGTTGAAGAGCTGCCACCATTTTCCTGATCGTTACGATGGCACTGGAGACAGTATCTCCTGGTAATATCTGAGACAAGCACCTCAACCCAGCATTAATAAAGGATATATTAATCATGGCGGACTCCATATCACGTATTGTGTCGTATATCAAAAGGTAGCAGGCACTTTCGACGTAAAAGCCCATGTATCGTAGGCCCTGTTATTGCGGTTAGTGTGCACTTGATAAAGCTTCATTCTGCAAGGTCACTTGTTTGCTTGATATTTTCACATACCCAAAGAAGTGGATTCGCATCCATGGCCACGCGCAATGAAGATATCCAAGATCGAGCGGCATCTGAGGCACGTTGACAAGCTTCGATCAGCCATTCTACCTCGCTAGCTGACGTAATGGTCTCTAAATGCTCATCACTACTCGATTCAGACGTCAATCTCCTCTGCCATACCACGTGGAATATCAAAAATGGCCTAAATGTGAGGACGAGTATATGGTGATAGACTAGCATAGCAGTGAGTCAATCTGAGCAAAGATTCAGCATAGTAGATACGTACGATTAGATAGTAGAACCTGATGTACGTTTACTTGGCCATGGTGAACTGGATCATCTAAGCCAATCTGCAAATGCTTCTTAGTCTTGTGAGCAAAGGCCTCCAATTCTTTGTGGATGTTGCAAGCCTCGGTCCACATGGCCAAAAGAGAAGTTTGCTCTTGAGAGTAAAGCTTCAAAGTCGAGCGTGACATGATTTTCGCAAGCTGGATGAGCGCTGACATATAAGACGTGTCTTCTGGATATGGTATCGATATATCGTTCATATTTAGCGAGCTTGGTCTCCCCTCGCCGTATGAAGTCCAACTAAAAAGGACACCAATGAGGTTAGGGTTGCGTATATAGATGATTCTCACAGAAATAAACTCGTACGAAACTACTCCATACCTTTCAAAAAAATATAGTGACCACATTGTCAAATTACTTTCGAGCGTTTGGTCAGGCGCGCCGGAAGCTCCTTTCGAGGAATTGCTGTCCTTGTGTAGACCAAGAGCAAGTGCTTTACGGACTCCTTTGCCGAGGTGAAAATACGCGGAAGTGCTTCGTCCCATACACGACTGGTAGTGTGCGTACAGAGCAGAATTAATCAGCAATGTCCTGATAGATAGCCACAGGGTATAAACTTATCAAGAGTAAAGATATTTGAACCGAGCGGACATTCACTGTCTCATCTAAGACTGCGGCTTTGATTTTGATTTCGTCGAAGATAGTTTCAGCCCATTCGATTCTCTCTGTCAAAGATGCACCGAGAGCAAGGATCGTCATAATGAATGTTTCGTCCATGGGGTCAAATCTGGCTGTAGTAGTGCGATTGAACAATTGTTTGACCATGTAAAGGAGTTCTACAGCCGAAGTTGCGGGGAACAGGTGATAAATTGTGGAAAGAAAATGGCTAAGAAACGTCTCGGCGAGCTCAAGAGATAGAAAGAGCTCGCTATTAGACTTGGACAATCCCGTTTCAGTTGTGGCATCTCTTTCTGTGCCAAAGGAGTGGGCCTTGTGACCCAAGAACTCCAGACTCTTCTCTGCTGCTCTTGATACTTCATCGTCTCGGGAACCTAAAGGAGTCTCGGATTTCGAGGTGCTTAGGCATCTGTGGATTTGATTCATGAAGGAAAAATTTGAGGATGGCCCATAAGATAGCTGCGTTGTGCAACTTCCTGGTGCGTCGTGAATTGCGCTAATGCCGTGATGAATCTCTGTAAAGATAGTATTGTTGTCTTTAGTGGAGGAACACTGTTGGCCTGATTCTTGAAGTTCGTCGATATCACTAGGGTGTTCTATCATCCCCCCATCAGTGTCGGGTGGCGGTGACCACTTGCTCTTTCGACGACGATTCACAAGCCGATAGTTGCATTGTGCAGTCTGTTGTCGGCAAACCTGACAAGGAGTTTGACCATTACATTTTATTTTACGTCTACGGCAACGCTCACAGGCCTTTGAAGATCGTATTGAACGAGAGTTAGAGTTCTAGAAATGGTGACGTCAAAATAGTGGACTGCACGAAGTATTTGAACAATATACGTACACTCGACATTTTTCGCTTGCGTATCAGTAATAGCCAAAAGATAATTCTACAAAGTTCATTAGAAAAACGTTTTGGCTGGAAGGAAGTGCAGGTTTCCGATAATGTTGTTGTTGATCCTGATGGCAATCATCACGCTAAATGTGGGTATTTTCTCAAGTATACCCGCTACCACATATATATCCCTGATATATCCGCTACACATCCGTGATAATTCCGTTAGGCCGCTCCTTGGACATTTTTATCCACATAAATGATATAAACATATATCATTTGTTAACTTGATAAACTTGGTAAACACAAATAAAGTAGACCTAGCTGGCGGCATCCACCTAATCAGTGTTTGGAGTAAGCTCGCGCTTAAGATTACTTCAAATCCTGATGTCTACAAAATATACAGCGGTCGAGTCTTAAATGACGTTTGTATGTATATAAAGGCTTCCTTTTGTATTGTTTGTCTGTCCATCGCTACTCACTCTTCTACCTTCCTCCTACCTTAAACGAAGGCCAATATCCTCATTTTGTCAACTTCGGTGGCATCTATAATGTCTGCGCTTCCTAACAGAATGCCCCTTTCCAGCCCTCGCGCAAGTACCGCAGCTGATATTTTCCACATCGGCAACGTCTCGGCAAGTTTCACCTCTGCAACGTCCAGTCATCTGGCTGAGGCAAATCCAACACCTTTCAATCAAACTTCCAAGGTTCTTGCGAAAGGTTCGTATCCTGTGTCAAAGTTATATCCACCTCTACCATGCGATATTCTCTTCGAGTCTGATGTGGCGGTCGAACTGCGTGACGGCACTTTCATATATACCGACATCTACCGCCCAGCGAACACGACAAACTTAACTAGCCCTATTCCCGCCATAGTTGCTTATTCCCCATATGGCAAACGAGGCGGATTTTTCAATTATGACATATTCCAACCTCCCAATGCCATCGAAAGAATGGACGTCAAGTACGAATGGGTGTCTGGACTCGAGAAATTTGAAGGCCCAAACCCTGCCTATTGGTTAAATAAAGGTTACGCCGTTATTCACCCCGACCCTAGAGGTGTCTTCAACAGCGAAGGTGATATCTTGATGTTTGGCCAGCAAGATGCCCGCGATGGCTACGACTTGATCGAATGGGTTGCTGCACGAAGCTGGTCAAATGGAAAAGTCGGTATGACAGGAAATTCCTGGCTGACAGTAGCACAATGGTGGATTGCATCTGAACGCCCGCCACATCTCGCAGCTATCGCTCCTTGGGAGGGATGGTCCGATTTTTACGAAGACTTGGTCTTCCGAGGTGGTATCCCAAATTTCCCATTTGTTGATGTGCTTGTGACACATCTGTATGGCAATGGAAGCAACAAAATCGAAAACATATCAGAAATGATGAGTCATGCCCCACGTATCAACGATTATTGGCTCGATAAAGCTGCCAAGATTGAGAACATCGACGAGAATCTTCCTGTCTATGCGGTTGGATCATGGACAAATGCTCTCCATACTCTTGGAACTTTCCAAGCATGGGAAAGACTTCGCACATCAAATAAATGGTTACGGACGCATACCACTCACGAGTGGCACGATTATTATACTCCTACTCATGTTGCAGACCTTCACAAATTCTTCGAAAAATACCTCAACAATGTGGATAATGATTGGGAGACTACTCCCCGAGTCAGACTTTCTTTACTGAACCCAGGACATGATAATATCATTGATCAACCAGAGACTAAATTTCCCCTGTCTCGGCAGAAAATCCACAGGTATTATCTCGATGCATCTACGACTTCAATGTCCCCCTCCGCGCCATCTACTGTCTCTTCCGCAACATACAACTCGACTGATAACGGCACTATTTCGTTCCGAATGAAATTTGAACACGCGACTGATTTTGTTGGTTACGCAACTGTTAGATTATGGGTTCAAGCGCCCGACCACAACGACATGGATCTGTTTTGCTACCTACAAAAGTCAAACGCTACAACGTCAAAAGTTATCCCCATTCTTGTCTTGGGATCAGATACCTATGTTGGTGCCCAAGGACGTGTAAGAGTTTCTCTCCGCGATCACCGAAAGCCAGGCACCAATGGGATATATCAGTACGTGAACGATGAGCCGAGTTTTCTCAACGAAAATGAAATTGTCCCTGTCGATATACCGTTCTGGCCAACAGCTATTCACTATGAGGCCGGTGAAGAACTCACTCTCTTGATCCAGGGCTGGAACTCTCAGAAGCAGCCGGAATTTCAAAATCTGGGCCAGCCCTCCATTAAAAATGTTGGTCGGCACACATTCTATACTGGTGATGGCTACAAGAGCTATGTCGAGATCCCTCAAGTCATTCCTGCAAAGTAGGAAATGTTCTGTTGATATAGTCATCTCCTATACCCTGGAACAAAGAAGACAGGGTTAGGTTTGATAAAGCTTCGGCTTCTATTAGTTGGCTTCTGCGTTCGTCACCCACACGAGAATTGGCAAAACGTAGCAGCGGCCTAGTAATTCAGTACTTAATGTATTGAAATCATAGTCCGACTCGAGTCTTATCATCTTACCTCAACATTTGTTTTCTCAATACTTATGCTCTGAACTCAGATCTTTTCAGTTAAAATTCTTCTTCTCTTCTCAACTCTCGACGCTCTTTTTTCTGCCTAGCTCACGAAGTCAGTCTATAACTTGTATACATTTTTACAGATCTGATCTCTTGAACTAGAATCTAATCAACTCATTCATCTTTTAAATCCTTGGCTCTCAGATTTTCAACTATTTGTTATAAAGATCATAAGTAAAAGTTTCACGTGGCGCGGGGAAAGTTTATTTTACCTGGCTAATGCTTATTTATGTACGGGGTCAAATGAGCCCGATTGGATTTACATCTTTCTTCTTATTTGTTTACTCGGTATGTCATTCAAAGTAGTGCCAATTGATGATATCGCGATCGAATGGAGAGTAGTCACGCTCCTGACCTGCCCTCAAAACCTTTGCTATCAAAGTCTTCAACATGATGAAAACGAGCTAGAATCGTATCTGATTCTCGCTCCACTCTATATAGTGTTTTCGATAACCAACAATCTATCCCTTCAATTTGCAAGTGAAGTAATGTCCTTCTCAGGACATCGTGTCATCAACAAATCTAAGTTTTCCCGTCCGCGAAAAGGATATCTCACAATCAGACAGAGATCGACGAGAAGTTCATGAAATTAAGCTTCCATACTTTGTGGAAAAGTCTCATGTACCCCGTCGCCTCGTTGATCTCAATCTACCTCTCACAAGAGCGGGAGCCGGAACCTGAATATTAGGCGCGGCTTGAGGAAGTTGAATCGGTGACGGTGGACGAGGAGGATATGGAGGAGGACGCTGGGGCCAAATTTGTTGAAACTGAGGTTGTTGTAGAGGCTGTGCCTGCCGTGGATTAGCTTGATATTCAGGAGGCCAACGGTGCTGCGGAAATAGGGGCACTCTGATCAAGACGGGTATTTGAGGAAGGAGAGGAGAATTAGGTCGAACAATTTGCTGATTTTGAGCTCTGGGCGATCTAATTCGTATTGCGGGTATCTGTATCTGGGGTGAGATAACTCCTAGTGGAATTCTGGGAGCATTCTTGAAATTACGCGAAGTTCGTCGAGATCTAGAACGAGATCTGTGGGATGAGTGGGGGCCGGGCCATGTATTCCCGCTCCCGCGTCTTCTGTAAAGGCAGATACTGATGAAGATAAGAGCACCGCCTGCAGTTAGGACTACGAGAATGATACCCACGGTATCGCTACTTGGCATTGTGGAGGTGTTTGAGGTGTCTGAGAATGTTTTGGTTGCTGGAGGTGGGTGGTTGATAATGGGACAAGCTAATTGTTTAAATAGCACACTTCAATTCGTCTAACAGTCAGTTAGCTCATATACAGAATTTCTTTTTAGAGGTCATATGCTAATTATTAAGCTGTTCCTGAAAGCATTATTTTCTGGAAAATAAATACATGGTTATGGCAAACAGTCTCCAGGACTTTCGTGTCGCTTGTTGAACGGGAGATGGGTCACACATGACATGATAATTCATAAAATGCTAGTCTATAGACAACAGTCTTAGCAAACACCAAAATTCATTTCTGCTGACAGAAACGTCACATGGAAATTAATATAACG